TCCCTTTTTCCCATTTATTTCTTTTCCTGCAGTGACCAGTTAAACACAATTTATTTACATAAAAGCAATACCAGCTGATTTTAATCAGCATTTCTGAGGACACAGTGGAAAAAAATGGTTTAAAACTCAGTTTTTTGCCTTCCTGTGTTTGGTTAGCATCTCACTTTCATCTGAAATCCCAGTCATACCTAACAAAACAATCTAAATCTAACTTTAGAGATAAAAATAAGATCAAAAGAATAAAATGGCAAAAGGATGAAGAAGGGAGTACACACAAATATGTGAGTACTCCAGCATCTGTTTCAGAGCTGTACTAAAAGCAATTTAAAAAATGGAGACCATTAAAAAAAAATAACCCATCATTACCAGCCAAGTCAACAGAACACAGGCATTCAGTATCATATAGTTCATATATTGTTATGTAATAAAAAGTTTAGTAAGGATTGGCCCATCACTACAACAAAAAAAGATGAGTGATGCAGTAAAATACAGGAAGGAAAAAATGCCACAGGTAACATTTTTATCACTAAGTTTTCATTTTCTGAAGCTTTCAGTGACATCCACATTGATGCCTGCCTCAAATTCTAGAGTGCCAGTAATCAAAAATACATTTTTTCCTCCCTTCAAGCAGAGGCAAAAGTATTAAACAGTAGATAACAATGTGGTTTACTCCATGGAATTAACAAAACTTAAGCTGAAATACTATGCTCCGTGAGGTATTTTACTGACCAGATGTTTTGTTTCGAATGCGAAAAAAGCAGTCCTTTAATTTTTAACCAAAGTACTTATTGGCATGCTTTGTATGTTTTGATTTGAGCAAATAAATAATGTTTGAAAGTACAATGATTGTAGTAACTCCTGTGTGCACAAAAATTAAAATTCTCAGAATTGAGTATTGCTTTAAAAATGATTTCAGAAAGGGTTTTTTTTCTTCCCCAGAGGCTTCAGATGACAGGCTGAAAAACATTAACTAGCATGAAAATGGAACAAGATGTTTGAAAGCAATGGAATCACAGCTTGTGAAATGCCTAAATTCATCTCTCAAAGCTGTATTCCTAAATCACTCCAGCAGTTTCAGCAATCTCAGCTGAACACTAGAAGTATATACTGGAACTTAATCCCACATAATACCTTTCCTTGTACTCCACTTCATCTAAAATCTCTTTTGTCTCTATTTTTTTAAAAACAAAAATACATATATGTGTTTATAAAGTTCTCTCACATTTACCCTTCGTGGTCTCACTATAGTTGTCCATAAAACAGTTGATCACAAATTGTAGACTTTTAATGAAGTAAGTAAAGTTTTCTCATGGAGGTTTCTAATAATGGGAAAATTGATAATGATTGATAATTGACAATTTATGCAGAAAAAAGGTTTTAGTCATCAAAATTCAAGTCTAAGGGTTTTAAATCACAGATTCATAGAATGGGTTGGAAGGGACCTTAAAGATCACCTAGTCCCAACCCCCTGCCCCGGGCAGGGCCCCCTTCCCCCAGCCCAGGTTGCTCCCAGCCCCGTCCAACCTGGCCTTGAACCCTTCCAGGGAGGGGGCAGCCACAGCTGCTCTGGGCACCCTGGGCCAGGGCCTCATCACCCTCACAGGGAAGAATTTCTTCCTAATCTAAATCTAGCCTCTCCCAGTTTAAACCCGTTACTCCTCATCCTATCCCCACACCCCCTGATAGACTCTCTCCCCATCTTCCCTGTAGCCCCCTTTAAGCACTGGGAGGCCACTATAAGGTCTTCCCAGAACCTTCTCTTCTCCAGGCTGAACAACCCCAACTCTCTCAGCCTGGCCTCATAAGGGAGGTGCTTCAGTCCCCTGAGCATCTTTGTGGTCTCCTCTGAGCCTGCGTGAGCAGGTCCATGTCCTTTTTTATACTGGGGGCCCCAGAGCTGGACACAGCACTGCAAGGGGGGGAGGTCTCATAAGAGTGAAGTAGAGGGGGAGAATGATCTTTATCAAGTCAGCTTTTGTTACGCGTATCTCTTAAGTATGGAATAATTAATGTACAAAAATCAAAGTAAAGACAGGAGTAAATAATGTTTTCTTCCCCAGAAGAAGAGTAATAATTTATATATTGTTTGCAAAAATCATTCTCAGGAACATGCTCTGCTATAAGAAGCATGTGTTTAGTCAGATGAGTCTTCTGCACATATCACAGTGGAACTACTGACCATCAAGGAAAGATCACTCTGAAACTTGCTTTAGAACAGCCACCATAGTAACAGCAAAAATGTCCAACACAATCCCGCTGTTACTGTAAGTCAGAAGAGATTTTTAAAGACAATGAAGAGATCTGGGTTCACCTGTGTCAACAGAAAGGAAGGAAGTTAGAGGCCAGAACTTGCATGCCTATTTCACCTTTACAGCCACTCTGAAAGAACACTGGAACGAGCTTGAGCACCTATCAGTGCCAGTTTAAAAAATAAAAAGGAGTCTATTTACTATCAAGTCTACCATAACTCTAAAGGAAGTACGAATCCCTTGCGGTCAGTGCAGGTATGCTGACTTACTGACTCTGGACGCAAATGTGTTTGTCACAGGAAGCCTCTGTTCACACTTGTCTCAAAGGTGGTCTTCGTTTCACTGGAAGGCAAGTTTTGTCACAGGTCTGTTTGGGTCAAAAATCATTCTTTATCTTCTTCTTGTGTTGTGAAAGCAACAAAAACTAGCACTGTCACATGAAATGATTGATTCTTTTATTACTTTATGTAATAGCCTAGCCCTTATTTATTAGGTCTAACGCTACACAGGCTAACCAGATAAGAATCTTTACATCAAAATGCATGTACTTGCTTTTAATTAAGAAATTTCCTTATACTTTCATGCACTGATAGGTGACTCAACAGTTCAGCTTTGTAATGTCACCATTAACTGGGTCGGCCTTCTACACACTGATTCATTCTGTATCCTGCTCCCTTCTCCAGTGCTGAGTGGGCCAAGCAGCATTTTCAAGTCTGTCAGCTGCCAGGTTCCTCAGGCACAGGGTGTTTGGTTTCTGAAACAAACACACATTAAGTTCACGCTTTTATCGTGCCCCAATTTCACATCATTTTTTTACAAGTATAACTTACCTTACTTGGCAAGAATACAAGCACAGCTGTCTTGGTAAGAAGATTATCAGCTATTATCTAGACAATGCATTTTTCTAACACATCTCCTTCCTTAGAAGGCCTTTTGAAAAGACAGAAATTTCAAGCTGTCTCAAATCACAACTAGTGTTAAACAGACTAGTTTGTTTTCTAGATGTCTTAAAGAAAATTAAAAAGAAAACAGGCAGCATTCCTGATAAGAACTTTCAGTGCAGGAAATTTAAATATTCAGATAATTTCTGAAATTAATGCTGCAAGCAGCACCAAACCAAGCACATGAATACACTATTTCTTTCACTAAAAAGAAAGCCCAGTTGTGCATTTCTAACAATGAGAAGAGCTTTCATTTCATCAATGAAACAGGCCTTTGTAGAAAACATGTTATTCAGGCCACAACGGGTTACCACCTCTTTTGAATGTAACTCCTTTTCTAAAGGAAAAGAGTGTGTTTTTTAATTCAGTCATCTACTTGAAAATGAAACAATTGTACAACAAATGTACAGACTAGGAGGCTAATACATGTGACAAGCACTCCATTTAAGTTTCCTTACATGGTAATTCAGCAAAGGCCATACTACAAGACATAACTAGAACATTACGTATAGGAACATAAAGTTTTTATGTGCAAAAAACAGGCAGATAGAGAAGAGTCCCAGGACTTTATCTTCTAAGTTTATGATTCATCAGTAGTCAGCATGGATTCACCAAGGGGAAGTCATGCTTGAGTAACTTGATAAACTTCCCTGGTGAAATGACTGGCAGGTTGATGAGGGGAGAGCAGTAGACTCTGCCTGCCTATGCTTCACCAAGGCCTCTGACACTGTCTCCCATAAGGTCCTCCTATACAAGCTGTTACGTATGGGCTGGATGAGCAGTGAGGTGGACTGAAAACTGGCTGAATGGCCAGGCCCAGGGGGTGCTGATCAGTGGAACAAAGTCTAGTTAGAGTTCAGTAGCAAGCAGCATACCCAGTGGTTCATACTGGATCCAATCCCATTTAACATCTTCAATAATGACTTGGATGATGGGGCAGAGCATACCCTCACCAAGGCTGCGGATGACACAAAATTAAGCAGAGTGGCTGATCCACCAGTCATGCTGCCATCCACAGGGACCTCTGCAGGCTGCAAAAACAGGCTGACAGGAACCTCATGAAGGTCAACAAGAAGTGCAAAGCTCGGCACAGTGGTGGAACAATCCCATACACTGACAGATGGTGGGGCCACCCAGCTGGAACACCCCTTTGCAGGAAAAGACCTGGGGTCCTAGTGGACACGATGCTGCATGTGAGCCAGAAATGTGCCTTGCCCTAAGAAGGCTAATGGTATCCTGGGCTGCATTAGGCAAAGTATTACCAGCACGATGGTGGAGGTGATCCTTCCCTTCCACTAAGCACAGGAGTACCATGTCCAGTTCTGGGCTTCATACATGAGAGACATCGACATACCAACAAAGGGCCACAAAGATGATTAAGGCACATCTCTCCTTTGAGGAAAGGCTGAGGTAGCTGGGGCTGTTTAGCCTAGAGAAGAGAAGGCTCGGGGGGACCTTATCAACATATATAAGTATCTGAAGGGAGGGTGCAAAGAAGATTGAGCCAGGCTCTTGTCAGTGGTGCCCAGTGACAGCACAAAAGGGAATGTGCACAAACTGAAACATAGGAGGTTCCGTCTGAACATAAGGAAATACTTTTTTCACTGTGAGGATGACTGAGCACTGGAACAGGTTGCCCAGGGAGGTGGAGTCTCCTTCCTTGGAGATACTCAAAAGCCATCTGGACATGATCCTGGCCACAAGGTCTAGGTGGCCCTGCTTGAGCAGGGAGGTTGGCCAACATGACTTCCAGAGGTCCCTTCTGACCTCAACCATTCTCTGATTCTGTGAAGAAATGAAAACACAGAAGTTTTGAGAAAAGGCAAAGTTTATTTTTTTTTAATATATAAAAAGGTAATGAACTGCATAGAAATATGACTTCGGTCATCTTAAAATGTTACTCATCACTCATTTACACTTGGTAGTTCCCAGTAATATGACAGGAAGTAAGACAGGCTAACAGTTGTCTACAATGTATGTATTTACATTCAATTGAAGTTACACATGCACAGTAATAATTTTAAATAAATCAAATGCACTGATCCAAATAAAATCTGATTCAAGGTATATTTTATAAAGTACAAAAGTCTTCAAAATTTAACTTCCTTGAATAAGACCAATTTTCATTTATTTAAAGATAAGTTAGCTCCAAAAGAAGAAATGTAAACATCAGATATCATGATAAAAATCTTATGAAATAACAATTTTATCATAAAGTGCTGGCAAACGCTTTCAGCTTTATTTTCCAGATGATAAAAACAGAATACTGATGTACAAAGACTTCCACAAGTTTCCCAGCTGTAATTTCAGTTCAATAATAATTTTGCAGAATTTTAAAATGTAACAATTTTATAAACATTCTTTTCTACCTTTATCTGTTGCAGTTTTATGACATTTTCTTCTTTACCTTAAGTGAACTTTAACTTCTGAGTATGCATAAAATAGTTTGTATTTTTAATTCAACAGTTCAAATTAGACTCCATGCTGGTGGAAAAAACAAAAGGTTAGATAAGACTCCAACTGGGAAAAGCCAAGGACTTTGAGAAGTAAGGGTACTGTAAGTTACCTGAACACAATCCAACAATTGCCTTTAGCAAAGTAATATTATAATTATATATATTACCAGTATCACTGAAAAAAGTTATATGAGAATTAATACACAAAGGAGACTCAGTGTGGTTCATTTATACCTAGGCATCTGAGCTTCGTATGTGCTGAATATATCCATTACTTCATTTCACATGAGATTAAGTCTTGGAAAATTTTCACTTTCTGACAAACACAAACTGAAAGATAGTCTTACATGCCTTACACCTCAGTTGACATTTCACTTATCAACATAAGTGTCACCCAAAATAAAGACAACGGTCCTGAATTCCCCCATGCATTATGGTGATACCTTATATTGTAATCTATTTGTAAAAAACCCTGTTCCTTTCTTGTGTGAAAAAAAGATAAAATACAACTTTTTACCACTCATGTTCACCTCTCAGTCATATGTTGTTCCAAAACCTCAGTCTGCCTAACTATTGACAAGTCCACAGGAACACTGGAAAAAGATCATCAGATTGTGGTGTTACATTATACAAAACAAACCAAATGCAAATCAAAGACAATTAAGTCTAAGCTCTGAGGAGTGAAAAATCCCAGAAGTATTTTAAAGTGCCATTTACTTTCAGAATATTTATATAAGTTTTAATACATTCCCTAAAAGACTTCTAGCCTCAGTGTTATGATTAGGATTTTATCTTGTCAGTACTAGCTTCAGGCTGTTAAGGTATGATTGGTATTTGCTTTAAGTCAAAACTTGACATAGGCATTACTTCCTCAGAGCCTAAAAACAGGAAGTAGAAGGCAAATAACTTAAATAACAAACCCACTGAACAAACCAAATTTAAAGGCTTAAAACAATTAAGTAGTTTGTCTTTAAATACTAACACACTGCAGTCCATTTCTCAGAGCGGGCACGAAGCTAAGTTATTATGGATAACAGTAACTGACAGAAAGATGCACTGCACTTCTGCATTAGAGGGCCATAATGAAGAGCTTTTAATTGCAGCTTTGCTGGCAAACCCAGTTATTTTCAGTTTATTCAGTTACTACTTTTAACTCCAGAGAGGCTTTCATTTTGGGTTTGTTTTTTTTTTTTGTTTTGTTTGTTTGTTCTGGGTTTTTTTGGTTGGTTGGGGTGGTGTTGGTGTTTTGGGTTTTTTTGTTCATTTGTTGTTTTTTTGAAGAATGGGTCACAGGTAGATGATACTATTCCAGAGGTTTTATGAAAGCAAACTAACTAGTTTATTGAATGTTCACATCAGCACAGGACCTTCACCCTCTTCAAATATGACTTACTGATAAGGAACAAAGGACCACTAGCACAAGGACTGACAATCTACCCATTTTCTATTCAAGCACTGCAGAGACACAACAACACAGGAAAAAAAACAGAGTATGCTTTACAATCCCCAAGCGGATCAGATCTATAAGGCAGAAACACTTCCTTAACTACTAATGATCCTACAGAGAAAGCAGTTTTCCAAATGGCCCCAAAAGATACATCATGTTCCCAAAACATACCACCTTTAGCTTCCATTTAAAGCTATGAGAATGGTCACAAATCAGCCCAGTAAGACAGCTAGATTCACTTTCCCTGCTTAGACCAATTTCTTATTAAGGCTAGTCATAAAAGTGCGCACGTATTCAACCACCCTTTGGCAAAGCTTGAATTTAAACAAACTAATTTTCAGGTTTTAGTTTGTTCATTCTGGCATCATTTTTGGACTAAAACTTGAGAAGTGCAAAAATATTTAATTATATCTTCTTAAAAAAAATAATTCACTTTATTGGTGCAACAACCCCAATTTTTCAGGAGTTAAATCCATTGCCAGCAATGGATAGAAAAGGAAGCACCGGCATGAAAGAATCAAAGTGCATTTCCAGTATGCCAATGCCGCAAGAATTGGCAAGCCATCATTTTATATTCACCACTGGAATAGATTATGCTAAATTCCTTTTATAAAAGTCTGTATTACACATTAGCATACTAAGTCTGTCATGAAGTCTTGGGGATACTGCAATGAATCATCAAAACGAAAACGTTTGGAGACTGTACTGCTGTCCTCTGGAATGTTTTCTTTGTCTTCCTTATTACTACAGGTACCATTACAACTGGATTTTACATTCCGTTCCTCCAAGCATTTTGTTGTGTGTCCTGGCATCAGAGAAGAGCAATAGGTTTCTTCAGGGCTACACAAGAGTATGAACTCCCCTTGCTGTAACCACAAATGAGACAAACAGGCCTCTGCTGTGGGTCTTTCCCTTCGAAAAAGAAAGTGGTAAAGTTGATTAAGTTAATTTCAGAAATACTAAAAATGTAATTAAAATAGCTGTGACACATGGTATGAAATCTTAAGCCAAATCGACACTGAAGAATTAATATTGCTGGTTTTCTACCACTACCATAGCTTCTACAAAACACACTAGACACTAGCGTAATTAAGGTTAAATACTGGCAACATGCATCTAAATTTTAGTCAACAGTTTCCCCTACTACTGAATGTCAGAACTGTTAAGTTTTTCATCAGAACAAGGAACAGGTATTTCTCAGACAGTATTCACAGTCCACTGGAATGTTTTCAGCATTGTTTGTGTGTGTATACATATATATATATGCACATGCACAAAGTCCTATGTTTTATACAGACCACTGTAATAGGGAGGCTAATGAATATTCAGTCATTTGGTTTTCAAGGAAGGCCAAATAATACGATGCCATCAATTCTATCTGACATTTTGCAGTGTTTTACTCATGCAATTCATCTGGTTAAACCCTTCCAAAATGTAGTTACTAACAAACAAACCACAGACTTACAAAATTGTTCCTTTGGCTAACCTAGTATAGTGCTACTACAGCTTTCATCATGTTCTGCATTGCTAAGTTCCACAGAACTTGCTGGAAATGCAACAGTGCCTGCTACTGCTCCTTAACTCTACCAGAACACACGGAATATTTTTTGGTCAGAGAATGATAGCTTTATAGAGTTGACTATCTGAGGACAGATTTTTCCTCTTAAGATTCTAAAAGATATAGTCAACAATTATTGGCATGTCAAAAAAAAAACAACCACCACATTACTGAGGATATAATGAAGACTGAGATGCCCAGAGGCAAGAAAGTGAACAGAATAATAACTGACAATGTCAAACATCCCACAGGTCCACACTAACGTTTACCAAAGCACGCTCTTCCTAACTGCTTCCCGCATGATACTGTGGTTTTTGTCAATTATTCTAGATATTGACAAACCCTCTATGTGAGATACTAAATTAAAATGGACTGTTCAGACATGAGTTTATATGGAGTCTTTATTTAATCAAAGCAGGCACTTCATGGGTATCATCTCCCATCGTCCCTTCCTACCAAAGAACCTCTTTCTTAACCAAACAACAGGGTCACTCCTGCTTGCTGCAGGCTCTCCAAAGACAGGGACTACTGTCTCACTACAAATGGCAATACCTAGCACTATAATTGACAATACCTGACCATGCCTAGCAGAACATGACTAACTGACTTTACTGAATACTATTTCCCCATATATATCTTCTAGGGTGGTGGGTTTTTTTGTTTTGTTTGTTCTTTTGGGGGGTTTTTGGTTTGTTTGTTTTTTTTTGGTTTTGTTGTGTTTTTTTTGTTGTTTGTTTGTTTGGTTTTTTTTTGTTTGTTTGTTTTTTTTTTTTTTTTTTTTTTACTGCATTTGCTGATGCAGGAGGTTAAATATCCAGATTTAAAACTATCCAGCAAGTGTAGACACAGTTAATGTCTATAACTCTCCCACTCTCAAAGATCATCTTCTCCAAGTTCAGCTACTTTGAAAGGCCTTGATTAAAGCATGAACTCTCAAAGAATGCAAAGTTACTGAAGCATGTCTTACAAACAAAAAGTTCATATTTTGGATTTAGAATATTTTTATAGAAGTCTGAACATGGCAAAACACTAAGTATTTCTGAAGCATATATGCTCAGTCAGAAGACTGCCAAATTGTTATATAAAATGTATTAAAGTAGAAAAATACATTAAATTTAAGTAGGAAACAAGAAAGCACTGCCTCAAAAAGATTACAATTTGTCTCCCCAACTTGTGCAATAAAAGGTTACATTATAGACAAGAACGCCTCCTCTCTAGAATGTATTTCACCAGATTTGTTAATAATCTGTCCTCTGAATAAAAATATAAAGAAACTCAAAATACAAAACTCAAAGCACAAGCCTGACTACAATAATGGCCAGACAGTGAATCAAAGATCCTTTTCATTACAGAAAAGCATAAACCTACACTCTTAACTATCCAGCTGATAATACCAGTCCATTGTAAAGTATCTGAAAGATCATATCAGTGGTATTAAGCTCCCAAATTAACATTCACTTTTTCTAGGTGCTCCACAAACATCAAATATAAGATTCTTGCCTAGAGGAATTTGTTACTTACTCGGGATTTTTTATGAGAAGTTTTTGAATGAAGTCTTTGGCAGGCTGTGAAACCGATGAAAATGTTTCTTCTGAATAATCCACGTTAACTTGAGATATATTAAGGTAAGTTTCTTGATTATCAGCTCCCACAAATGGAGATTCTTGTGTCAGCAGCATGTACGAAATCACACCTATGTTCCTGAGGTAAGAACACAATGTATAATCCTACTACAATACCTAAACAATATTACCCCATATTTATTGTGCTGCAGATCGAACTTACAGATGTATGCCACACTCAGTTAGAAACATCATGGGATGTCTCAGATTGACGTGATTCAAGCATGCCTGCACATGCACACGCAAGGAAAGCTATGTATGTATCACAATTAAGGGATTTTCGAAAGTTGCTTACTTGCAACCTACCCTTTTCTTCCCACTGAAATTGTTAGGAAAAGGAAAAAAATCACTTTTACACAGCTCATTCTTGAATATATGGCAATTCTGGATGATAGAACTGCAAAAAGACTTTCTAATTTGTAGGTAAATAGAACCCCATCTTTCACTACAATTCTGGATGAAGTATCAAAGACTGAAATTTAATCAACCCTTCTGTACAACAGGCATCTGAGTTGCATTAAAATATCCTCTTGCTGAGATGTTTTTCACTACGGACATGAAAGTGATTATCACACATCATGTGTTATTATAAATCTTAGATGGCTTTTTGATGCATAATAAAAATGGTTTTGTGATTTGATAGATCAAACATTAGCGCTCATTAGTGTGGAAACACGCAGCTGCGGTGTTTGCCATCCTGAGTAGAGCGCCAACAGTTTGTTGTTTTTGTGTTCCCACAGAAGCAGGCAAATAGTAAGTAGTTAAAACACATTCACAAGGAGATTTAACTATGAACTGTGAATTTCAAAGGACTAATTAGCTCATAGCAACTTTAAAAACTGAATTTTAATTATTTAGATGCTCAAGAAGAACATATGAATATTTTATGCTTTTAAGGAAACAACTCAGACTTAGCCTTTACACTAACACAGCTCATTAAATGAATAGGCTACAAAGGTATACTTAATGAAGTTGTGGATTAGTTTAAGATACTTGTCTCATTTTTTATGACTCATTCTGCAGATACTGCTCTAAAGATAGGAAGCAGGAAGTTAAAATACTTCTCATAATTTGTGTAATAAAATCATTTAAGGATACTTAAGTGGGGAGGGAGGAGCATCCAAGAGCAGTTAATGCCTGAAGCATGTCATCCAAGAGTAACTAATACCTAAAGTATGCAGTGTCCAATCATTGTTACTGTTCCCTTTGAACAAACACCTATAACTCTGCATGCTCAGAAGCAACCTGCATTCCCTACTAGGTGTGCAACAGACCTATATGCAGTAATTTCTGTAAGCCTCAAGTTATATTCCGAGGGCTCTTTCCCCTCCCAACTCTCCCTCTTTTGGTCAGCCCACCAAAAGAAGGGTATTCTTGGAAGCCTGGTAAAACTGGATCTGGCCCTCTAGATTGTTAAGTGGTCACAACTGTAACAATAAAATTAATTAACATATACAACCTACCACATATCTGTAGCTGTGGTAATAGGATCGTAGTTTAAGATTTCTGGAGCTAGAGAAAGAAACGGGGCAAAGAAAAACACTTTAATAGATATATTATTCAAGTGGCCTTGAATCATACACTACATTTCTGGCAGTTTTTTGCCAATCATTATTACAATAAACATGCAGTTTCAATAATCAAGTTTATTATTTTTAAGCCACAAGGGTGGAGAAGTTATTTCTGTTCAATTAGACACACCGATGCTTAATTGGTTCACACTAAAATGTCACTATATAACTTAGTCTATTCTATCCAAATCCCAAGGTATTTTCTATTCAGATGCATGCACATAAGAGTCTAAGAGATTATCAACTATATAGCTTTTTAAGGGGAATGCATAAAGCCTTCAGCACATCAATGCTGCAAAGCCAGATGACCAAGCCAGTTTTAGGATCAGTGGCTGTTAGCCATCAAACTTTGTGAAGTCACACTTTTACAAATTCACATCACTTTTGCCAATACCTTTGACAGTGATTCTGTAAGTGATCTAAACCAGCCATCTGTGACAGCTAGACAGCAAGTTATTCACCACATACTGAAGTGTTTTTAAAATTGAGTGTAGGCAAAATCATTAAAAAAACCTGCCCTTCAGAGGGACAAGTATTAACAGCAATCTTTCCCTTTTCAAGGAATATTTTCATCTCATTATCATACTAAACAGCATTCCTAATTCAAAGAACATTTTTGTTCATGCTAATGTCATATTTCAACTCTAATCAGAAGAATTTAACAGCCAAAATTTCTTGTTGATTTAACAATCTGCATCACAGCAAATACTATAGCATGAAATTAGAAGTTCACCTATTGATATTATTTGGGGCTTTTTTTGGTGCAAATACTTGTTGACTTCTCTTAAAAAAAAAAAAAAGAACAGCTCAAAACATGTTGCCTTGTCTAGCTGTTCTTTCTCCAGTAATGACTAGAAAGTTGATAAGCATGTTACATGAACTGTTTTCTCAAAACCACACATCAGAAACCATGAAGCAACTGTTCCATACCTAGATATTCTGTTGTTCCCATGATCTGTCGCAGTTCACTAGAAGTCTCAAGCTTCCGAGACATACCAAAATCTACAATTTTTACATCACCAAGAGGACTGATGCTGCTCAGCAAAATATTTTGAGGCTAGAATAGGAAAGATTTAATTCTCAATTAATAAAAGAGAAGCTGCAAAAACCCAATGTACTAAATATTTCATTTCTATTAAACAATACTTATTGCAAAATTTTGTTTTTAAAAATTATTTAATCTCTAATACACTCCTTTTTCTCCTCATCTTTGTTATGTTTTTAACAAATGACTTATAATAATCACAGTATTAAATTGAAAATAAAGTACTAAAAGTCTGCTGCAGCCTCACCTTTAAATCAAGATGAACAATATTGTTTTCATGCAAGCAACAGAGTCCTTCAAGTATTTGTCTTATAAGTCTTACAATATCCCTTTCACCAATTCTGTCATCCAGATCTGGGACACACAAGTCAAATATTTCTCCTCCAGCAGCACTGAAACACAATCAAGAACACTAACATATTAAATCTGAATTTTCAAACTTAAGTGAGGAAAAATTTTATATATTGTGCCTATTTATATAAGATATATTCATATTCTCAGATAGTCTGGGAAAATTGTTATTACAATGGCTTATTTTGTTTGTTTGTTGTTTTGTTGTTTTTTTTTTGTTGTTTTGTTTTGTTTTTTGGTTTATTTATTTATTTTAAATACACACCATACAAGCACTTGGAAAAGGAAAAAAAAAAAACGAAACTGATGATGCTTTTTCTTTCCTCATAGCTGGCAACAGCAGCTGAGAAAGTGAAACAGAACTTTGTGGCTGACAACCTCAGAACGCTTTGGTACCCTCAAGCATGCTTTCCTGCAAGCCAGTGTGAAGATGCCTTCAGGAAAATGAGTTCTACCATCATTCCCTAACAGAAGCAGCCTTTCTCTTCAAGTCAAATCTAAAATTTCTTCTATTAGACAAGTTCCATAGATAATTCAAAGCAAGGAAGCCCAACAGTATTCCTATTCTGTGAATCTGGAAATAACATTTTTTTTTTTTTTTTTTTTAAAAACACATACTGTGGTGTAAATGTAAGAACTACAATGCAATGAACAGCTAGAGTTACTGAAGAGTATTTCTGAAGTGGGAAGAAACTGCGTACTTGCCACCCAAGGTCCTGCCATTCTGATGGAAGACTAAAACTCAGAGAGGTACCCGAAACAAAATCTTGCATGCTGCTGATGAATATACAGTTGTCTCTTTAGTTAGTGAGTAGTATCTTCCAGAACTCTAGCAGACACAGAATATTCAGAAATACAACTACCTCTTTGAAATCTACCATTTCCACACTAACAACAAAGATGAGATTGACAAGCTTCATGTTTTCACACAGCATCTCAAATGTATCTTCCCCGGAAAGAAGCTGTTGTTTACTTACAGAAAACCCTACTATTAGTACAGCATAAAAGAAGCATGGAAATAACCATGTTGCATGTGGTTTATTAGTTACACTTTGCTGCAGTGTCAGCTGTTCTATTTTGTGCTGGGTTTGAAATCCTTATTCAGCCCGCTCTAACTGCCTGAAGTTTCTCAACAATAAAGGGCTATCTCAAAACTACAGATCAGTAAGCCTAAACTTCAAAATTATAGAGTCTATAAAAAAAGATAACGGACAACATGGATGAACACAGTCACTAACCTGCTGGAGCTGTGAGGTGTCAGTAATGCCTCTCCTAATTGCCTTTATGACAAAATGTAGATGAGGGGAAGAGCAGTGGATGCCATTAACTTTTACAAGGTTTTCAATACTGTCTCCCACTGTATCCTTGTATCTAAGTTACTACATTATGGTCTGGATGGGTGGACACCCAGATGGGTAAAGAGCTGAACAGCTCTGCTGAGGAGGACTGGTGAGTCCTCAGAGGCGGCGAGCTAAAGGCAGCAAAGGCGGTCAGCAGCACCTTGAGCTGTAATAACAGGAGCACAGCCAGTAGGCTGAGGCGAGTGGCTCTACCCCGCACGCTAGGCCACAGCTAGAATGCAGCATCCTGGTTTTGGTTCCCCAGTTCAAGGAAGTCATTAACCAGCAAGTTCAGCATCAACTGAGAAAGCAAGTAGAAGAGCACCAGATAACCTGTAGCATACATAAATGTAATATCTTCAGAAAAATAACCTAATAGAATCCTACACAATGCCAAATTTTGAACTGGCAGGTACAGCTCGGGAAATTTTGATTGACAGTTCTTTGAAATAATTGCACCAGTGTGCAAAGCAGCCAAAACAAAAGGCAACATACATGGCTATCATCAAGATGCTACTGGGAACAAAAAACAGCAAAATGATGCTCAGTATAAAAATCTTAGCATGTAGTTCTGGCTTCTGTATCTTCAAGAAGTGTGTAAGATTAGTGAAGATAGAGATGGGCAAGTAAGATGACAGACGGTTGCTTTGAAAGAAGAAGCCAAAAAGACACTGACTCCTCAGTTCGGATAGAAGATTGTGGGAGAGTTTATCAATGAAGCTTACAAAAACACTAAAGCTGGTTTAGAGATGAACAAAGAACTGTTATTCACTAAATCTCACAATATGAGAACTAGGAGGCACCTGATAAAGCTAGCAGATTACTTTAAAAAAGATGAAGTATTTCTTCACATAGTAGGTAATGAACTTCTGTAATTTATTACCACTAAATTAGACAGTATCACCAGGTTCAAAACAGGACAAAACAGATACACGGACTACAGGTCCTTAAACAGAGAGTAAAAGGAACAGGCAGAGAGGTATCCTCTGTACAAAACCTCTGGTTGCTGGTGCAGTGCAAAGAGAGCAGATAGCAAAAAGTAGACAGGCTCATACACTCCTTAGCTCTTCCTAAACAGCATCTCCCTACAGCCATTGCTGGAAACAGCAGCAGATCAGACAGACCGCTGATCTGACTCTATAGGCCTTGCCGTAGCTCTTCAATGAACAAAACTTGATTTGAAAATTAGCACAGCTGCCTGGTACAGCTGTAAAATGAGTTAGTACAGCTGCCAGGTTTCTCTCCAAATAACTGGATTCCTCCAATTACCTTTGACCCTCAGATTAGAAGAGTAACAACCTCTGTTGTGGGGCTTCTGAAGAAGTCTTTAGTATTCCCCTCCTCAAAGACGGCCTTATTAAGAACTAGCATCCATTTCTTTCCTTTAGTTAGAAAATGTGCGCTTATACGAACAGATTCTTACTACATCTTCCAAATAACCCCACCAATACAATCCAACAACAGTGAGGACCATATATAGAAGGAAAAATACGGATAAACAGGAAATGCTTATAAATTATTTCATGAGCAAGAGACTAGTTTCTTGAGATTCTTTTAAAGTACTGCTTCAGAGTTCTGATAACGAGAAACCAAGCAAAACCTTGTCCTTCTGTAGCAGAATACAAAATTTAAAAGTGTAATCAGCCCTCCGCTTATCCCAACAGAACTAGGAACACTTACTGCAAGACTTCTGAACACTACTACAAAGCAGACCATTAACACCAATGTAGCATAAGGAAGTTAATTCATTACAGAGCATCAGTATGCAAGACAGAGTTAGCTGAGCTGAAACAGAAGCAAATCAGTATGGCTTTTATGTCACCTTGCAATTGTTCTTAAGAAGTGCAAAACTGGTCATCTGAACTTTGTCTTTACTTCTATATTATTTATTATTTTAGTCTTCTCAGGACAACAAACAAAATGTTAGAGATTATCTAGTTCCAGGAAAAAAGCTTTTTTAAAAATTATCTACCTACATTCTTTGAAAAAGTGAAGGAATTTATCATGGTGTGTGCAGAAGATCATTGATAGCTCTTCAAATACTTCGTACAATTGAACTTAAATCCTACAGACTTTCTGGATTAATTTCACGAATTGCATTTTTGTTTCTTACATTCCAAACAAACATTAACACATACAGCAAATATGATAGCTAATGCAAATTCAAATTAAATTCCCAAATTAGACTTGTTTTCAGAGGTAATGAGAAGCCACAGGAACATCTAAAAAGATATGGGAATTTCAGAAGAAATAGCTCCAAAAGTCAAACAGTTTTCAAATATCAAACCTACTAAATTCAGAAGCTCAGAACCTGCAAAAGAATTGAAACTTTTCAGACACCAAAAAGCGTTAAGCAGTGACTGAAGTTCACAGAACATGGACATGCTCAGCTTGTCCGAAATCTGTGTACTTGGTACTAGTGACTGTTTTTTTTTTTTAGTACAATTTAAGATGCATCAGAGCACTATGCACCTCCTATGGGATTCAAGAACATACTCTCCAGCCAGCTTGCATGAAAGATTCTCTAAAAATAAAAATATGACATCCTAGAGTTGGTATTCAGGTTTTGTATTAGTTTAGCCTGACCTAAAAGTTGATCAGAGCTTTTTCTACAAAAATCCAACTAGTAGAAGAAATAATCTCCTCAACTTGAACAGGGACGTTTTAATCAAAACTACTCCCCTTAAATAGTATTTAAAGGCATAAAAAATATTTCACTGAAATTCAGTGAAATTGTCTATGAAGCTGAGTTATGCAGTGGGAAGAAAGAAGAATCTCTCTTAATTTTTTGATTTTTTTTTTGTAAAAAAAGAAAAAAACTACAATACCTTTCAGTCCATATTTTTAAATTTTGAGTACAGAACTACTATAAATTTTGATGCATTTTGTTTTATGGCTTATACCACGTTGTTTGACATAACTCATTAGCTGTGTATGTAACAAAACACACGTACAAAACCAAAGACTCAAATTAACAGCAATAGATTCAACTCTTGCATTTACATGAAAATAAATCATACCAAAAAAGTCCCTAAGAGCTTATAAAATATCATAATGAAACATTAGCATGATGTATATAGCATATTGTTGTAATTCTTCTAGGTGTTGAGGCAATTCATGCAAAACAAAAAGAGTATGTTGACAGATTCTTAACTACAAAAAAGGAACACCTGATAAAGGCATACTTACTATTCCAACACTAAGATGATTTCATTTGCTGTTTCATAGACTTCATGGAGATTAACTATACGAGGATTAGATTTCATTAATTCAAGTACAGCAATTTCATGAAGAATCTCTGCTTTGCAGTCCTGACCTCTTCTTCTTTTCTTTAAAAATTTAGCTGCATACTCTTGGCCTGTGGATTTAGCTATACATTTTCTAACCACAGCACATCTTCCTCTACAAGATAAAAGAGAAAACATTAATACCCAAGACATATCAAGTACAAAAAATGCCATTAGAAATAAAAGGCATGGCAAATAATTGGAAACTAAGAAAAAAAAAAAAATCAGGGAAATGCCATGTTTGGCCTGTTCTTACACTATTCCCTGAACATTCACTTTCAGCCACTGCAGGAGAAAGGCTACTAAACTAGATGAAGCTTTGGCATGACCCAGTAAAATTTCCTTTATACAGACCAGCTAAACATTAAATCAGAGTATCACGTTATATACACATTCTCACCATAGGAGCACAGAACCATAGAGTAACTCGGGTTGGAAAGGACTTCTGGAAGTCTCTAGCAAACTCTCCTGCTTACAGCTGGACGAGCTATGAGATCCTACTAGGCTGCTTGGGGCTTTGTTCAAGTTGGCAATATGATATTAAGAAAACTCAACCACATTATAGCACCTGCAGAATACAGTAATAAACAAAGCAAAACTCTGAAATGCAGAAAATGAACACAGAAAATAAAACATTTTTGTCTGCTGCAGCAGGAGGAAGGTCTTCGGTGCAGAAAATTTTAGAGTCAGAATTTCCCTCCACAAATCATGTAGTACTGCTAAAAAAACCCCAGGTATCTGCAACATCTTAATAGAAAAACACCCACTACTTAGCATTCTCTTTCTCAATTACAGTTAGGCAGAGTGTGCTGCTTTATTTCCTAGCCAACTGTTTAGGTATGGAAACAAAAATGTATTTTGGCAAATAAATGTTTTTAAAAGAAAACCACACACTGTAGTTAAAACATCAAGCTGACCTTTTAAAAAATAAGGGGAAAAATGCAGTTTTTAAAGCCAAGTTATAAACTCCTGAAAAAACAGTTTTATAATCTCAAATTTTGCATTCCCAGAAATGCCTAGTTGCATACTTGCAAAGTGTTTCCAAATGATACAAAAAACATTATTTAAAAAACAAAACAACAACTTGAAGGGCTTATTAAAGGGCAATTTAAAATAAATTGTGTAAAGTTCTAAAACCACTTATAACACTGTGTATAAAGAACAAGATCTACACTTATGACTTTGAAAAAACGCCTTTCTACGCATGTTTTTTGTTACCACAGCATACTAAGAACAAACTTAATGAAGAAGCTCAGTATGAGCTATCTGAGCTGTGTTTTTCCAACTAAATTTGCTTCTTTAGTAGAAAAGACTATGTTGTCCTGCAAGCTTTGCCTTTCTTCTGGTGCAAAAAAACCCAATGCCCAAAAGGAGCATCTCAAAAAAACCCAAACAAAAAACCCCATGTCTGAGGCTTCTTTGAAAAATATTTAGACTTCAATATTCAACCAAAAAAGTTATGAGAAGCTCATAAAAAAAATCAGATTTCCATTTGTAAATAAACATGTTAAATACAGTTTGTACAAATCTAAACTATTAAACATGTAAAGTTGACGTTTAATCAGACTGCTTTCACTACTTTAGAAATAAGCTATTTTAGCTGTTCTGTTAAGTTCATCTGTCATCATTTATGTCAATGTCAATTAGCTGTAGGATTTTTGTCCTTTTTTTAAAACACTAAATTTAGAAAGAGTACAAAACTCAAAAGAAACATTAAGAGGTGAAAGTTATTTATAGCCTGATACATGTACGCTCTTCATTTTAGCAACTATTTGTAAGGCCAAAATGGCCCAGTTCTTAAACCAGCTTATTATTGCAGAGAATTTTAAGTTCTTGAGCTGAATTTCGTAATATAACAAAGTTTAAGATACTCCCTCACATCTTACATTCTTTTTTTAACATCACATCACCCTGTCAACCACAAAAGTTTCTCTACAATTAGTAGAGAATTGAGTTTCATGAGAACAAGATCCTCCTGATAGTTTTTTGCACATCTTCCTTCTAGTTGCTGCAGGCGTAACAGCTTTGAAGGGTCAGCAGTATCTCCAGATTGAAGATGTAAGAATGTCCACTTGTTTATACTGTATTTGTAGCGTGCCAATTAATACAAAATTATTACAACAAAAAATTGTTTCAGAGCAGTGGAACTTCCCAAGAAATGCAAAAAAAGTCAGATCTGAAATGGTGTAGTGAAGCAAGCAAGGTGGTTAACACTGCTTGTTGCCTGCAAAGCAACCGCTTAACTATCACACTTTACAGCCCAATTTTACAAGATAAAAATAGATTTCAAGTTGTTTTCATATCCCAAGCTATAAACCACAGAAATTCAACTACTTCAAAAGAAGCCAAGCCATCCACATACTGAGGACAAAACTACTTAACCCACTAAACAGAACCTGCCTGATTTGTGAGTCAGTGTCTTAACTACTACAGGACCTAAAAGATAAGGGTGTGGGAGGAAGAAATGGGACTTGGGAAGCTTAAGCAGAGAAGAACAAATGAACCATTTACTAAGTAACCTGAAGAGGAAGAAGGAAATTGCAAATGAAAAAGAAAAGCATATTAAATCTTTTAGAGAAGCTACAAAGAATGGTGGATTTTACATCACTTAAAAGTGTTGTAAACATCTTAAACGTTAAAAAAAAAAGGTATATACACACACTATTAGGCCAGGAAAAGTCAAAAGTATGTTTGGAAAACAAACTACTCTGCTTCTGTTTCTTTGCACTTTAGTACTTATTTTGCTATGCCTGGTTTTGACATTATCTCACAGGTATGTATAATCTAGCATTTTAAGAATACTGGAGTTCTAGAGGATGATGCATATAAACTGCTCCTCTAGAGCCTAGAATTCAAAACTAGCACTGACAAAGGGGTATGAAAAGAAGAAAGTTATGGGCTGCAAGGTGCACTTTTCATAAAAGTTTACCAGATAAAGCACATGCCAGGGGAAAAAAAAAAAAAAAAAAAAAAAAACACCAAAACAAAACAAGAGAACAATGAAGGCTAAAGAGCTTACAAAATCACATGTAGAAGAGCATCTCTGCTGACAAATCAAGTTGCAGGTGCAAAGGACTGCTATGTAGCACAGCAAGGCACAACAACTGTGAGACTGACCCACACCACTTCTCTGTTCAAGGAGCTTTGAAACACAACCACGGCATTATGTTTGCATGGCTTTGCACCCGATTCACTGTATGTTTTCAAGGTATGAATTAACACAGTGATTTAAAAAAATGCATTAACTCAAATGTCTGAAATGGTGTCATAAATACCAAGGTTTGTTTTTGTTGTTTTTTCTTGTGTTCTGTTTTGTTTTATTCATTATTTTACTGTTGCAAACATGAGCAAGGAAAGCAGGCTGCAAAACTATTCTGGAAAACCAGGTTGTTAGAAATAGACTAACCGCTTGAGGGTTAGAAGGGAGAGAAAAAGGTCTTTGTTTTCTGGACTTTAAAAAACTCAACCAAGCAACCAGAACAACCAACTCAAAATCCCCATTCTTTGTCTTGTAGTATTACCCTATGCCATCTCTTCTTTAGTTTACATACCTGGAATGTGATGTGTGACTAGACAGGGGAAATGGAAGAAAAGGAACATAATGCCAGACCTACATACCTATGAAAACAGGCTAAATCTCTTTAACATGGAAAAGGCTGGCAACTTATGTCTCACTGTACCTCTGTACCTTTTCCAGGTCCCTAGAGAACCCAGTAGATCCTGCAAAAAAGGGGGTGGGGAAGGAGAGAGGCATACTTCATTCCCCATCTACTACCATAAAAGGTTGCCAGAAGAGCTCTATCATTGCAGAAAGAATTCTCTCGCAGCAGAAATTCCCCTTACTAAAATAAAATAAATAGGAATAATCTTACCTTCCTAGCTCTTTTGATTCAAGCATATAAAAATTGTGGAAATTGTCTGTCTTGATTTGTGTCTGCAAAGATGTGGCTAACAAGCCAGAAAGGCTTTTATTCTCCAGCTTTCTCCTCGACATAGTCAGGATCAGATCCCTCTCTTCTACCAGTCACCTGTTAAAGCAAAACAATGAGGAGTTTTTGAAATTCCATAATTACAGCACAGGAAAGTATACAAATACTAGAGTTTAGGTCTGTTATACTAGAATAGCCTTAAGTTTGTTCAATAATGACCTGAAAACAACACATTTAATTACTGTAAAAATAAAACCTGAAAGGAATACTAATCAAGACATCCTAAGAAAAATAATTGAAAGACCTTTTCTCTTTAAATAATTTAAACATTTAAAATAAGTGGGTTTTTCTCCCCTGGAACATAGCCATAAGATATTAGGGACAAGATTCAGTACTAGTAAAAATGCTAGTAACTACTTCGCTATTAATGATATGTACTTTTTTTCCTTAGCTTTCTAAAAATAAGCTTTAACTCTTCACTGGATTCTGGGTAAATTCCAGCAAATCCCTTAAATTTACACTTTTAACTGATATCCCTGTGGGACTTAACCAAAACTCCTTCCTGTTTCTTGTCTGCAACACAGCAGGAATAGCTAACCACAGGGAAAAAAAGTAAGTTTTTTTTCCAGCGAGAAGATTCACATTTCTTATTACACTCACTCACAACTCATCTAAGTTTCATTTTAACGCTAGATTTATTGTCAGAAAGCAGCATGAATGGACAACATCCTCTTTGCAAATTCAGATCATTTAGAACCAAATGAGGTAGTAATACTGATTAAATTACCTTAATAAATGAGCACATTATGAAGATATGCCCACCCACATTATTTCTACTACTGTTATTAAAAAAACAAACAAACCAAAAAAAAAAAAAAAAAAAACAAAAACCACGAACACAAAACTAAACAGTAAAAATACTGGGTTTTGGCATTCACATTTATAGGCCTAAAGCATCTCTTATGGTGACATGCAAAAGCAAGGTAGAAAAAGGTTACTGAGCAATAACAGAAGTCTTAACTGATGGTTTATTTTAAGTTAAAGAGGTTTACCTTTATTAGTGAATGAAAAAAAAAAAAAAGCAAATTTCAGTTCAGATACAGTTAACAAAGACCTATTTTCAGTTTTCAAATGACACAAGTGTACGGTCAGAAACTTCTGGGGGAGCACTTGAACTAGTTATGATCCAAATATAACCCAGTACCCATCAAACATTGTTCAAATTACCAGTTCTTGGAACATGGACATTCATATTGGAACTACTGCGATTTAAGTCATTATTTATGCTTTAGCAGGACCAAAAATACCACAGTTTAAGAACATCTTCAAATTAGCATTTCGTAAGTATGCAATAGCTTCTTAAAAAATTATCAAGGGGTCACAATACAATCTAACATACAGGTCTTTGAATCACCTTGTTTGTAGCAAACACACATTCCTTTTTCCCCAATTATATGACAGTTTAACATATAAGAGACTGTTTTATATGTCTGAGATTTTACATGACTCTCCTTACAGCTGTACTCACTAAATAGAGTTTAACAGTTAGTGTCACCTTGTTAGTGCAGTACTTCAGCACAAAAAGATTTATTTATATTAGACAATTGACCTAATTGATGAAGTGCTTACTATTATCAGATTTATTATGTAAATTTTCATTTTATAAAGAGCAATTATTAAGCAGAACTTTTGTCTTATGTTGAATTAACTTTGTTTCTCTACTAAGATACCACATCTCCTGTTTTTAGTCATCAAGAACACAGAAAAACATATTCACAGCAGGCAGAAATCCACAAATAGGCTAATGACAACGAGATCCAATTTCAAATCCAATCAGCTAAGAAAAAATACACAAATTCCAATACATTACCTATTTCCAAAATTAGAAGTGATACCTGTGTTTACACATCGCACCAAAAGCCCCGACTAACAGACATTCGACGTATGGGTCACAGAAACTTGAGAGCTTCCCATTAAAGAGAAAGCTTCCCACTAAACTCTCTTTAACCGGGCAAAAAGTCACTGAATTTAACTATTTCCAAATAAGTCGGGTCCCTGTTCCGTGCTGGGAAGACGCTGGGCAGAACAGGCCCTGGGACGAGCAGCACCAGGGCACGACGCGGCACTGCAGGGTCCGTCCCCCCCCCCCCCCCCGGTGGCGGACCGGGGGGCTGGCAGCCCCTGCCCCTGCCCGTCCCCCGCCGCGGGAGGCGGCTGTCTCCGCACCCCGGCCTCGCTTCAGCCTTTCAGCCCCGTTCCCTGTGCTCCGCGGGGGCTGCCCGCTCCCGGAGGACGCTGAAACCAGGGGACGGGACCCGGCCCGGGGTTCCCGCGGCAGCCGGGGGCGGGGGCTGCGAGCCCAACCCGGGCACACTCACCTCTCCCCGCCGGGCTCCCGGGAAGCCCCTCACGGGCCGAACGGCCCGCGCGCGCGCGCTGCAGGCCGGCCCCCGCCAACCGCCGCGCCCGCACCGTCGGCGTTTGAAAAGCGCCAGCCCGGTAGATGTGGCTGCCCCGGTCTGCGCCCGCCCACTCCGGCCGCCGACAGCCAATCCGCGCCCAGCGGGGCGAGCCGCCCGCCCGGCTATTGGTGGGGGGAGGCGTCCGAACGACCGGGGAGCGCCCCCGCCCGGCGGCCCTCGCCCCTGGCAGGCGGCCGGGGCCGCCGCCGGCTGAGGCGGCCGGCAGCGGCAGGTGCCGCCGCCTTGCCGGGCTCCTTGCCCGGCCCCTTGGTGCGAGCCGAGGGGGTGCCGTCGCCAGGGCACCGTCCTGCTCTTCCCCCTGCCGCGGTGCTGGGAGCCGTGGCCTTACGCGACACCGCTGAGGGGGGACCGAACGCGTCCGGGGCGGCTGCGGGAGAGCCATTTTGTTTCGCCGCCTCACGGAGCGCAGGGTGGGGAGAGCCGCCGGTTTGGGCGTGATGCGGCGAGAATATCTCCCAGCCAAAGGGCTGAATTTAATCTAAACGCCGTAATGGGGCTTATCGGTGTGTGTGCGCTGCATCCAGGAGTACCGGACCAAAGGGGGAAGGCGGCACAAGGTGCTGAAGGTGCGATGGCGCAGGGCTGGGCTGCACAAGGCGAGCTGCGAAGGCTACAGCCTCCTCTCCTTTCTGGTTTAGCATAGCTGGGGATCTGGCAGAGAAACCCCAAACCGCAGCAACAAAACTTGCGTGTGCTTACCAGCAGTGACTGCACAGGATTACGCTTCTTACAACATGTTTATGAGGCAGCCGGCAAAGTCTTGGGTGACTGTATTGCTGGCTAGGTCCAGTTTGAAACTGGTGTACCAGTTCTCACCGATGCTTGCATATGCATGTTCAGAGGGGAACAGAACCTACTTTTTAGTACTTTTATACAAGTACACATCTCGCACAGAGCCTGTTTGACAATCTCCATGCAAGTGGCAACTAAGTCTTCAGAGCCTCTTGCTTTAAGGAGCCCAGGATGAGGAGGGGAAGTTAAAAGACTTTAACTTGTGGTTTCAAAGACCCTTTTTGAGGATATAAAATCGCCTAAAGCATGCTTTAGAATTCAGTTGAAATTAGAGTTCTAAATTTGTTTGTCAAATTGATTTCCTCAGTGAAGCAATCCAACCAGCTGCCCTAGAAATTTGCAAACATCTGTTCTAGAATAGATTTGCCATAAAGGCAGTAATAGTAAAGTAGGATGAGTTTAAGAGTTATAAACTTAATTTCAGCAGTGCATCATTAGAATTACTGGGTTAATTTTGTTTATGCCGTGGCACTGCCAGTGAAATGTGTAATTGCTATGTGCATGGCAAGTACAGTACCCAAGTAATGTCATGGCAATGCTTACATTAAGATTAGATAAAGTAGTATAAATGAAGATGAGATCTGCAGTTTGAGGAAACAGAAAGTACTCTTGAAGACTTTGGAATATATTATACCATGCAGCTGACACAATAAGATACACTTATTAAGAACAAGACATACTTTTTCAAGTGTTAACTCCTGCTTGTTGGACCCTCCATCTAGATTTTTAGCATTTTGAGCTGTGGATACTTTTGGCAAAGTCCAGAATCCTTACTCTCCCCCACAGAGTTCCACCATCTCTGTAAAGTTCCAGACCATACCCTTTCTTCATTCCAACATGAGTTCAGAGGCATCTGCCAAATAAGAATACAACATGTAGAAAAGATTGGTTTTGTTGAGAAGCATTCGTTGTGCAGTATGAAAAGTAAGCAGCATTCCGAACATACCGAATGATCCACAGGAGTAGAATGAAACGATGACTACAATTAAGATGTTTTAGGTTATTATAGCACATGGTGCCAAGAAGTAAATGACAGTGCTTATGTTTGTCTCCTTAGCTGCTTGCGTGTCTTTACCGATCCTTTTCAAGGCCAGGATTTGCTCTACTCTCCCTTTAAGTTCTGAAAACCAAATAAATACTAAAAATGTTTCATGACATAGATGTTATTGTAGTCTTAGGTTATCTGTTTATATAATGCCATAGAAACATGCATGGCACTTAAGGGTGTAATTGGCAGGACTCCACCCTGAGGACTTTGGAATTTTACTTAGATACACCACCACAGAGAATGACAAACAAAGGGTGGGGAAGGGGGAATGGTAGGCTGAAGGTCACAACAGTACAGGATCACGAACTACATTTATTGCTTACACATACATTTGGTCATTAATTGCTATTTTTTAATTATCCTGAAGGTGTTAGCTTAATAATTTCCATTCTTAGTAACTTATTCTCTTGCTTGCCTTAATTACCTATCCATTACAAAGCTGGCTTTTTACAATCTTTAGAGGCTTTCATGAAAAGAACTATTTCTTCTTGATAAGTTACCCATTCGGCAGAGCTGTGATGCACAACAAGATGCCTTGATCAGAGCCATAGGTGTTTTAGGAAGCTACCCTTGTGGAAAAGGCTCAGTTCCCTCAAGAAGTGCCGATTTCAACTCAAACCTGTCACAGGGTTGATGCAGTTTGGACTGAATAGACAGCAACCTACCCTTCTCAGCCAAAAACTGTCACTAGAGTGGGAGACAAGCACGCAACACTTAAGAGCTGCACAGCTGGGAGCTGAGAATGAGCCGCCTTCTCCAACTCATTTGTGGTAACTTCTTTAACAAGACAATGACAAGGCAAGACCCTGATCTGTTGTACATGAGGCAAAAGAGTAACTCCACCAAGCTGTTAAGCCTCTTTGTGGTGTAGCCATTCCACAGGGCAGTACGTCCTTAAGTGATGAAACAACATGTGCAAAACAAAGCCTTACCTGAGCATCTTCCGTGTCCTGCAGTCCAAAAGTCACGGGGAAAGATCCACGTCATCTGCAAGTTGCCTCTGCTGCTGCAGCCTTCAAGAAGCAAGAGCAAATCTGCCAGCAAAGTGGATGATCGTTGTTGTGCAAAGTCCCCACAGCTGTTTGCTTGGCAGAAAAGTACGGAGTTAGCATGCCAGAACACCACACAGAGTAGTAGGCTAGCTGAAAAATGCTCTGACGCAGTGCATCTCAGGTCATAGCATAAAGCTGCCTGTCTTAGGGGGGATCCTCCTGTTCTTACTGACACTGAACGTTGTTTCTCTCTGTGGAGATAAAATAAGCAATACCACCACCTCCTCCACCCCCCCCACCCCCCCCCAAACCACCACCCTGTAGAGATTACCCAGGCCCCAGACACCTACGAGGGCAATGTTAGCTGAAGCAACCTCTCCAATACCAAATGCCAACAGAAAACATGAAATATTCAAAGCACAAAATGACATTTTGCCACAGGCCACTCAGAATCAGCATACCACCTCCTGCCGTATCTGCATTAGTCAGTTCTGGACATGACCGAATCATTGAATACAAATATCCCCCCTCATCCAAAAAGAATTATTATGTTTTTATTTAATACATGTCATTTTAAAAAAATCTGGCTTCCATTTGCCCATGCCAAAATCTCTGCAGGAATCCCACCACCTTCGCATATAGGAAAAAGCAGCAAGAGGCAATCCTCAATGCAATGGGCAAAGTCTTTGGATTTCACCCAGTCACTGCTTACCACAGTTGCCTCAGTGTCACCCAGCATGAGCTTCACATAAACTCCAGTCTTTATACCGAGGGGAACATGAGCAATTGCTCAATACATGGTGTTGGTTATCAGTGATCTGGATGAAAATGTTTTACGAGTCTAACATCGAGAACAGCGACAGAGAACAGTCTGGAAGGGCTCGTTGCAAAGCCTCTTCTCTTCCCACAGCAGCTCCCCTTCAGTGATTTAGGTTAGCTTGCAACTCATTTCTGGTAGCAGCAAGATAATGCAAAATTACTTTATAGAAAAAGTTTTCAAATAACAGAAATGTCACTTCAGTATTAGATTCTACAGAGAGTTTATGTAACACAGAGAAGTGACAACTTGCTATTTAACCCTGCAGAGCAAAGGTCTCTTTGGACTGTGTCTTGGTGGGGAGAAGCCTTGCCTAGTGCTGAATAGAGACCAGTATCTCTTACTGGAACTAGTATTATCAGTTACAAAAGTAGAAGGAAATATTTGGCAGGGACTACTGACTTTAATAAAAGACAGAAAAGGGTATTTTTCCCTGAAGATAGTTCCCTGTGAAAATACAGTGCTTTTCTGTGTTACAGCCACTGTTGTAAAGTATGTCACTGCCAGTTCTGATGTTCCACTCAAAAGCAGATACTTACATGAAGCCTGCGCCCCTCCAACATGTTGACTGTGGTATCTGGTGCTTTGTTCATTTAATATGTCACAGTTTTTGTTTCATACGTATTTCTTGTTCAAATTATGTTGCATATGGCTGCAGAATCCTTACTTTCTCTGCTTCCAAAATCATGATTTGTAACATGCCGGTCACCAGAAGCCACTTAGAAAAGGTGATGTAAGAAAGAGTATCTTGTGCTTTCTCTAAAGGTTTTAAAACGCTGCAAATGACATAAAATGATCTAGAGATGAGAGGTACTAATTTAAAAAATGATGTTACGATATATTCAGAGGCACAATAAAAGAGTTGAGCTCCAAAGTGTATTTTGTAAGAAGATTTATTTTAATTAAGTGATTTCATGATGAAACATGGTCTTAAACAAAATATAGATCAGTATGAAAATAAAATTATACACAGAAAAATCTTTTCCCCAAATGTTTTTGAGTAACAGGAAGTACAACACAAGTCATGTATTCAACTGAGTAGATAATCATGTATATCTGTGAGCAGTCAAATATTATAATACATTCCTTGAAGCCAGGCACAACGAAACACATCGTGTGCCCCTGAAACACACTCAACGCATTTTGTATCTGCTCTCTCTGCCTCAAAGAAAAAAAAAGTGAAATGCAAGGCAATGTAAATGGAGAAAAGGACATACACCATCTTAATGCTTGAAGCACATATTCCCCATTTAGTGTTTTGTGAAAGACATACACCAAATTCAGATGAAACTTAAATTGGCTTGTAGAAAGATAGAAAAACTTGGTATTATATTTGATATACAGTCCTGTGAACACTTAACTGAAAAGTATGGAAAGGATTAAAAAATACACGTGTTCTACTTAAAGCTTATAAATAAATACGCACTCTGTATTCTCGGTGCCTGAAATTCTTTAAAAACAAAGAACTTGGTATAAAATTATATCAAGTAATTGTCAAAAATGAGGGTGATGCACCTATATACCTGTTAGATTCTGGATGCCTGCATCCCCACTACAAAAACTTGTAAAACTATATGCACTTTCAAACATGCCGAGTAACCCAACCTGTAGCCTAGCAAGGGCAAGAATATCGACTGACTTGGGGGTACCAGTATTCCACACATCACCTTCTTTTTCTCTAGCTTTCCCCTTCCATACTGTACCAGCCCTTACAAGTACGAATGTTCAGTCACTCATACAAAAAGCAGCCTTGCTGATCAGAATTCATGGATGCCCTCAAGGCTATGTCATTCCAAGGAAAAACAGTACAAAGAAAAAGCATCCTCCTAAGATGATTTTTGTACTTTATATTCCTATAATTCTTCTTCCTCCCTGCAATGCTGATAATAAACAGCAGTCTCCTGAGTGTTGCTGACTCATTGCAGAAAAATGTCCCGATATATAGAACTGTTGAATCATTATGGTCCAACGTACTAGTTGTCTTCTCATTTAGGACTTAAAGTTTATATAAAACTCTTATCACTTCAGTTACCCTGTTGAAGAAGAAAACTTGGAAGGAATTATTCTTTTATACTGACATCCAATCATCTTGGCTTTCAGGTAAAGAACCAGGTTAGCTTCTAGGAAGAGAACAAGATCCTGAAATCTTCCTACTCTCTTACACAGTATTTTTTCTGATAATTTCATTATAGTGTGAATGGAGTCAAGACTTGCATCAGCTTGGTCAAAGCTAACTAGATCACTGAGAATATTTTAATTACCTTAAGTAAGCTTTAGAAACGTCATATCAAGCTCTCCATGGAAATTCATGGTTCTTACAGAACCATAACACACACCCCAACCATCTAAAAATAAAAAAAAAAATCACATCTAAATGATAGGGATTTGGCCCATCACATTTCAAATGACAGTCACCTTTGGTAGTGATGATTTAACTACTTATCAGATGCCATTTCTCTTGCAAAATCCAGCTAGTAATAAACAAAATAATTATTTGTACAAACAGTAAGAGTAAATAGGACTTCTAGACACCACCTTCATTTTATTTAGAAGCCTTCATTTTCCTGAGTAGTCCAAATAAAAAAAAACAAAACAAAACAACCCAAAACCAATAAAACAAGAAAAACCAACACAGAAGTAAGTTTTCTGACTGTGTACTTTAGATTTTCAAAACCTAGTAATTAGGTAAAATATGTCTTGTAGTTGCAGTAACACTACTGTATTTCAGGCTGAATAGTAATTTTTCCTGGATACATTATCATAGCTTAATTTTCAAGCAAAAAGTATTCCCTTTTGTATAGCCAGTCATCAGCACAGCTCACTGTCCTGCTCTATTTGCAAAGCATGGTCCTTTTTCTGTCCCTACTCTTTCAGTCTTGCCTTCACTCTAGCACTGAGCCATGGTTGCACTTGGTATGCTCAATGTGCTGTGTGGAACTGCCATATTTTATCACTACAGCACCTGCAATTACATTCCTTCCTCAGCATTATTTATGAGGCTTCAGAGATTTATTTGCTTATTCATACAGTAATCTGTTTTAAAATTACTCAGCTCCAATGTCTGACTGCAGTCAGCATGGCAATCAGATATGATGTCTCAGCAAAATCTTTTATTGACCTCATTTATACTGCTAGATAAGTATTTCTACCTATAATAACTGTAATTCTCATTTAAAATGAGACATGCCGAATAGTCCATGGAGTATGTCAGGAGCTGCTTGTATTGCAATTAGCAGGCAATGCAGATACGAACGAGGTTTTGAAAGAAACCAGTTCAAGGGCTGTATGACAAAAACCTCCATCTGTGGAAGGCACAGTCCTCGCTAAGGTGATAAATCACATGCTGCTGTGATTCCTGCATCAGCACTCGCCTGCCTCGCTGCAAGAGCTATTCACCCTTCCAGACAACAGCCTGAAGCAGCCCCTGGGGCCTCAGAAATTCTGGCAATAGAAAGCATTGCAAGAAAAATCCCCTGCCTCATTATTGCTTTTGCAAAACTAAAATCAGAGGACATTTTACACTTGGATACCTAATCAGCTGTTTTCCAAAAACTTTCATGACTCTTTTTCTTAAACCACTCACGATCTAGATGTCAGAGTAACAGTGATCCTATCTACTCTCTGGACTGAAGGGAGCTGCTTTTGTTGCAAAGGAGACCGGGTTAATTCTTGATGAAAAAATAAGCCCACAGTCCTACTCTGATACTGTAGCTACAGTCAGCGTAGGTGGCCAGCAATCGTCTCTGGGTGATTGTAGGATTATGTGCAATTAAAAGGGAGAGGACAATCAGCCTTTGGAAGGCAGCCCAGAATAAGGGAGACCAGAGTCCTGCGGAGTTTTGTAGGTCTATACATCTGGAAGCTGATTACATTGATGTCAGCACAAAACTGTTAAATTAGTGGAACAATATACCTCCTGAGTGCTTAGCAAAAGCCCTCTAAGTAGACAAGGCTTTTTCTAGCAGGGGGTTCAGTGAGAAGTTTCTGAAAGTTCTAAAAAAGAAACAACTGAAAAACTAAATACATTTTTCATTATTCAGAAGTTTTTTAAAGGCAGGGAGGATTGAAAGAAGTATAGCTTGGCTCCCTTTCACATTCACCGTAACTTTAAGAGATCTGTGAGAATACATCTCTAGTTTAATAATAATTCTTATTATGCGATGTAATCTGACTGCATTTGGTACATAAAGGACATAAATTCAAAATTCCAATTATTGATTTAGAAGGTGGCTAATCAACAAGTGTAGTAATTATTTCACATAGTCCTCAGGAGATATTTTAATTGCATTTTGAATACATACAGATAGTACAATGGATTGTAACCATTCCAGAGGAGTCCTTCACTGTCATCCTTTTACCTACAGTCAGGAAGAGCCTTTCTAAGCAGTGATCAGAAGGTAATTATGTCACTGATATTAAATAGAACTCTGAAATTAATCATGTTTACCTCAAAATACCCAAGGCATAACATGGCTCTGAGCAAACCCTATGAAGTAGAGCCCTAAATGAAGTTTCAACCTGACCAATACCTTTATTTACATAAAATTATTTTATAAAATACTAGAAATGTTTCAATAGAAAACTTTTCATAGAATGAAGATTCTAAACAGTAGTCTAGTGCTGAAACTAGTCAGTCTGAAACTAAACAGAAGCTTGTGGTCTATTTGAAAGCGATGCATAACATAAACCAACACACACTGTGAAAACTGTATGTACGGTCAGCTTTATAATTTTGCATACTGCTAACAAAAATGGGTTATAAAAAGGTTTTAGCCTTACTGATTTTACTGTAAAGTCCTTTTTTTCCCTCTACTATTTACCTAATGCGTATTTATTTTTCCAGCAAACAAGCAATTTCAAATTTAAATTCCTAAACTCTTTTTTAATTGTAAAATATTTAGGCAAAAAGGTAGACTAGTCCAATAGCAGCCACTGTGGTTGTAAAGGATTTTTTACTTGCAATTGGCGAGCTAGTCAACCCGTATTTCTGCTGTTCCATTTCATACAGCATAATTGAGCCAAAACGCAAACAGTTTAAGCCAGATTTGAGTAGTTATTCAGAAGTTTTGCGTGGAGTTCAGTTTGCTTGTCCAGGGAGAAAAGGATGAGGAGGGCAAAGAGCAGTGATGGTTGAATGTTAATACTGTAAGGTTAACGTTAAAGCTAAGTTTGTAATCTTATGACTGGAGACCAAACTTTTGCCCAATTCCCATTAGTGCTAACAGGAATAAATTACCAGTGGCAACAAAAACGTAATTACTAGTATAATTTAATACTAATTAGTTTCATTCGCTGAAAATAATTAAATTTCTTTATGCTAAGGGAAGTGAAATTACACCATTCTATTCAAACACAGCTGCCACAGATTCCCCTTTAGTGACAAGGAATTCCCTCAGTCCAGAGACAGTGGGTTTGCAAGTAGCTCCATAAACCTCTGCAGCTACTGCTGCAGAAATTCAGTAAACATCTGCAATTAATACTGCTGAGATTACATTTAGCAACCAGATGATATCATTAAAAATGCTACATAAGGAAGCTTTTTTAAAAAAACCCAACTTTTTAAAGGATTAAAAATACATAAGAAACCACAAACCTCTTTTCTTTCCTATAATTTTAAACTAAGCAAACTACCAGTCCGGTGCTCTGCCAGTTTAACTCATGCCAGAAACTTTGTCTGATGTCCTGCCAGCATGCTGCTGCCTACTTTTTCAGTTTCCCCGAAAATTACATATATTCACCCTACCCTGTATGACCCGAGGTTAACCGCTTCGATGTGGAGTTTATGTGGTGCCCAGCAGGCCTATGTATGCAGATGGATTTCACCCTAGATACTCTCTAAGCCATATTAACACCTTTTTATGGTAGGTTCACTACAAGAATAATGAAAGTTTTGTTTAGAAGCAAAAAAGGCAGTTCTTTGATAAATACTAAGGAAAGACAGCAGGCAGGGGTTGAGGGATAGAGTCTGCTTCTGGTCAGCAGGACTGAGTGTTAAATTGGATTTTGTTTTGGATCAAAAGGTGGCTCTCCCGCGTTACCCTGCAAGGTGCTGCTGACGGGGTGACTGGAGGTGACAGGTAGCTGTCTCCTGCCTGCTGCGGGTGAAAACGCTGCTGCCCTAGCTGCTGCTGGCTTGCAGCTTGTGAACGGGTCAGTGCTTGCGGCAGGAGGGGCCGCATTGCTTAATGGCATCAATTACAAGTGTTTCTGGTGTAGTGAGGAGCGTGCTGGCAGGACTGACTGCTAGCAGCGCCAGGTGGGCGGGCTGGGATGCGGGGACCTGGGAAGAGGTGGCCTTTTTGTCTACTTCAGGTTGACTGGCTTTTTTTCCCTGCCTAAACGCAAAGTTCCTTGGCACCGTCTGGAAAAGCTCTGAGGAGATACAGAGCTTTCAGAAAGGCTTCTCAGTCTTTCTCTGTCTGGGCCCTCCTGCCTGCCACAGCACGTCATAAGCAAAAGCACCGTGGTCGCCTGTTGCTGTCATCTGCAGGACATGAAAGTTGGCTTTCACCTGGGACACATTTAACAGGAACGACTTCCCACACCACAGGGAGAATATTCCAAGCAGTAGCCAGGAGACGTGGGTATCTGAGAAAGCTCGGGCTTCCTTTCCTGTACTCCCTCCCTGCTAATCTCTTCAAAGCAGCAGCATTGCTTCTATCATCACAAAGAGCCAGGCAAGTGCTCAAGGCACTGCAGGTAGCCATATCTGGGCAGCTAACTCCCCATCACTTTCAAATACCATTTTCCTAGATTCCCCCAGGTGATGTTGGCAGCAAAGGAGGAAACAGCAGCTTCTCTTCAGTCTCTCTTGGTCTTAATGCTACACAGATACTGGATTGCTTTCATTTATCTTTTTTTTTTTTTTTTTTTTTAAACTGACAGCTGCCCCACTCGTGACCCTGTCACATCTTGACAGAATACTGGATCATCATGACTGATTTCAACTATTTTTACATGCATAAATACAGAACAAATGTGTGCAGTAGATATATTTAAATAAAAATTGAGAAGATGCATTTATTGTTTGAGTTTTGTACAAAAGCATAACCTAAAAGGCAGACTAGTATAAACTTACTTTGTGCCAAATATTTAAACTTTTCATTCCAAAGAGTTTCTGGTTCAAAACTTGTAGATACAGTTTCCACCTGGGAAATCTCCTTTTTAGACCACAGATAACACAGTATTGTAAAATCAAAATTCTGCAGTCCTTCAACCAACCAAAAGTTGCCTTCTGCTTCGAGCACTGGAGTTTTAGCTACTCAGTGAATGGATCATATGAAACATGAGCCATGCTGGAGTGACCCGATGAAAAGTCAGTTTGCCTACTACTCAGTCGCGTTCTGAAAAAAGATGTGCATTAGGATCTGTGACATGCAATCTTAGCAAAGACTGATAAACATATGTGTAAAAATAGGGTGATGTGTTTGGACTTTTCTTTGCTACTTCATATCAGCCAGAAGTAGTGTAAGAAAACCTATGTTACTTAAGCGAGTCCCAGATGTCATGCAGAAGCTCAGTTGTTCCTGAAATAAAAGAATGCCTTCACTCTGATTTTGGAAGTGGGGTTTCCTTTGCACCAGTAACGTTTTCTCAGCAAGCCTGAAGGGCTGTCTCGGTCTTTGTTGCTGCCACCACCACCGCTGCACCTGATTCTGACCTGGAGGGTGGAGCGGCAGTTCTTTGCTGACAACATCTCCACAGGCGTTCACCTCCGCTGCAAAAAACCTCCCACAAGAACAGGCTGGATGCCTCCCTGAGATGCCCTTTCAAGATTCTCCAAAGTGAGAATGTTACTTCAAAAGCCATTTTTCCCACAGAACAGGGCTTGCTGTGCTTCAGTGCCATCAAGAAGGCTAGCGCAAAGCTAGATTCACGTTCTTGTAATTCCGTATCCAAGTGCAGCTTCCTGGAATTTTAAAATGTGGTGGATGCACTGTGTGACAGCAGCTGTACAAGAAACGGCGCGCTGCGCAAGTGTTCCACAAGATCATCTGGAGGAAAGTACCAAAAATAGATGCGAGCAAGCCATGTGTATTTCAGCAAAACTAAGCATAAAGAAATTGGTGTCCATGCAGTTTTTGATATGCCATAAAACCTCTTTCAAATAACATTTGATAGGAAACTATTTATCAGTGAAAATGCAAGCTTAGACACTAGGAACAGTTTACATCTTGTGGGTGTTCACTGATATGGGACAGTGGCATTATGGCCAGTGGCTTACCTTAAAATAGGTTACTCATGGGTTCCCAAATGAGCTATTTTTAATGATGCTGTACAAATAAAAAGTTGGGAGAATATGAAATATCTGTATTAAACTCCACTGCATTAAGTTATCCAATGCATGAAAAATGACCCGGATGCATTTAAAATAAATGCATATTACAATATCACATATAGCATTATAAAATTATTACTTATGTGCACAGTCCTGATATCTATAGACATGGCACCATGAAGAAAGCCTGGTTCCTAAGCGTTTTTATAGATACTTGATAGTGATGCAGTTTGCTATCAGTCAGATCATAATGTCCCTTCAACTTTGGTACATTCAGTGAAAAATAGTTTTGGGAGTTTTTTACTCTTATAAAAATAAAAGGCATTTTTTTTCCTTGAGAGTGCTTAAAGAATAAACACTAGCAGAATGTCTGTTCAAGCATGGAAAGTGACAAAAACAGAAATAGTGTTTTAGTTTGCTTGTTTCCTGTTTACACTCTAAGAAACCTAATATAATGAACCTATAAAAATAAACAGAAGTCACTGTGTTAGGGTTTTTTCCTGATATGCTGTGATAAATTGCTAGTCTCTTCTTAAAATAGTTTCCATGCAGTATAAAGCATAAAATGAGTCTTATTAGGTTATTAAGTTCATTATAACAGCTCATCTTTTGTCATACACACCACTGGCAAACACATTTCCACAAACCTCCATAATGCAAGCAGTTGTTACATCCTTTGTTGCTGACTTTCCTTGCAATTCATTTCTGCCCCAGGAACTTGAGCTCTGTGATACACACCATGCAGGCACTCATAGTCTTAGGTAAAGCAAGTACTGGTTAGGCTGTTATAACATATGGCATAAAGTAATGTACCTTCATGAATTAAAAAAAAAATTATTATTGTGTGATTTTTTTATAATTTACTGGGTAGGTAAGGGGCTTAATGATTTCACGTTTTGACTTGAATTTTCTATTCAACAACTTTGATGAAATCCAGTTTTCGGGTACATGTCAGTTTTGCAGTAGCCAGGTTGATCACAACATGGGATGATGTTTCTTGTTTGCTCAGAACATAAACTTAACAAGTTTGGCGGCCCTGAAAAACCATGGATTGCAAGACTTTTCCCTGCACATCAAGCACACTCTAGTTTCACTGTAGAGAGTTCTGCCACTACCACAATGCTTTTTAATTGCTTCATAAGCTCTTTCAGGGAACCTCATTATTTGAATTGCACCGTGAAATGATTTTCCTCTAGGAAATCCAATACAAACTTTCATTCATTCCTTGAGAAGACAGATCCACAAAAGTCCAATGAGCTGGGCACTGTGGTTTGTATATCACTCAAGTCCAAAAGTACTTGTCTCTTCAACTGCTGTCAACAGTTTTTCATATAACATAGAGAATGATGGATAAGGGGGAAGGTCCAGACGATTGAAACAAGTGTGAGCCCTGAGGGGGGGAAAAAAGAGGAGATGAAGAAGAACATTATTTTAAAAGTTCAAAAGAGAACATACAGACTGGTATGTGCTTGCGTAGAGATGGGCAGATAGTATTCTTTCAGAAGACCTTGTTCTGTCAAATTTCCAATTTCTGTCAATTTTCCAATTGAACAGGTAGTGACATTTAATCTACTTTCTTCTAATTAAAATAAGCCAGTAAGAAGCATTCACAAAAGTCTTTAGAAACACACTGACAGCCCAGAAGGCATGGGATAAATTTTATCCATTAAATGTGCACGAGAAAAGAATGATATAGCATGGTACAATTCAAATAGTCTGTTCTGAAATCTTGACTTTAAATGTATCTTCTGAGAAGTAGTATTTTTTTCTGTACTGATGACACCTGAATATTTGTAATCATAAACAAGATATTTCAGTACACTGAATATGCACAAGATATTGGAATTGATGAAATATTAAAAAAAAAAATACTCCAGATATACAGGAAACAATTCCACAGTAGTAAAGGACAGACAAAGTAGATGCTCTTCCATTTCCTTGGTACATGGATCGTGTTCTTGGGAAGTTACTGCTTTTGCTGATTTACACTATGTACATATCTGTCCCTGCAAGCCAATGACCTTTAGAATAATACTTTTTGTAATTACACAAAACTATGCATGTACCTCTAGCACACCACCCTGCTTTCTTAACAGGACAGCCACATGGTTTACTTTTCAGTTTCCAAAGTCCATCTACCTCAGTTTTTTGACCACTTGGAACTGACTCTCAAAACCTCTTCCAGGGAAGGAAAAGGGAGGTGATAAAGTTTTCTTCTCTTAGTAGAATAATGGATATCATTGCCTGACCTCAGGGCAGGCAAACGATAATACTTTCTAAAATGCTAGAGTGGATAAGCCTGCTCTAGTGAAATAGATAGCATAACTATGAATGCAATGGGTTCTTGAGGAATAAATGATGCAAAGAGAGGCTGGAGGCATCTTTTCTGCTCTGAAGCTTTGTACCAAAGCCTCACTTTAGACTGATTTTAGAGGATGAGGACCTTTTTGTATTTTGGCAGGTCTCTGTTTACAAATACTTTATTCTTTTGCAATAAAACACATCACAGTTATTTAAATACAATGCAGCTGAAAAAACCCCTTTTCTTGCAGTGACCTGCCCTTCATCAGTATGATCCATATTAAGTGTAAATAATGTCAATGGAAGGACTGAACAAGCTCCCTCCTCGCAGCAAATGCAACTCCTCATTTAACCTAACCACTCCCAGAAATCTGAGTGTCTACAACAGACTTGTAGTTAGGTTTCTCTGAGCCAGAAAGTGCTGCCTTTCATGTAAGAAATTCATTAATTGCCATTCTAAGTGGCTTTCAGTTCCCAGCTACAAGGATGGAACATGAAGGGAAGTGGGTTAATCTTGTTTGTTAAAAACATGAGTCCATTACAAACCATCATCGAAGCTGAAACACTCACTTAGTTACAGCCTTATAGTGTCATAAAAATATCAGGCTGAAGAAATCTATACACAGTACAGAAGGTCACATCATTATAAACACAGTCCAAACACCAAATGCGCAATCACTTAAAAAAGCACTGTATTTTGCACCCTCCCCAAATATAGTACGCTTGCTTAGAAGTACACTGCTAGTACTTGCTGTGTAGCAGAGAGGGCATTTTGCCCCGCTGTATTCCAGGGGCCTGGTAAAATTTATCTACCCAGCCATCCGTCTAAAGCTCCTTGAGGAAAGCTTTCTTTGTGCTCCTTGTTTGCCTTTCCAAAAACCTTACAAAGTAATATCTGTGATAGAGAGTGAAGCATTGCATTTTCTGCAGAGTACTTAAAAAAAAAAAAAAAAAAAAAATTCCCTTTTGAAGAAAGAGACTGCTTTAGACCCAGCAGCTAATGAGCAACTGAACTCAGTGATCCTTTAAGTTCAGTGTATAGTGTGGAAGAGTCTTAGGCAATTAACAGTCTAACCACATGTTTCTGCTGCATGGGGCTGACAGCCGCTCATTAGAACTATGGATCATGCTGTGTGGGCTGTAAAACCACAAATTATAAAAGATGCAGTATATAATTAGCAAGGGATTCATTACATACTGGTTTAATAGTAAGCCAGCATTTTGTTTACATTTATTAAGAGAACTGAGTTTTATCTTAATTCTGAGGGCAATTTTGAAAATGCTATCACCTACTTTGGGAAACCAAGTCATTAAAAAAGACAAAAACTTAAGATCTCTGTCTTCTGACAGAATGCATGCTTTTCTCACCCTAACAAGCAACTTCGTAAGTCTTTGAGAAGGAAGTTTTTTTTTCCTCTGGACAATATTTTCCCATTCCAACATTTCAAACCAAGTAGGCACTAACTGTTCATCTTCCTGGACTCATATTTTATGACAACATGAAAAAAACATCTTGGTTCCTGAAGTCTAAGAGTCCCAGTTAATCTCCCCTTCATTTTGATTATAGTAGTAAAATAGAGTGACTTAGGGTTAAAATCCAGCAGTCAGACATAAATGCTATTTGCATGTGAATCATCACATGCACATATATATATATATATATATATATATATATATATATATATATAATGTACAGCAGTGAACCTGGAACCAATTTCTCAACATGTAAGTGAATTGAAAGAGTAACAGTCCCTCCACTGATTTAGTGTAATCTACAACACAGGGCAAAAGAAGGAAGTAGAAATGGTGTCAGGGATAGCAATAGTTAAGCTAAACCTGTAATAATCTTTTCAGGGCCTGCTACTGACTTGTTAGTGTAAAAGATGGTGATACAAGATAGGCAACCTAACATGCGCCTCAAGAGATCTCACTATTTTGATTCAGCAGAACTGACTATACAGCATTCAGAACAGTGGGATCTAGGTAAACATCTAGTGAGTACTTTTGTGCTTATATTCACAGCTGCTTAGACCACACTCACATACCTAAGTAACTGTATTAGTTGCCTTCTGTGTCTCAATATCAGGAAGAAGAGATGGGGACAGGTATTATGTTTTCAGCAGTGCAGTAGGTTTTTCAGAAACAAAGGAAGAAACACAAGCCCACTGACTTGTTCAGTCCTAGCTTTTGCCACCCTCACACCAAGTATTATCACATTTCACAAGCGCTCCCCCCTAAAATCAAAAGAGCAATTTGCAAAGTATAACACCGCTGTGAGTGAGGGATGGTGCCTTAACACAAATGCTTTAGTTATCTGAGAATCAGTAAGAGTCACAGAGTCCTAGGGCAGCATTCTCAGCAGATCCAGCAATGTGTTTACACACGCAGGGCTTGTTTGGAAACCTTTTGAAAGTTTGCTACTCGGGGTTGTTGTTAATGATGTCTTACCTTCAAGCCAGTACTACTTGGCATTTGCACATTAAGTCTCTGAAGCTGCTGAGATGCAGGCTGAAGCTACACTGCATGCAGGAACTAGATATGTAAAAATACAAATACTACTTTCTGCTCAGGGCTTAGCCCATTTAAGCACAAACATGGTAGATCATTTATTTTTTATGAGATCAAAGTTCCCCATGTACAAATGCCAGGAATTGCCAGCTCACGACAACTGTAGACATTTGTCATACGCAGTTGTTTTTATTTTAACAAAACAAGTGTGCTGTTGGTTTATTTTCATTCTCACACTTGTATGTTAAAAACTACCTACAGAGACAAAAATCAAAAGTTTCCTAACCAAGGGTGTCATAAATGAAATTTCAAAGGTGTGATACATTCTTCTAAACATGAAGAGTTGTCATTTCCCCTACACTTACCTAACACCATACAGTAGCAAAGATTCTCAACATGTTTCTCCTTGTTCCACTACAGGAAGCAGTTTTATTCTGCAGTTTATTACAATCAGGTCTCTGCGTAACCTTTTCAGAGGAAATCCCGAGCATCCTGTTCTGGCATGTCCTGACCTTTTCCATGTTGCAAGATGTGCTTGTTAGCACCAGGAATTCCAGTATTAAAGAATATACAGAAAAACTCCCACCATCTCTTTTCTTACTTAAACTCACAAGAAAATCTTGTATTTTGAAGTCAGAAATTATATTTTTTAAAATCCAGGTTTTTTTCTTTTTAAACAGAATGAAAGCTAGTTCATACATCAGTCATATGCAAACTATAATGTAGACTTACCAAGGTGGAAGGTATTACTAGGCCCCCAAAGGACATGAGAGTATTTGATTTGAAATAGCAATTTCCAGAATTTGCTTATTTCTAATCCTCAGTTGCCTGGCTCTCACTTGTACTGTAAACTGGAAAGATGGCTTTGTTTAAAGGCCACCTGCTGCACCTGTGGATTTCGCAGGGCCACTTCTGTGTCTTTGACTTTCTCAGTGCCATTCAACTGGCAGCCTGCAGGCAGGTGCCAGCCGAAGGGACGTCTCTGCCTCTGACTTTATGCTGGAGGAAAACACTAAGGGTTGTTGGTCAGAGAAACTCTCTGTGTATCTGACAGATGCCTTGTGTCTAAAAAGAGACTTTGAATGCAAGTTATTCCTGAGAAATCTTGTTTAAGAGAAATGGGCTAGAATTAGGGTTGAATTTCCTCCGTTGATCAGCCTAGCCCAAAGACACCACCGCAGGCTGTAAGGAGCATATTAAAGCTGAGATCTGATTAGAGTTAGTTCACTCACACTCCGCACACTAATCTGTGTCTAACCACTGTTAACCTATTCTAGAGGCTACAGAGTTATAGAACTGGATGAAAGGAAATCTTCCAGAAACGTATCAGCCTGATCACAATATAGAAAAGACTAGAACCTGTCATTTTTTGTCAGCGAAGCATCCACGCTAGATGGTCCTTACATCACCCATATGTTACTAGTCTAGTCCTGGTATCGTTACCATGATCTTTTGAAAACAACTTTTTCCTGTCTTTACAAAATGGAAAATTTAGAAAAGCAACTTTTTCTTTTTTTTTTTAACCTTTTCATCCTACTCCTCCAAACCTGCCATCACCCAATTTAAATGCTGCCTCTTGTCTGCAAGGACTTGTACAACTTGACTCCTTGTTTCAGATCTTGGACTCTCATCCTGTTCCTTTACCATCTTCACATATTTCAATTGATCCTACTGGTTCTCTTTGAAATCTTTATCTTCTCTTGTTCCTGTGCTGCTTCTTATGTCAAATGACACACCCCCCCTTCAAAATATACCTCTTTTGCAGTTCATAACTTGCCTCTTCTGTATTTGTTAACACTCATGACATCAGAGCATAAAAATTACATCACTAAACTGTAAGGGCTGTGTGTGTCTAATGCAAAAGCCTGATAGTAGTTTTCACTCAGACACGGTCACAAGTGCTATTTAATTTTAATTCGTATTAATTTTTGCTCCTAAGTAATGAACTGCATGTTCAGCAAGTAAATACTTGCACATTTAATCAAATATAACAAAATAAAGTTCAGAAGTAGTTATCATTCTAATGTAATTTTCCATTAAAAAAAGCATTACAATATGGATGTCAGCCACATATGCCTTGTCCATCTTATAAGAACAAAATTGAGTTCAAAGAAAAATGGATGCATCAGACACTGGAACACCAGGGAGGGAAATTTTCATGTAAGGCATATTTGTTTATGTTTCTCAAACAGCTCATCTGTTATCTCAATAACTGATACTCGAAAGTATCTCTAGCATTAATACACACACAGTTGTACCTTGGAAGAGCAGTGATCTTCCCCCACTTCTCTACGCAGAACCTTCTTGGACCATTGCTCCCCCGCAGAGAGGCAAATCCTTCATAAGGTATGCTGGACGTGCCTGTAACAAACTGCCAGCACAAACAAAACATCACGGATACTGGAGACACAGATGGTGTGGGTTAGAAATTTATTTATATCAGCATACCCCCTGAAGTCCAAATGCTTATGTAAAAGGATTTGCAAAATAAGGAAATCTGTGAGGCACAAGTGATAAATATTACTTTAAATGAAGGATAAGAGAAAACAGACCATTTCCTGGTAAGGCTCTAGAAAAGACAATTTATCAGATTAATCTCCTTCAAAGGTTTCTCTTTGAAAGCATAATTATGCTACATAAATACAGTAGAATAAAACACTATTAATATTGTTACTTACACTTAGGCCTAAGTGAGTTTTTCTATGCTGTCTTTATTCTGTATTAAGAGGCACTAATAAAAAAGTAATAACGTATGAGAAAGGCTTTGTGTTATATCTTTTTGTCTATATGTATTATAAACCGTTATTAAATACTGTAAGAAAAGGACTACGTTCTGAAGGTTAGGTGGAATGTGCACTGACATTTCCTGAAATGCTGTCCCGTTGAGCAGATTTAGTTATAATCTGTCATGAACAGATCAAACATGGGTTTTGACAGATCAGAGGCTACTTAATTTTTAATGATCTGGGTATGATAAAAACTTTTGACTAACAGATGTGGTAGGAACATATAAGCAGACATCTCTGGCTCTCCATCAAATAGGATGTCCTACACTGCTTTTTACAGACCTTTTAAAAATACTTAAACAGATAAAAAAAGAAAATCCTTCATCATACTCGTATAGGTAACTCAATGATCAGACGCAAATTCTGAATTGTTAAAAATAGTGGATTTTATAATAGATCAAGAACCTGGTATGGTTTGGGGTGGGGGTTTGTGTGTTTCTTTAAAGATATGATGGATGTAATCTGAATTTCAAAAAATTAACTCGATAGTAAACCCACATGTATAAACATTCCTCTGTTGAGAGGTTTTTATCCTTCATCAGCAGGATGACTGGATTGCAAAGGCTGACTTAGTGAAAATTGAATTGGACTGATTTTCAGGTTTTCATACCTTTACTAGTCTTAATACACTTTTAATCAAACAATACTAAAGGATAATTGACATCACATACTGTATCTTAAATGTATTTTTTAACATAGAAATCCTTAAAAATAGCTGTGAGCTTCAGTCACTTAAAATTAATGCAGTTAGTCTTGGAGGATTGTCAGGTTATTCCCAGTAGCCAGCATCACCATCATTTTTGGATGTCAAACCTGGATGGAACGAGTTTCCCATCTAATTTTAATGATGTACACTAGTTCTACACAGATTCCTTACCTGTAAAAGTCTTAGCCGTTGTTCGTTGTTGAACCTTTCCACAGCAGCCCAGAACCACCGAATTACAATGTGATTGTCATGATAACCTGTCAAAACAAGAAGAGCCTTTATACCTTTAGGTGCTACAAAAGTGGCTGTGAGAATAGTTAGTAAGTTTTTTTCTTACTTGGCCCTAGTCACAATAATGCCATATTTCTCACCCAATTGCAGCAACTACAGGAGGTGAGAGAAGAACACTAAAATGCTTGCAAATCTTAAAAGCACATTCACTGACAAAAAGGAGTGAAATCTCTTTTGCAAGCATTCTTCCATTAATCAATCACTAACAGGAATGCCAATTCTTGAAATATTCCAATGCTGTGCTTTTTATATATCTAAAGCTATAAATGATGCTGCAACCATCTCTCAAAGTAGTTCCCAAATCTTCCGTTATTCTCAGATTATCTCAACTGCCAGCCTGCGGTCTCTGGGATTACTTCTAATTTCCTGTCTTCTTTGACAGTGGGAAGAGGTAGAGTGGAAAAAAGGTAGATCCTACTAATAATGGTTACCATTTTCTTTTGTCTCCAGTGCCTGGGTGGTACTTTACTAGTGTGCAGGTGAGCACAGCACTTTCTGAGGGGAAGACTGTTCTGTTATGCTCTCCAGGCAAGAACAGTAAGGGCAGAGCTGCATGGAGAAGCAATGAAGCAAACTAAAATGGACAAATTATCTTCTCCTAATGCAAACTTAACCAAAGAAGTAAAGAAGATACTGAAGATGTCTTCATGGGATGGTTCGTTATTGTCTTAGAAACTGGGTAATTCCAGGCCCCCCAACACTATCAGTGAACAATTCAAAATTAAGGTTACCTCCTCTGTACTCTGTATTATTTCTCCAATCACTCAAATCAATTTCTGCTGTTCCAGCTATAACCAGTTCCAGTTCTCTGGCATCAAATACAGACACAAGCCTCGCATCAACCACCTGTGAAAGGAAATAAAATGCGTAGCAACATTTAATTTACTGATTTTTGCCTCACCATAAAAGGCTTGTCTGCTGCTAAGACATTTACCAGGTAACATTTCTCTCATGAATGCAAGGAATTAATTTTTTTTTTTATTATTTTAAAAGGCAAATAAATGGACTTCTTTTTCTTACATTAGAGTTCCATTCAGTTTCATTAGAGAATCACAGTGACTGGGAGAGAATTTTATTGACAAATAATATTGAGTTATTTCAGGACAAATGAAGTTCAATACATTCAATTAATTACATTGTCCTTGTTAAAACAGGCAAGAGAGAAATACCTGGAAATATACCCAGTCTACTGTTTTACACTGAGTATGGCATGCACACAAAAAGACTCAATGGCCCAGTGAAGAAACAGACAGGTCACTTTAGCAAGCATTCACTGCTAATCATACAAATAGCGATCAGTAGTATTTTCCAGTTTAAAGAAGATACATCACCTTAGTGTTTAAGTCAGTGGTTAATAAAATTATATTTGTAAACCTCCCCTCAACCCCCAGATATCTGTAAGGGCACTTCCGTTTATATATGTATCTGCTTTTTGGGACTCCATATTTGGGAAATGCGCATGAGGAGTAAAATATTTTGGGAGGATAAAGGAAGAAAGGAAATTTAATTTTGGAGTTTTTTACCTCATAGAAACCACGAACTAGACTTTCTGTTTGTTGTACAACACCTCTCTCAATTCTCCATTTCACCATTCTTTCTATATATTCTTTCTTGTTCTTTTCAGTGACTGGGATGTTAGCACCTCCTGGCTTTAGTTCCCGTTCAGTGATCTTAGGAAAAAAACATCCAAGTGCCACCACAGTATGATAAATACAAAAGAAAAAACTGTAGTAATTTAAATTTTTTAGTTGAAGTAATTCCTCAAGAGGACTAGCCAAAACTGACTTTAGCAAAGTAGAATATGTGAAGTAAGAGAACATAAAACAAATCTTTTTTTTTTGGATAAAATCATATTTAAAATCCCATTTAGTCTGAAGAATCTTCCTATGTAGTATGAAAAATAATCTGAGAAGAAACAATCTTTACAGCGACTAAAGTAGTGAAGTCTTCTAAATAATATCGTAACAAAGGTGTTGTAATCTTTGAATGCTAACTCTGCTGCAATTAAATTCAGGCAAACTACCTCCAGCAAAACAATCCAAAATTCTGATATTTCAGATAATCTCTAGAAAATCTCCTTAACCAGAAAGACATGTTTGACTGGTTACAAATAATAATTCCTCCTTAGATTTCAACATTGTTTTCATCAAGCAGGATTTTATACAAATAAGTTCAAATCAGCATGGAGTGATAATCATTATTCTGTCCAAATAAATGTTTATCAAGCAGCAGAATACACAAAGAAAATTAAGAATCTTGCACACCTGCCCAAAAACTTCTTCATTTACAGTAAATGTGAGATCTAGGATATCATGTATATCATTATCTTTCATCCACTGCAAACTCTGGTGAAACTCCTCGTCGAGATACTCCAGGTCACTCAGGTCACAGAGTCTAACATAAAGAAGAAGAAAACACACAGATAGAGATGATGGCAGTAGCTTGTGCTCAGTAACTACACTCAGATACGACAGTCCTGAAAAACAGATGGAGAATGGAAGCCAAGAGAAAAATCAATAGAATAATGAAGACACTACCTAAAATCTCTGTTTATTTGCCCAGTAGTAGCAGTTATTGTATAACACAAAATAATTTGGTTAATATACAAAATTCCAGAATATATTTATTTGAAGACACATGGCTTTTTAAGCTTATGGTGAGTCTGTCCCATGTTTCCTGTGAAGAGTATTTTGGAATTATGAAAATACATAGATTTTAGAGACAAAAAATTCAAATCACAAAAGAAATGGTTTTTGTAATAAGCAACTACTATCCTTTTTGCTTATGTGACTACACTGCCAACTCTCTTGTCCCTTCATTGTGCAAACAAGTCTGTTCAGATACCCTACTTACCACAGAAATATCTTTTTACCTGCTGCCATATTTCCCCTTACCTAGTCCTTCTTTTGCATATCCAACCTGTAAGTCAACTGCCCTTTGCTGTCTTTAACAGTTACTACTCCAAGCTTTGAACATGTCATGTCTTTAACACCATGGTGGCAATTTCTGCCATTCTTCCTAACTCCTTAAATCCCAGTTCTGTGAACTATGACACCGGGACTATTCATTAAGTAAGGTGCTTTTCAGCTGCAGGGTTCCCTGCCTGCTTCTATGCTTGAGTCCGTATAAAGTCAGAAGAAAGCCCTGTGCTTTTAGTTAGATGTTCAAGTGTAGTTTAAGTGACATCCTGCAGTGACAGCCCAAAATAATGGATTGGACACAATGTCCGATCTGCAGAGGTAGACTGGATGGCTCATCAGTTCTGAGGAAAGCAAAGGTCCAGGGATCAGGTGGGGAAGTTGCATGAATTAGGCTGTGTACAAAAGTGGCCGCCCTTCATTTTTAATTTTACTGTTTAGAGAACCACCAAGTTAAACAATTAATTTAATTTGGCAGTCACACAACATTAGTATTGAAGTCCACCTAGGGTAAGTCCTCATTCTCATTAAAATTATGCTGTTAGCATTTAGATAGTTTTAAAAAATATGTGCAATAAGAATGAACGCATTACTCCACACTACTAGAATGTATGATGTTTTACACAAAAAACATCCTTCCAGTCTTGTCAAAACCAGCTTTCAAATGGAGGACAAAAAGTAAAGCACCTGAAGTTCATTAGGTCTTAAATTCCAGACATGCTGAGCAAGTGCAGCTGCTCTCATTGTTTCAGCCAGAACAGGAGGAGTAGTTCTGAAAACAAAGTCTAAATTACATCAAAGTAAAGCTCCTCAAAATGGAGATTGCAAACAATCAGTTTACCTCTGAGAATGGCTCTTGCAGTCTAAGTTATGAAGTGATTCATACCCTGTCCTGTGAGACATTACAAGACAAATGAGTAAGAACTCTATTAATATCTGGAATAAAACCACAGCATCTCATTGTACAACTTCAAATGTAAGATTTTGTAGATGAAAACTGGTAACGTGGCTAAAACAAAACAGGTTTTCATACTGATCAGAAACAACATTCTGAGTTATTACGTAGCTGGCTAATAACCATAAGCAGAAACAAGTAAACTTCTATTTTTAAAAGTCCTGGATTGAAGTGAAATTATTAAATTACAAATAATGGCCTGTCTTCTTTGACAATAAACCACCATAATTTCTCCATACACAAAATGGCATTGTCCATGGGGAAGGAACGAAACAAAAAAGGAGACAGAACAATCCTACTCACATTCGGAGGAGTGCTTTATAAAAGGGTCGTGTAAAAAAGGCATCTAGCAAATACTGATGTATCAGAGCAAGACCAAGGATTCGGCCACTAAACCTGAACCTGGAAGAGAAAGAGTTACAATTGCTACATTGAAACTTTGTGGTTTGTGCACTGCTCTGTCATCAAAACTTACATATATTTCCAAACAGCATTTTAAAATCAGATAGCTACGTCTAAATTGTGGTATTTTTTTTTTTCTTGTGTTTCTTCTACATTCTCAGTAAGGCACAGAAAAAATGCAAGTCTGCGGGGTGTGGAAAATCCCTCAGATACCTAAGTTGCAACTTCTCAAAAATGTTAAATCTGTATTAACCCAATCAAGCCCTGCCAGACAAGCCTCTTTATGAAAGCATATCTTCCAAAATTATAGCCATTGTCTGTTTTCTTTACAGGCCCCATATAGGATTAACTTGGTTTTGTGTTACTGGGAGGCCAAAGGTTTTTTTACCCTTTCCCAGCCTGACAGTTCTTGCTGTCTGTCTGTTCTGCTTACAGTAGCTCCTTGCTCCCTCTTCTGACTGGTGATTATGGAGTTCTATATATATATTTTCACAAACAATGGCTGGAAGCTTTTTTATGCATCACAGTGCTCTCCAGCCCTGTGGCAATGGGATCTAAATGATCTCCTCCTCTCCTCTCTTCCTTCCCCTATCACCTTCATTTTGTCAGGTGTGTAAGGAGGGTTGGGGGGGAGAGAGTGAGTTTGACAGATTTGAGATCAGATAGCAGCAACTTTGAGACAGTAAGGTCTTCGCAAATAATCCCATGAGAATAAAGATCCATTGTGAAAAATCCTCCACATCCCTGGAACTAGATTTAGTTTAGTGTTCTTTTTTCAAAGAAAATAATGTTTCTTAAACTTCCTTTTTATGCATCATCAGCAACATCTTTCTTGGAAAGATTAGGGCTTTATTATACCTGCCTGTACAGAGGGTTTCCAAGATGGGGATGTGACATGCATAACTGCTTGTCACAGCTGCATCTTCTGAATTCCTCCTGAGGCTGTAGGAGACCAGTGATGCCACTGGCACCAGCAGTCCCAGAAAGGCAGGGGGTCATGCCTCCCTCACCCCCAAAGTCTCAAGTCCGACACTGTAGAAGCCAGGGACAAATACAAAATGTTGGCAGAAGCTGCATAGCATGTAAGGGCTTTTTCTCACCTTTTTGCCAGACTGTCCTGCTTTTCCAATACAACATATGCCATTTATTGTTGCATTATTGGAGTAACTGGTTTCCAATAAATAAATAAGAACTCAGTACGTATCTGTCCTACACAGATATCATTCAGCAGCTGTCATTCCACTATTACTGTAATCTAACTACCTACACAACAGAATTAATTCTCCGTTCATATTCACAGCACAGCTTTACAGACTTATGGCGAAACCATGGCTTAAATCAACTGAAGGCGATTTAAACTGGTTTATAATTCTGAAAATGGGGTTACGTAAAAATCCTTAATAACTATTTTAAAAGCATGTGTGCATGCACAGATTTTGCTTAAGAGCTATGTAATCAGCAGTCTTTTCCCCACCCCCAATAGCTCCATAGGTTTCCTTACAATAGGAATGTTGGGCTTTTTCCACTGAGGAGACCTCTGTACTCTTTAGGAAGACTCAAACAAATTACATACAGTAACACCTGTTTAAAATCTCCCTCAATCTCCTTAGCTGACAAAAAGCCAATGTTTCTTTCTTTTTTTTTTTTTAATGCACGAGAGGTTAATATTGCTTTCATGAAATGACTGCTAATGTACAAGAAATACACAGAGTTGTGTTGTGAGACAAACCCATGGTACATATTCCAAATAAGTTTTGCTGACCTTGTGAGAAATAAGATCATTTAAAACCACAAGAGAAAACAAAATCAGGGAAGTCTAAAGAAATGCAATTATTTTGCTGCTGGTTAATAAGATCAGATTCTGTGTTTTATTCTGAGCAGATATGAGAAGTTGTCTACAAGCGGGAACAACAGACCATGTATCTGCAAAAGAAAAATAATTCTTACCACTCGTGGTGATTGTCTACAAAAGCAGACATGGGACTGATTTGTACTGTATAGGTATCGTTGGCTGAATATTCAAACAAACCATAATACGGATTGAAGAGCTCTCTCGACACCAGGAAAAAAAACTCTCTTGAAGGTCCACTGTAGTCCAGCCTTTAAAGAGAAATTTGACATTACTATAAAGTGTTTATTGTCTCCAAAGAAACCCTTCTTTGAATCTACATTCCTTATGCTATATTTTAATTAAAATTTCGTAAGATTTTAACCAGAACCCTTATCCTGTAGATTGCTTAATGCCAAGGTATGTGAAGTCCTCGGGGGACTATTCTGAAATAGAATGGCTTGGAGGACTGGAATGAAGTACTCTATGCGGGCTGCTCTCATAAAAAAAATTTGGCTCCAGCTGTAATGGCCTCTTTGCCACAGGAATATAACCAAATAATTGGAGGGGGGGGAGGGGGGTAGGAGGAAACATGAAAAGAGCCAACATTAGACCTATCTGCATCTGACAAATTAAGAATGAAATGAACAATGGTTATATTTTGTCTTTGCAGACTTGCAACAATAGGACAATTTGAAGGATAATAGTTCTGTTTTCTCTAGCAATATAATCTGAGATAACTTCAGCGATTTATCTTTCTTGGTCTAAATTTTCTTGTCTGCCTTCCAAACTTGAGTGCATTTAAATGTCTTTTGGAGAGTGCATTTCCTTTGTTGTTTGTTTTTTTTTTTTTTTTTTTTTTTTTTCTATTTCAAGATTCCAGTACTAATGAACAAGGAATCTAAATAACCCCTTCTTCCTGAATCATAAACAAACCCATTGCTGACAAAGCACTGAGACTGAATTTTGACATTATGCTGCAGGTCACCAGTGAAATGAGTTAAGTATGAAGTTAATGCTCTGGTGGAGTTGAAAAACACAAAACTAGGGATTTTCCTGTAGGGAACAGAGATTACTATAATCCTAACAAATAGATGTAAAGATAGATCTTCTGTAGATTGAAGATTTCATACTTTACTTTTAAGAAGGTCTCACTTTAGTACTAAGACAATGCCCAGACAGAAGTATCACAGAGGTGGTCAGCTTTCACATAAGACTTCTGCTTTAGTAGCAGTTTTGGCTCCTGAACTTTTACAGAAGACAAACATAGATGAGAGTTGTTTTTGAGGATGAAGTTGTCAGGAAAGTAAAGGCTAGGTGCCATTATCAATCGGAAGACAAAGCCTCTTTCCTCTCTTGAATGAAAAACATTTTCCCTTCAGTCATTTGGAAGCACTTTGCTTCTGTTAAGCTTCAGAAGTGAAGTACTGAAACAGATCTTTACCCTGGCAAGAAGGGCACATTCCATCCTCAAATTGTAGAAAAAAAGCCAAAATGGTTTGATATCATGGACAACTGTTGGATCTTAATCTTGGCACAAATACCAGGATCAAGTAAAGGGTCATCTGGAATACTCTTGCAAACTTCTGGGATAATCAATGCACTATGAAATCTTAAGATAGAACAGAAACTGTGTGCTGACTACCAGCCATTTCATACAGCTCCTTTTGTACGCAGAGTTACTGTGAGTCATGTTAAATAAATCAATCATAAAAGTCCTGCACTGCCAGTCAGATTTATCCCACAATTAAAGGTTTGGCACAAGGGTGAGAAAACTTCATACGATAGGTATGTAACCACACAACAGCTGCAACTGTGGGGCATTTGGGTATTCAGGAGTAGATTAATATGTTGTTGGCAACATGACTCACGTCTCCTAGGAAGCATCAGTAATACTAAAGATTTACACTCTTAAATGGAAAGCAGCTTCTGCTAATAGGTAATAGAAGATAGGTAAAATAAGGAACCATATTCTTTGTATCAAAATTATCTTCATTTATCACCACATGAAATATGAATGTGAAAACATTAAACTAGCATCACAGTTGCATTGACTGTAGAAACTGAAGGTTCAAGGAAGAGACCAAACTTTATGAGACTCGTGATAAAAATCATATGAACAGCAATAACTATGTCTGAGTTGCCCCACTTACTAAGTTATACAGTAATAAATCAATAGTTATGAAAATGTTTTAATCTGTGAGGATTTCAATACCTATGACTTTAAGACTTACACCTCTTTACCAAGAGGAAAAGAAATGCAAGAGCAAACTCCCACTTAAACGCTTAAAAAAGGAAAAGGAGGAGCAAATAGGAAACAATTAACTTTCAGTATTCCTCCTCCTCATCCTCCTCCTCTCCTCTACCCTGACCTGTCTTTCTACACCTAGCCAAATGAAGTTTGATGTGATACATATCCTTGCACCATCTCTGATGAAACAATACTGTTTGCACACATCCTTTCTTCATTCAAAACACAGATTTGTAAATAAGAGAACTGACGTAATTTTAATTTGACTTTGCTCTTAATTAACTCATTCTTTTCCATTAAGAAAAGAGTCTTGTGTAAAGCTTGATCTAATGGGAACAGGATGTGTCATCCCCATTTCCAGGTCACTCTTCATCTTGCTGTACTGAGTGGTGAAATGCAAAAGCCTGACGTCTGATGAAAGGAGACAGTCTATCTGGATCAATCTCTATCTCAATTAGGATTTTAAAATTTTCCCTTTCATTTTTAAATCTGAGTCGAGGTTGTAGCTGTGAAAGTAAAGGCTGGTAGGGCTGTGTAAGACAGGCTTTGTTCCTGCATCCCCACCCTGCTCCGTCAATATAGTGTAATCTCATCCTGCACCAGCCTTGTCATTCCAGTTCTGAGTTTTTCCTCAGACAGCATGGTGATATTATTTATATGAACAAGTCCACACTTGGCTCTCAGCTGTCAACATTTTTTATTTTAAGACTTCAGTGAGTCCTTATTAACACTAAGCACTTCAAGGTGAACTTTAAACAAACAACAAGATTCAGGGGTTTTCAAAGACAGATTAATTTTATCTAATCTTGCATGAAATGTTTCTATTACCATTTAGCTATTTTAAAGAATCACACATCACATGGCAATAGTGCACACTACAGCATTCCAAGAGCTGTGTGCTGCAGTTTCCTAAACATCAAGGAATAAAATTTTGAATGTATTTACAAATGCATTCATGAAATATACCAATAAAAATATTTATGCCTATGGCAGTAGGCTTTATGATCTGACAAAGGGAGCACAAATCAAGAGACAAAAGAGGTAAATAGTACCAGTTTCACTTGCAAGGATAATCTAACCACATCTTGTTTTGCAACGCACATCTTGCAACCTGTAACACATTAGACTTGCGCTAGACACAGGCTGAGCATTCTCTGAAGTGACTTTGAAATTTCAGTAATATCTGTGTTTATTTGAAAACTAGCAACAGCCTAGTTGCTTTTATTTGCAATGCAGGCCTTGCCCTGGAGAGGCAGTGAGCACTTCCTGCAGCACTGAGGACTTTCAGCTCCCCTTGCCTCAGACAGTTGAATTAAGGATTGAGCCTCTAACCTACTCCTGAAGCACCCTCCCTCTGACAAATGGCAGCTGTCCTTTAACAAGCACTGGAGATATAAGGTCCACACTGACAGAAAAGAAATATGAAAAACACGAGAAAGTTGTTTGTTTTTTTGCTTTGCCAGAAACATTCTGAAACACACACCAGCTACTGTGAAAATTCACATGAACACACGCATTACTTCTGCAAAGGCAGGATACATTACATTTCACATTGCCTAAAAAGTCATCCTGAACAGCTGTATGTTCTAGGCTTATGTATGTGGCATTTCCTGACTGTAATCCTTCCTCATTTCACTCTAGACCACAAGAAGTTTGGTGAAACAGCAGCTGCAAGACACACAGAGTTCTGAGATCACATTTACTTCCCTGTTCTACTTACCCTTCTTCCCCAACAAATGTTACGTAGAGTTTATTTCTCTGCAGGTCCTTTCTTGAGTAGCCCATGATCTGGTTAAAGGCATCTTCTAGCAAGTGATCTCTCCTGATGATTAATCTGAAGAGTGAAATAATTTTGAAACAGCAATTTGTGAACACGAACCACAGTTGGAAACACCTATTTACACTGCAAGGTAACAGGGTGACTTCATAGAGATATGTTTCTACTTGATAATTTGATTTAGATCAGACAGCTTCTGTCTGTTAGCCTATATCCCTTAAAGATCTCCTTCAGATTTCAATAAAATGTCTCTCGTAAAAGAAGTGTAGTTTTTTCTTTTTTTTACCATGGTTCTTCCTTAAATTAAAGGCTTCAATGGGAAGGTCCTGAAGTGAGCATTTTCATTAAGTTTAAAATCCTTTTGTAATGCTGGGCCTCCAAATCAGTCTTACTGTGAGCAAGAATCTAACCTTCTATGTAAAAATTGATCTCTTAACAAGGAAAAAGATAAAACTGTGGGAAAGTCAGAGAATACATTATCCCCAGTGTAAGTGTGACGGGACAAAAAGTCAAGAAGCAATGGCAATTGTTCATCCAAAACCAGACTGAAGCATCACATGTGAAAACATACTGTATCATCTAAAAAAACCCTGTGAAAATGAGGAAGTGTCATGAAGATCTAAAATAAGAGGTAAAAGAATCCTCATTACTTAAACAATTTATCTTCCGCCAAAAAATTGTGTTTAATAAGTTTCCTGAAACTTAGCTTGCTCTATATTCAAATACTGCCTCATGTGTGTGTTTGGTCAGTCAGTCAAGACCAAAGCTGGGAGCTGCTGCTGCCTGCAGAGGCAGCTTACCCCACCACACAGCCTCTTGCAAAGCCCTTGCTGGCCTTACTACTCGTGCAGAGATCAGTCAGTGACTGCGCTGTGCTATCCGAGAGAGGAGGCAGAAGTGGAAAGGCCAGGAACTGGCCAGGTACCTGAGTAATAAGAGGACCCAGGCAGTATGCAAGTTGGGCTGGAGTCCTGTTTTGAAAAGAAGGAGCAGGTCAGTGTGTGCCTGGGAAGGAAACCCAGAGAAAACTTCTGTTCAAAAATCAAGCTGTTGTCCTGCTTAAAAACCCACAGTGCGATGGCAAATAGGTCAGGAAAAAAAGGTGCAAGAAATGTAATGGATATTACAGGTAGCAAATGCCATCCTCTTCTATCACCTATTTGTCCAAGCATTCATGACAAAACTTGCATAGATTAAGCTTTAAGTGTTTATGATTTCATTACATTATAGGCAGACAGTGTCCCATTCCTGCCTCTTAAGGCTGTCTAAACAATACAATTTTAATCCCATTTCAGTTGTGCAAAACTTTTAACAAGCTCACATAAACAAAGTCTTAGCTCTTCACAAATTCCTGCAAAATGTGAGAAGTGACTGGCTGGGGGGGAAAAAACTTAACAAAACAAACAAAACCCACTACACCCCTATTCTAATAAATGGTTAAAAAAAGTTCTAGTGCCTCATGGCCACTATGAGAGTATCAAACTATGAGAGTTTGATAGCTGGCACAAGTCTTGGTAATTTACAAAATCATGAAATTATCTTATGATGATGATCCTTAACATAACAGTATGTAATCACACAATTACTGAATAAAAGAAGGATGGAAGACCTCACTCCAAGCACTCTAGCATTCAGAGTGATGAAGTAAAAATATTAGCAGTTTTTTAAGGTGGTCCTTAGAATTTAGTAGCATTCAATTTTATGAGTCCTCTTTACTAAAAAGGACTGCCGTATCAATACAGGCAATGATGTATAAAAAATAAGCCTATGTAGGTTTTTTTAGTGGAAAAAGACATGAGAAAATATAACTGTTTATATCATAGCAATTGCTATAATGGAATAATTCAGATGCCTCCTGTTCTGCATGCCTCTTCCCAGAGTGCTTTTTGGCACTGTATTGGTAATACTGTCTGTATGAAAATGTAGTTGGAGGAAACATAGAGAAGAAGTGCTCAGAACTTGCTGTATCCTCTGCTATGAACCACATGCTGGCACTAAGTCTTTTATGACAGGCTTTATATTTCCAGAAGTGCAAGGGTAACCGTAAGATCTGCATTCCTTCTAATGGGAAGAAGCTTGTAGATGTGCAAGGCAAGGCAAGGTGCCTGAGAAACAAATCCAGTTTCATGAGAATCTTCAACATACTTCAATTTCCCTGGGCCTTGTCCATATCCTTTAGTCTCTAACTTCCTGTAGAAGTTCCTCAGCTTGGCTTCAAAGTCTCTTTTGTAAGGAGCTGGAGCTCGGGCATTGGCACGCTGAGTACCTGCAGGAAAAAATAAGGAAAGAACGAGCTGTAGTGACATGAAATGATTAGTGTCCCATTCTCTACCGAAAAGACTCCTTAATATCAAAAGACATGGTCCATGTTTGGTTTAGTCACCTTTATAAAGAGTAAAAGCTGCATATCTTCAAATCTGCTCTGCATCCAAGACTTTTTGGTTGCTCATTTCCAACAGTATCATCTTTCTAAAGTAAGTCTTAAAAGAGTAATCCAGGTCAATGCAAAAGATGGAATAAAAGAACAACACAATCAAATGGAAAGACTTAACTTTTGTTTGTCAAGTACACTTTATGTCTAACCTTAAAAATAGCTCATGCAATAAATGTTCTGCTCTGTTCTGGTTTTAATATTATCAGGAAAAACAAGAACTCAGAAATTAAGCACAAACAGACTGTACTGTGCTGTGCCCTGCTGAATACATCAAGCTGAAGGAGGAAGACATTTGGAAATTCCCCAGCAAAAGTTTCTCCCTGGGGAAGTACAAGAAATAAAAATATTGGAAGAATGGAAAGACAACCAAATTTAAGTTTGTGAAACTTTTCACATGTGACTGCAGGAACATACATGACTGTCATCTAAGTGAATTTATTTGTTTTTGAAAAACTGTTTTTGAGGGTCAATTACTTAAAAAACCAGGAAGAGATGAGATCTGTATGCTAAAAAAATTGGCATACCCCCACATCTGCATGTACAAGTCTAGGATATACAAATTAGGTGTTTAGTCTGATCTATTCTGAATATTACAACCATTAGAACTTCCACTGCCTCCCTGGATAAATTACTTCAGTTGATTTGACTGCAAGACAGTGTGCCGCCAAAGAAGCAGTTAATCCTAGCTGTTTTACGTTCATCTTCTCACCCCTCATTTTTTTAACATTAAATTCCTGCCCTGCATGGCCATGTAGACATCCCCCACAAAAAACTCAGAGAACATTTAAAATTTCTCATGCCCTACAGTATACACAGGTTGCCAACTACTTATCTGCAGCTGGTGGTCATCAGCTGAGTATCATGTATATGTAGACTTTTGTCTTTTAAGTGACAATCTGTTTCTTACGTGAGTTTTCTTTTGCCTCCCTGTATGAAACTAAGCCAATACAGAAGCATTTACTGCTACTATGGGTGAAGGCACGAGAACGTAACATTTCGGGTTATGAGAGAACGTGTATCCGTTCAGCCTGTGGGCAGAGACCAGGGGAAAAGAGAGCAGCTTGCTTAGCCACAAAGGGTATGGGTCTGACAGAAAAGGTGACGAGCACATCCTGCGGAAGTGGCTGCTGGAAGAAGCTGCAGAGTTGATCTCTCTGCAGAGATCAGAGAGAGAACAAGCGAGATCAGTATTAACACTGAGTGCCACTTACAGGTCTTCTAAAGACCTATCTGACCAGAAAGACCCTTGCCTCTTGTTCTAGGCTTAGTGTGATGTGTGGGAGGAATGGAAAGTGTCAGGGAATCCTTGGACCTCCAACCGGAACATGCAGGGCCCCTCTGGAAAAACAAATCATGGTCATCAATTCATCTATAGTGGTTATCCTCTTTTACTGAGAAAATCAAGGGCTTTTAATGGTATGCTCAGATGAATTCTCTAGAAAACTTAGGGAAGCTTGAAACTGTAAACAGCCTTTTAATTATTGGTCTTTTCCCCCTACTTTGTTTATTTCACTTTGGGTCAAAGTAGGTACAAAAATGTAGTCACCAAAAAAACACAACGAAAGCATATTTTAATCTTAACCCCTGAAGGAAGTTTTTGCTGAGAGATACCACAGAATGTAAATCTGGTAACACATTACTTCACGGTTCAGAAATCAGCAGTATATTATTCTGTCAGAACATGACAAGTCCTCATTGCAAATCAGATGCATATGCCAAGAAATTCCTGGGCAATTATAGTGATTACTTCCGCCTTGGGAACAAAAGATGTTAATGGAAGAGATAAAAAACACCAGTGATGTGATAACCATTTTTGATTTTCAAAGAGGTTATATTCTAAAGCATATATAAAGAGTAGCTTCATGACTCTCCCAAAAAAGAAAGTACAACCGATCATGACTGATACGAACAATGGACCCTTAACACACAATCTCGTGCAGTGCAGCACAGCCAGTTTAGCTGATGAAAACACCACAGAGCCTCCACAGAAATGAGGGGCTATTTACCTATTTACAATTTCTCATCAAAAAAGTAATTTGTACACCAACACAAACATGCATACTTGCAGACTGACAGGGAGATTCAGTCATTAATGTCTTCAGATAGTTTCTTCGAGTAGGTCCTACAAAGGTCCTATGTCCAGCAGCAGGAAAAGCTACCACTCAGGACATGTTTATGAATAGTTTTAATCTGCTTTCTTGAAAAGGCAAAGCTTTCTATGATTGTGGACTGGGAAATGCCCATAAAAACCAAAGTACTTATTTCTGATAAAATTTTCTTGTTTTCTGGAACTATCCAGAGTTGCTTACATCTCAAGTGTTCTCCATTTATCTATACTTGTGTTCTCAAATTTGTAGAAATCCTCTTAAGCCACTTCCAATTTACTGTAGTGATTTTATTTTACTTACCTATTACCTTCTTGAGAAAACTAATAGTGACATCTATAAACTTCAAATTGCTGTACTTAGCCTTCACAGGTTAAATGGAACTTGCCATATTTTAAATACTTTAGCTCTGATTCACAACTTAGTATGTGAAGTATTAATTTAATTCCATTCTAACATGTATTTCCAGACAGCTGCAATACACTATCTTTTGAACTCATATTAAGAGACAACAAACTGGCTTTACATAAAATTGTCACTCATTGCCCCGCAGCCCCATTAACACTGTCAGTTTAATGTACAGTTATTAGATCTCCTATTTTTAACTCTCTAGGCATCAGGATCCTGGCATGAGCAGTCACTTAGTTGTTTCAGATCAGTGAAAACCAAGTTTGCATGTTTTACAAGTCAGAACAAATTCACAGCCTCTGAAGTTGCAATACACCAGTCTTTAATATCAGTAAAAGATCTTGTGAGCCCAAGGCAAACATTCAAGTTTGACAGTCAAATGCAATCACACTTGTTGACTTTGCTCAAAAATAGGACTAAATCTTTGTTGTTCCTAGAGCAACAGAACTTGGATCTTCAGAAAGGTGGAAAGTCATTACATGCAACATAACGTAAACTAAATTAGAGGACTAACTCTACTGCAGTATCTTACAGATACCATCATAATTAAAGTACTTCAGTGACAAGCTCCGTGACCCCTCAGAAGGTGCTTCAGCTCATGTAACTTTACGCATCTAAAAGTTGGGAACAGCAAAGGGGAATAGGTTATAGATTCCAAACAGCAGGTTCCTGGCTTTAGGCTGCCGGGAATTTCAATTTGGAAAGCAAATAAAAAATTATAGTCAAGCATTTTTTTCTATTGTTCTTGTTCTCTGCCTTCTGGGAAGGCAGCAGGAGTGTGCTACTGACTTTACTGATCTGGAACTGGTCCTTACCAAGTATGAGAAATGGTTTCATCCAGCCCCTGCAAAAGCTGTGCCTGAACAACTTACCTGGAGAGTTCTGAGGCGAAGATACCGGTGAGCCTCTTGGGGACTGGCAATAACTAGGATGAAGTAAGGCATGTGGCGGCACATACGACATTATTTCCTCCTCAAACAAGCTGGTAAAAAGGAGCAAATAAAAAATGACATGTTTACGTGAATGAATGGCATTTTTCACTTTCTAGGAATAAACCTCTAGTTACTAACCCTCGGGAGTCACTTGCCTATTTCCACTATGCACATTTAGAGTGCTACAAAATATTTTATTGCCATTCCCCAAGTCAGCTCTTGAAAGTACTGGAAAGCAATAATCACTTCTTTTGTGGGACATGGCGATACATAACGTGGTATCTGTTTTCAAGGCTAAAATATAGTTAATCAGCCTTTAAAATCTGCTTCTTTTTTTTTTTTTTTAACTTGTGTTCTCATTACAAAGGGGTCAATAACCTTAGTCACGCTTTCCTGGAAAAAGATCTGCAATACTGCACAAAGACCAGGAACAGATACAAACTTTCTAAGCCTGCAGGCTTAAGAATCACATCTGAACTTGTTGAGTGTATTGCAACACAGATAAGAATAAACTGTTGAGATAATATGTAAAAATTATTTTTAAAAATTGAGCTACAGAAAGAATTAGAAGCCAGTCTTTTACTCTAGAACTCAACCAATTAAAGCAATGTTCAAATACAAGATGTTTCTTACTAACTTTGTTCACTGAATAAATACCTAGAAAAACGTTTTGCATGAGATTTTTTGGAATGGATATTTTCTGGCAGTTCTTTTTACACTCATGACCATGCATTGTTCTCCTCCAAGTTACATTTTGATGCTGAAAATGTGATAAAATATAAACCACTATTTCAACTTTCGATTGAATTAAAGAATTACAATGACAATTTGTGTTGTATACCAAACAACATCTTTAGAAGAAGAAACTGAGAAATATTTTCTTCTTAACATCTGAGACATAAGATAATGCCATTCTTAGAGTATTTTTAAAGATGTGATGCACTGTACCTCCTCTAGTCCCTGAACACATCGGGGTTGGTTGTTTTAGCTGAAACTTAATATTTACTGAAGCATGTGAAAAAATGTACAGTGTTCTCAAGCAGTAAAAATACCAGAAATAGTGCTTCCACCCAGTCAGTTACTACATCTCAGGGTGCTTTACAGGACAATGATATTATTGCCCCTCAACCAGAGAGAGGCGTGGAAATGGGTACAGTCTTTGCCAAGGTCATCCAACCAGCCAAGCCAGATACAGAACCCAGGTGTCCTGAGCCCCAGGAAGATTGAGTCATCATGATTAGAGTGCAGTTTTTTCAGGTTTTCATAGAAAAGGGTCATAATGACACCCTGGTAGAAGATAATGTTAAAAGGAAGAATCCACTGAGACTAAATAATGGTAAGAAAATAAATTTCATCATCTCAGTACACCACTATTTTAACTTAGCCCACTGTTGATTTTACACCAGTATTTACTCACAATAAACTCATAATAACTCAGTCCAGTCTTGAGGTTTAACATCCAACATTTTAAGAAACTAATGAGAATGCACAGATAACATTTTATCAATAATATGTCCTCAGGGCAATGGTACTATTAGATTATTAATCAAATGGGAATAAAATCCTCAAGCAACACTTTTCAGTTAGATATTTTTTTGGGGAAAAAAGTAGATCAAGAGAAATAACATCTGAAGAATATGATAAAGTTATTCTAGGGAGCCACTGGCTGGTACTTTTCTCTTAAAAAATAATTGTACTGATTATTGCTTTTCTACAAAAGAAAGACTGCAGTCAAAATTTTGAATTTGCTTTATTTCCACTATAAGAATTATTTGCAGTCTTCGCTCTTAGCAGAACACTAGAAGGAACAAAACCCAGTCAAAAAGCGATGATAAAATCATTCGTGCAATCTTTATTTAAAACAAATAGCTGAAGCTAGATTTTTCTGTGTAAAACCTGTGTCATCTCCATGCTTTATGTATCAAAACAAAAATCTTAAAAGGTTTTTTAAGAAACAATATTTGCATTTTAAAAAAGCTTCAGTATGGCTTTGAAATGAGATTTTTTTTATAGCTGTAATTAATTCAGACATTTAGGGACCAGAAAGGACTATATTATGCAACCTGACCTCGATATACTACTAACGCTAATCCTATTTCACTAGATTCAATTTTAAATGTACTTGTGAATTTCTTGCTTCATTTTTACGATGGATGAGAATACAACATCAAGATACAAGGGTTCAATTCTAGCAAAGCATCTGCCTGATTTTTTGAGTTAATTGCTTAAATGGAAAACATTAAAGAAGCAGCTTCGCATTTCTTGAACTCTGTAGCAGTATTTCCTTCAATAAACAAGACAATGCTTGACAGCATAGTGAAGAAGCAGCAAGACATTAAGTAATAAAAACATATCTCAGGTATGAACGCTCACAGATACAGACTTCCCAAACCACAAAACTGAACAGATGTGTTCTTAAAGCAGTAGAAGGAACATGCTTGCAAAGAAGTCTAAACTGTACCACCTATCTGAACGTCAGAGCTGGATGCAACAGGACAAAAAAAGGTGGTCTGGGCAAACCCATATGAATGCCAAGCACAGCACTCTCACACTCGCCTTCCCTCAGACAGGATATCACATTCCATCACTGCGATGAAAAAAGGTGACCTCCAACTACCATCTAGAAACTGAACGTGATGAAAATAGAAATCTGACCCTTGAGTTGTAGTTCTCCCAGCTCCAAGTCCAAGAACTGAAGGGGAAATGACAAGGTCACTAAACCAGCACACACTACTCACTGAAAGGCTCCTCAGCAGCTGCCACAGCGTATTCCACACGTGCACTGAAAGCAGCAGTGCCTACCTGAGTAACATGACAAGGTCTGCATCACTGGATAAACGCACCAACCCAGGTGTTCCCTCTGTCCGGATGAACTGGATCTTCTCCCTGTGTAAGCAAAAAAGGCTTCCAAAATATCTTTTGCAAATAAGGCAGCAATGTACACCACAGCAACAAGAAAAAGTACAGGGTATATGAGAAATATACCTGAACCCTGCAGGAGGACATTACTATTCTGAAAGTGAACTGTTTAAAGAGGTACTGTCTTTTTTGAACCTTTGTACAAACGCAAGCCATACATTACAATGCACACTTGTGATTTTAAAAGCAGGTTCTTTGTACCACACTGCATTTAAGAGATCTTCCAGAAAAACCCTTGTACTATTACTTCTCTCCTTCTGTCTCACCCAAGCACACGCCCTTCTTCCCAGACCCATTTTGGTCACTACTGTGGAATCTATGCATCCTAAACTCTGAACATGATAACACACAGGTTTTTAGGATCTATACTGAATATAATTCCTTAGCTGATTCCTGTTCTTTTTCTCTGTAGAATTTTTTCCTGCAGTCTAAAGTAGAAGTACATCCCTTTTATCTTCTATCAGTACAAGGTATATGATGGTACAGTAGAGATAGATTCTAATTTGGCTTTACTCTCCAGGAGTAAAGAAAAAAAAACCCAAACACATGTAGCAAAAACTGTTCCAATTCCAAAGGAGAAAACCCCCAAACAAACTGAAAAATAAAGAATTCCCCTTAAGAAAAGCATCACTGGCTCAGCTCAGAGGTCCATCTGCCCCAACAGCGGCAAGGAGGCCAGAAACGATCCGTGCAATCAGCACTATGATAAGGCTCTGGCAGCTGCACGCAGTTGAAGCTACACTACAAATTTCTGGAACACATTGTTTCATTCACAGCGGTTTCAACAAAAGGATCAGACCAAATTTCTTGCCATCTGCCTCTAAGACCACAGTACATAAAGACCTTCTCAAACAGTGGACCTAACACACATTCCCTGGTTAACTAGCACTACGTTTACAGCATATCCAAGTGTGAAAAAGAGCTCCCCAGTCCCCGCTTGCCAGGGTGTCGGTGGTGGCTGTAGCAGGAGTGTGTAATTCACTGTTTCTCTAAGAAGAGAGGTACTGAAAGTCAAGCACCTGCTTCGTCAAGACCCAGTCGAGGCTCGAGCCCGGCGTGGAGGCCCCAAGGCAGACCACGGCCCCGCAGCGCCCGGGGCAGGGATGGCTGGGCACCTCCAAGGCCTACTCCAGTTTACATCGGGGCCCAAGCGGCAAGGTTTGAGGAAAGAAATGGCGGATTACAAAATACATTTTAGCGTTTAGTTCACAGCAACACCAGGAACCAAAAGCATGCTTTCTGGGTTAACTAACATACACAGCCCTCCGAATGAATGCAATCCATGACTTCTTGGGGCTACCCATAAGAGTTGTGATTTCAACGACAATTTTTTAAATATATGCCTTTTATCTTCTCTTAAGGTATAAGTTATGTTTAATGTATAATAGGTGCCTTTGCCTGAAGCCTTTTACATTATTTACCAGTCTTTCAGTTTCATCTGTGGTGGCTTGCAATGAGATTTGATCCTGGCTACATGCTTAATAACAGTATGATAAGTACAATGTTCTCATTCCACCATAAAGCCTCTGAACAGCAATTTCCCACCTGTAGTATACTTTCATTGTATATTTTAATAGATCCTCAACTTCTGATTACATGTCTTCATTCTCTTTAGGGATGAGAAATTATTTTGGACAGAAACTGTAAGAGATCTTTTCAAATTGTCTCTGTCTCTTACACTAGCCAAATAATGGTTTTCATCCTCACCTACGTAACAATTATTATAATAACAGTAGTAATAATAATATTTAATATCATAATCATTCCACTTCAATTGCTCTGAGGTCCTCAAAGAAATAGATTACAGACAGTTGTACTAATCACTACACTAAAAAAAAAAAAAAAAAAAAAAAAAGACTCAATTCACAGTGTGGAATTTCACCTAGGTCTTAATTCATCAAGCGGTACAGCAATGTCATTGGTGTTGCTTAGTCTCACAGTGTGTCAAACAGACTTGGATTCCAATAACTTCCTAAATCAGGGTCTTAAAAGACTTACTAGGAAAAGTGAAACTGGGATCTTTATAACAATGCAATAAATGTTACTGAAGTATCATCTCTAGAAGAATATAGGAGAGGTATAATGGAAGATGTTTTACCTTAAATATACTAACTTCAAAGACTAAGACTAGAATGGAATCATTCGACTTAAGAGAATGGCTTCTCTGACAAAACCTACTTAATGTAAAATAAAATGATGTTCATTAAAATCCTCAATCATTCTGCGAAAGCAGGTAAGTTAGACATATATCTTCAGTCTATTTATGAAGTAAGCACACAGAAGGATATACAGTCTCAAGTAAATGAGGAGTTGCAGAAACCACTATCTTTTATCTTTTGATCTTCCATTTTTATTCTGAAAGCCATCTTTTCTTTAGAAGGGCTCAGCTTGTGGCAAATTATGATTCTGTAATCAGGAAGTATGGTTCTACAAGAAGCAGAATCTGATAGTACCAACAAACCTTTTGAACAGTCTGAACTCTAAATTATCAAAAAAACAGACAACACATGAAGAAAATGACACTTAGGTTGCTATCAGAGTGAAGGAAGCCAAACACGCTGGGTAAAAAAAAAAGGAATAATAAAACTACTAATAATCAGAAATTTTTTGTATACTATTTCTCAAGAGATTAGTTTGCTCACATTTCAAACCAAGCATGGTGGGACAAACTTGCCTGTAGTGATATGGGTGAAACACAGGAACTGTTTTGACAGGCTGAGAACTGTAGATTTTTATTTTCCTCCTTTTATCTGTATTTTCTAAAGAACATGTATTCTTCTAGTATGTAATTTCAGGTTTGTCAACCAGGATTTATTCAGAGGGTAAACCAAACCTTTAGCATAGAAGCCTCATCACAAAACTTGTTAAAACACAGTGCTTCAGGGAACTACGAAACAGGGCAGTTTGTTGAATTTAGGGAACTTGCAGGACATGGAGGAGAAGGGATCAATAAATAACACTATGAGAACAGAAAAAAATTCAAATTAGTGGTGGCTGCTATGCCAGCCAGTGGGGATAGGCGTCTGGAACACAGAGCGCTGCACTGACAGCTCTCCGCACAGGACAGACGGCAATCATCAAACCAGCATTTTTTAAATTTAGTGTCCAAAGACGAACAGATACAGTGATTTGAGTCCTAGTCACTAATATCCAAGCTGTTAGCTATTCCATCTTTTACGCACCCAAGTACATGAACTATAGTGTCTGTGCATGATACACTTTAAGATGGACCCTGTAGCTTTCTGAATTTCACTTTTTATCATTCCTAGTCTAAGCATACAAGGGAGTTACAACAACCATACAACAATCAAAGATCATCCTTCATCAGATCTTGTTGGGCTAGGCAAAAACCTGTAGATAGTAATTTTGTAAATTTTGGAGAATCACTAAAAATTCTGATTGATATAAGATTACCTCCAAGGTCATTAGGTCAGGAGAGCCTTCCCGTACACGCACACTGAGAACATAAGGACAAAACGAAATGCCATTCTGCCTCGTGCTCCCAGCTGTACACAGACTCAAATGAATGGGCACATTTGCTGTGCCACCCAGCTGTCTTGGCACATTTTGAAGACATCAGCAAAACTCTTATGCCAGTTGTTCCAAACATTTTCTTGTAGGTACCTTTATTTGGTAATAACACATTACCTCTGTTCTCCTAAACCTTATTTCAGGGAGTTACATAGAAATACAACAAAAAACCATCTCCCGCAGTTTTATGAATATGTTTGAATAGGCCAAAAGTATACAATCTGTTATGTTCCATGGCTAATTTTAATGAAAGAAACTAATTCTAATTTGCATTTTATATTGAAACGGGAATAGCAAACTTCACTAATTTTATTACCTGAGTGAGTGATTCCTGGTAAGATCTGGCTGACGCTCTTGTAGAATTTCAAAGATATTGGGCTGCCGCAAAAATGCAACGATCTTGTCATTGTAAGCTGAAAACATCAACAAAAATATCATGCTGAAACAAGGAGATACTAAAAGACAGGACTGCATTCCTTCTGAGTTTTGAATAATAATGACAGCAGACTTAATCTTCACAGTTTTAAGTTTAGCAGTACTGTGTTAATACTTTTTCATGTAAGGCTACTGATTCTATCATTTAGGGAAGACGCTTTTTGATTATGAACCTAATCTTATTGTGACACATCCTTCCCACTGTTAATAGCTCTACTTCTGTTAGAAATTTCTGTTCTATTTCATCACTCACACTCTTAGCTAAGGTCAAACTAGAATATTCATTGCTAGAATAAAATCACAAGGACCTTGGTTTTCACTGCACTGAAATCCATTCTCAAGCATTAAACAGTCATTGGAAACACTCATATCAAATCCTCACTAATTGCTGAGCCTGCAGTGTATGCACACCATGTATATGGCAAAGGGAAGGATTTCAGTTAGCAGAGATTTTCAAGTAAACACGCCAAAGTACAATGAGCCAGTTATAGTCAATCAGACTAATTTATCTTGATTTAGCACAATGTGACAGCTGTTAGATTCAATAAGCTAAATTCTGTTCTTGGTGGCACAGAAGTCACTAACTATGTCTGTATGTAACTGAGAACAGAAGTTAAGCTAATGACTAATTCCAAGCTGATTAACACTTTCTGGAATCCTGCCAAAACAGATGCTCAGAAGTTGTACAGAAATCACTGGGAGTACAGGGAGTCCAATTAGGACACAACTTGGCTCACTGGCCTCAACTCTTCTTGTCACTGCATAGAGTAAGTGAGCTAGGAAGCTCGAGGTTTTACATCAGTTATTTGGTTCTGCACAGACACTTCTCAGTATTATCCCTGCAGGTTGCAACTGAACAATTGGAAAACGTTGATGGACTGAAGTAATCATAACAAATTATAACTTCCACCCACCCCAACCAAATGAAAAACCCAGCAGTGCACACTGCCGTGACACACTCAGTCAGGGAGAACTTCTCTGAAAAGAGGCCGTACGCTGACATACCCACGGGAACCACATCCTGGTACTGAGCTCTGCTGACAGTATTAAATGTGCTAGATGGTCTTGGCAAAACTGGTGGTCCTGAATGACGGGAGTCCTCCCCAACCTGAAAATGTGCAAGTAGCCACAATGAGTGTCTCTATACCAGCACATGTACTTGCTGCATAAAAGTGAGAACTCACATGGCTTAAAGATGTACGTAAATGCTCTGCTTGATCACTATCCCCAGTAACCGCTGCAGCAGGAATCAGCTGTGGTTTATGACAGCTATTACTAAAATGTTATTTAGTATACTGTGCCTATTAATACACAGAATCAAAACTGATTGAAATTTTACTGCTATTTTTAAATAATAGTCCCATTCTGAAAAGGGACTAAAGAACTCAAACTATGAGTCCTTCAGAGGGTCTTTTGTACTTCATGAACATCTTTGTTCATATCAAAGGTTCTGAAAATCAAATTCTGCTCCTTCATTGGCACCTCTATTAGCCCTGTGCATGAATGGAGTTTCCCTAAATTTGAACTGGAAACAAGTTTGTGTGAAGCAGGAGGATAAAGAAGCAAGTTCACATTCAGGCAAGGCAAATGCATCTAAAACTTGTAAAAATATGCTTCCTACAATCATTCAGTAAAACTGTTCTGACTTTTTGTGTTCACCTTCTCGGATAAAAAAATGTTGCATATGAACATTTTTTAGGGTAGAACCACAATGTAGAACTGTTCCTGGTAGCATTTGTGATGTCAGGGCAACTTCTGCAGTTTTCTGTGTGCTGAGGCTTCACTTATTTCTACAGTGTCAATATTCTGTATTTTATCTATATAAAAGATTTTGTTCAACCTCTTTTTCATCCTGCTGGACCTTTATGTTTACTTCTCAGTTCCTCTGCCTACATGTAATAGTCAGCATTTGAACTATACTTCCAAGATCCAAAGATCTCTAAAACATCTAACTGCAAAAGATGAAATAATTATAAAGGTTGGTTTTAAATCCAGTTTCTGAAATCACAAAAAAAAAGCAAAACTCCTGAGCTATCTCCCAAGTTCTTTGTGCTCTCTGATAATACTCTCTCAGAAAAATAAAAAATTATTTCCTGTAGGCACTGTGCTGGAAAAGGAATGCCATTATTATTAGCTCCAGCTTCACGCTGCAGCTCAGCTTTAGCTAAAAAGGCATTCCTTATGTTGGTTAATGTTTGCTTTAGAGCATCCCTCTGTAAAAACTGGGTTAGTGGCTTCAAAACATCAAAGTTTGTGGCACGGCAAATCCAAATAAAGTATTTTGAGAATTTTTTTCATTAAGTATTCATCTTTCGCAATAAACGTACAGTTTCTTGATGCAGTAGTTTAAAAATAGGAAAAACAGCTGCAAATATGCAGCACTTCAGTCATAAGCTCAGAAGAAAAAGTGGTGTTCAGATTCATACATATGCATATAAATTAACATCATTACATCATTAATCCCAGAATGGAAATTCTGTATTGAATTGCTATGTTTGAGATCCCTCTCTGGAATGACACTTCAATTCAAGTTACAGTGGTAACAATATGAAGGAAATACTTCTACAATTACACGTAGAAACATGGTTTAAGGCATTTTATGTAAAATTTTGACAGGTAATCAGCACTGTGCATATGCAATATATATGATGACTTCCTTTAGGATAAACTACACTTATTTTTCAGTATTGACAATTTCAGCAGCATGGTTAACATGAATCTTTCTATTTTGAGCGCAGAGCTTCTGCACACTGCTTGAAGAAAGATAATTTCAGTATGTATTTGGTAAAGTTAAGAAAAGAAAAAAAAAAATCTATTTCTCCTCTGTTATAAATCAATCACAACAGAAATACTTGCTTTACCCTAATGAAGATCTAAATAGATATATGAAGGCTTCCTTGCCTGCTCTAAGACATCACTTCCTATACCACATCACCAAACTGATAGAAAATGCTATTTAAAACCATTTGTAAAATATACATTACAATGGGGGTGGGTGGTGGAAAGAACTGTGTGTGACTAAACGGTGATCACACAGGGTTTGAGGAGACATGCAGCCAGTGGTATGGCACTTGCTGCAGCTCGGCAGAAGCCCTGTTAGAGAAGTGGCAGAAAAGATTCATGCCTGCTCTGAAACAGACCTCTGGCAGAACTTCATCTGCCACAAGACTGAGCTATAAAAAGGATAAATCAGAGCCTTTCTCTTGCCATTCTAAATCTTTCATTCCTGGCATGGAATAGTCCTCCCCTGAAAAGACAGCCAACAGTATGGACATTAAAGTACAACTGAAGTCTAAGTCATTGTACATACACTTGCTCACAACTATAAAGAAGTTACAGCAGTATGGAGACTGCTGGTGAAAATGGTTCACAGTGACATATCAATAAAACTGTGTTTTCCATGTTATTTCTCTTTAGAAAGTAGAGATGAAACACGTATGCAAATGCATATAAACAGTCTGATACGCCTGTATGTGGGTAAGATTTTTTTTTATACTTATTCAGAAAATTGCACATCTAGATTTACATACACACATGCACTTTTTTCACCCCCTCTTATTTGCAGTTATATCAACATACTTGCCAGACACCACGCTAGACAACAATACATATTTTAACAGCAAAAGACAGGATACAGATACTGGTAATCTGTAATGAGATGCACTCCTGTGGTTAAATGGGGTTACTGCATATTAAGATAAACTCATGTCTGATATTTTTCCTCTGAAATCACACTTTTCAAAAGCAACAACAGCTAGAAAATAAAATAATAAACCTTTACAGATGAGTACCATACACTTACAGAAGAATCATGCTTCTCACAACACAGAATTGTGATTGGAACGATGTAAAAGGAGGATGATCCCAAAATCTGGTGGTTTCCCAAGAGAAGGGGCAGATCCAACTTACCTCACCAGCGCTGTGGCTGCGCTGCCTAGTTAAGTGCTGCCGGTGGACTAACGCACTAGTGGGCCTGCTACTCTGCAAGGGAAGCCGGGGGTCAATGAACGTGGTAGTGCGGGAATTGTGGTCAACAAAGAAAGCCTAGAGGAGGAGGAAGAAGAAAGAATTATAGAAAATACTTTTTTTTCAATGTGTCCATGGTTAATGTCTATTCAGGATCTAGGTTTCACTCGCTGATGTGAGGCTTTGGAAAATCTTCCTCACATTTTGTGGCTTGCATTTCCACTTGGCCGAAGAAGGTTTTCTATCTCACTGAAGGGATGAATTCTTTAATGTCGTACTTCATTCATATCTATAAAGCCCTTTGAAATTCTCAACTGACAAGCATAAGAAGTAAGAAGCTTTATTAAGATTGTCAAGAGAAGAAGACTTAAATGTTTAATAAAAGTAATTCTTGTATATTCTCCCTTTCATTTCCTTATAAGCATCTAAAAAGTCACCATTAAGTGGCAAAGCCATTCTCTTTTGCAAACTATTTACCATATAATTACAAACACAGTTTGGTATATATATGTCAAGTGTATGATTGTATCCTGTGATAAACTACAATTACAGGCCAACAGGAATTTTTGCCATCCTCCTGATATAACTATTCTATGTTTGCTAACTTTTTTTTTTTTTTTTTTAAATAAAAAAAGCTCAGTCAGGGACACAAAGATGATTGCAACAAAAACATTTAAACCAGGCAACTGGTGAGAATTACCACATATTGGCCTGTCATCCATTTACTGAAAGCAAGGTCACAGGAGCATGTATCCTGGAAAATGAATACCTCCTACAATTCTGTCCAATTTGAACCAAAAAGGTTTCTAAACCCTGAAATTTAACTTTTTCTAAGCCCTGAAATTTAAACTTTTTCCAGTGCTAGTGTTGTACTTGGAAAGAAGCACTGTTCTATTTCAACACACTTTGCTTTTTTCAGTCACAGTGCTGGAATCATGTGGAAGTGGCAAAAAAAGACCCCAGTTTTGAGCAGGAGAGTTACAGAAAAGTGACATCTGGTTTGAGGAATCAAAGAACGAGCAGAGAGGTGGTCAGGGACTGGGGGAGCCATTTCTGTGTTTGGACAGCAGTGAGGTACTTGGACCATATTTTCATAAACAATTCAGTCCTGTGGTGTCAGCAAAAGAAACAATCTCATCCTCCCCTACCCTGACCACTCATTTCATCCCCTGCATGCCCTTCCTGCCTTGTGCTGGCACAAGTGTTTGTGTAGCCACGCAGTGAACCCAGCTGGGGAGCTGGTCCAGGCTAAAATTACTCTCTTTTTGTCCCTCTCCCTGCTGGTTCCTCTAACCTCAGTCAGCCCACCAGGGACAAGAGGAAAGCAAAACTGGCTCTTTTGGCAGCAACACCAGCTTACAGTATTCATGAAATCATTATTTCAGACTGCTTGGTATAGCCCGACCAGAGAAAATGCAGTTCTTCTGACTGCTGTGAAGGTAGGCACACAAACCAGCATGTCATGCTATACAACAACTAAATACCATTATGGACTGTGGTGGGAGAAAATGTTTATACTTCCATTTCCTAAGGAAGGAGAAGCATATGGAGGGTCACCAAAGTTGCAGAACCTTAGAAATGCTCCAGAAGAGGGCAGCAAGACTCCTACGGCCCTAACAGCGGTTGCCTGTACCTGCAACCTCTGCCTCCAAGCAAGAAATCACATTACCTAACAGCAAGGAAGAACTCTGTTTTGATCATCTGACATAGTTACACATATGCAAGTGAAACTGACTGTTCCACAGGTCAAAAACTATAAAGTTATTCAATAAATGCAATTTTAATTGCAACATTTGAGACTAAAGCAGGACTTGTTCACCTTGACAAATAATGATGTCACCTGCAGTATACAAATTAGGGAATATGAAACCAGTGGGAAAGCAGAATGAAAGCCATTCTGAAATTTCAGTTTGGGACCTGGAAAATGACTGGAAGAAGCTGCAGGAACATACCCAGGCTTTCTGAAAATTTTGCTCCTGATTGATAGGTTTATTTCACCTATTAGCAAGTGGTTGGTATAGGATTTTTTTTTTAATGCCCCTCTATCTACTATTTTATCTAGGTTGGTTTGTGTGTATTTATAAGATGATAAGCACTTCCATCAAAACAAAGGTGGATTCCATTAAGTCAATATTATACAGTAAAATCACTTAGGAAAAAAAGGTACTGATTCAGTATAGGAGAAAGTACTACCTAGAGTTGCGCTAGACAGTTATTTCAGTTAATGCAACAACCTAATATTGCATATAGTGTTCTGTAGCATTACATTTAAACAAACAATTCAGCTTAAACATTAAGTAAAAGACAAGACTGTCTTCTTAAATATGAATGGTTGCAGGCCAGCTAGTAGCAGTCTACTTTAAAATAAAGCATAAATTACTACTTTGAAGCCTTAGTGAAGATAATCATTGGAGCTTCAAGGCTTTGGGTGAATCTGGACACTGACACAGAGCTCAAAATACAGTGTGGCTCACAGTCTCCTTTCAAAAAAAATTCCTCTCATAACTCCTGTCTAGTTATAATCCATAAATCTATGATGCTTGAAGAGACTGATATATGGTGTGTAGTGCCAAAACTACATTTAGGCCATTAAACACGGATAGTTGCCCAAGTTATCTTTCCAGTTAAAGCCTAGGAAGCTTGCTAAAATACCTTTTATTACTATTGAAGACATTAGTCAGCAATTATAATGGATTCTTTCATTGTAGAAAGAAAAAAAAAAATGAAATAAAAATCCTACAGTAATTTATTATGTATTTGCACATCTTGCAGAGTTCTAATAACAAGTATATACATTTGGATCTGGCTTTTAAATGTGAACATGTGCTTATACATGTGGCACAAACGCACTGGGGTGCTTATCTGTATAACACACGTGTGTATGTACATGTATGCAGCAATGCAGAATTTCAAAGTGGTCAGACCGAGTTCAGCCCCCGGACCTATCTAGCCTTTATGCTGCTTCCTGCTACCACCTTTTACAATCGTCTTCTGCCTCCCTGTGGTCAGTGACTGATGAAGGTTCATCCGTCATGCCAATCAGAAACTACATCCTTGTTACTCCAGACCTTTTAGGGAGAACTGCATGCCAAATGGGTTTTATCTTCTGTAGGGGATACAAAGAGTTGTCAAAGAGGAGTGGGCAACTGGGCTTTGCTGTGCAGCTTTGAAGGGAGTTCAGCGGTAGGCAGTCCCCAGCTGAGCTTGGAAGACAGCCTGCAAAGAGGTACAAGCAACCAGGACCACACTGACACAGGGGAGTAAAAACTCTACCACTCAGCACTGCATAAGGGTCCAAACAATCACTGTGCCTTGTGAGCAAGAGCACCAAGCCTCTTACTATAATATACTTGGAAAAATAAAAGAAAATCTCATCTCAGCAGGAAAGAGTAGCCAGGGAAAGGAAATATAATTATATATTGTGACATGGCTAAATTCTACTTGCTTGCCTTTCGCTTTACGCTTTAATAAAGGCAGGTCCAGTTTTGGCTTGGTCTCATCAAGCACTGGTCTCACCGCATTCTGGCCACCATCTCTCTCGAGTGCTGAATAGGCTTTCCTGCTGGCCACAAGTGCTACTTGTGACAAAGGCAATTCAACATAATGAAAATGAACAATACTGAGCCTAATTCAAAGTGAAGAAATCCCAGTGGGGATTTATTCAGTGCTTCCTCTTTTTGACTAGTGCTGTGGTAGCATTGCTGTTACCAAATACCACATCAGAAATCCAAAGGTCTAATTCTCTCTATTCTCACCTATTAAAGTAAATTGAAAATTGCTGTATTCTTCAGGAGAAAACTGGCTTCTGAAGAACTGGAGAGAAAAAGAATGACTTAAAACAGGAAAGAGTGAGGGAGGCAAAGAACAAGGTTAGTATAACTGCACATTCCTAATTGTGTTTCTAATGAAAAAACACAGTGCTTTCCAGAGTTAATAAACCCAATAAGAAAACAACCCTCAAGCACTTTTTCCACCCTTCAATTTAGAATCTGCCTGTAATCTTTTCAAGCATCAAGATTATTATTTATAGGGACACTCACAGCTAACCATACCAAGACTGATAAACATAAGAACTGAGAGGGTTAATATGCCTATAGTCCAAATAAAGATTTCTCACATGAACTGATAGCCTTATCACTTCCTCACATACTAATCACAGTCTACTATTAACCCTTATATCTTCCACAGAGGAAATCATATTCTAGATAGTGAGGATATACTAGTTTAAAGTTACATTAAAATTACTTTACTACAATAAAAATGTCTGTTCTATTTTAAAATATTTTGTTAGAAACTGAAAAGTGATACGTGTTTTGAAAAGCAGTAAGACTTGGAAATATTCAAGATCCCTATTAATGACAATTACTATACATGATTTCTTTCCTGTCAACCAATAGGGTGATCATCCCCAGAGCTATCCCAGTCTTAAGTGCATCCATTTTATCTCAGAAACTCATGAATACTGGACTTAGCATTTAGGTAGAGGACTCACCTAGGAAAATGGTTACCTATTAAAGAAAAAAAAAAAAATGCAAACAATGCATGCTAAATGAATTTCACTCGAAACTCTGAGGTTGAAGAAGGAAAGAAGAAAAAGATCTAGGTAAGGTTGAGAGTTAAACAAGAAAAAAAACCTAATACAAATGGTTCAACAATAACTAAATAAAATTCAGAAGGTATTAATATAGTAACTTTAAATTATCTTATGAGTATATAGGCAAAACTGCAAAGAGCTTAACTGAATTGCCTGTGCTTACACAGTAGACAATTCCTTTCAAAAGAAGTTTTAAACTTCCAAGGAATCTAAGCAACTTATTTCATTGTCAAAAAAAAACCCTTATTTCATTATTTCATTCATTGCTACAGATTGTCTAGCGTTTTTCCTTGTAATGATTATACCCACTTATCAGTCTCCTTCTCTTTTCATATAATGCTTTGTCAGCACAGACAAGAAATTCCAACCTTCTTTTGGCAAAAGCAGAAGAAAAGGATGTGCACCTTTTACATCAGGAGAACTACGTGCACTTATGCTCTTGTTAAGAGCAACCAAGGGAGTCCGGACATTGCAACGTCCAAGATCAATCACCCAAGAGAGCCACATGTGCATTACCATTACCTTGCCCTGATGGTCGTGTTTCATTTCCCAACCTCTCGGCAGCTCCAGCTGTTTGTTAGCAAACATGTTGAGGAAGCCCACCAAATCACGATTATGCTGGTAGCGCTCAAAATGGTGGGTGTCCCGCCGGACTTTGGTGATCATGTGCTTCAAACACGTGTTATTTGTAAACATGCGGTAGGCACTCTGAAAAATAAATAACAAAAGGAAATACTTTTAAAAGACAAAATTCCTTCTTACGACAGAAGACAACATTCTCACTGTAAATCAATCATCTAATCACCTATGAAACCTTAAAAATTATCTTGAACTAAGTCACAGCAGTATGAAAAAAACAGTCCTCTTTCTGAGGTTTTGGGGTGTTTGATGTTTCTTATTTTGCTTGATATACAAAATTTCATAATCGACTCACTTCAGCAAAGTGTGAAATATGTTACAGATTCCATTTGCCACAGTTGTCCCTGGATCTGTGAAGAATCCCGTAACATTAAAATGACTTTAAAGGTAAAGATTTCATATGTATTTTCTGATTTCTGGAACAGCGAGTCAAATGCAGCCATAGAATACAGGGGAATAAAGCTGGTAAGGCTTTCTGCAGGACAGAGATACATAAGCTTGTGGAACTTATCACAAATCTACATAAATACTGTTTCCACCTATTGATTTTTCAAATACACCCTATCATTGCATGTCCGTATGTCACTTAATAAAACTAAAATAAGAGAGTAAAAGGAGAGCAGTGAGGAACAGGGAAAACTTTAAATAAAAAGGGTAAAATAAACAGTTAGTGCCTTTCCCTCCAAAAAACCCCAGCCAACCAGAAACTGGGTCTTTCTCTTGGGATTAGCAATAGACAGATGCCAAGACATAGGCCCTCCTATTGCACTGTGCTGCTACCTAAATCACTCTGTGCCCCTATACCTCTACTCCCTGGCCAGAGATCTTATCTACTTCTGTCCTATTTCATATATTCAAGATAAAGCTATGCAAGCTAAGCAGAACTATTCAGATACAGAGAAGCATACATATATATATCAAAACCAAACAAACACCGACCAGTAATTTAGAAAGCATTGATTTATTAACAAGTGTGCTTACAAACAATAAATTATTCATTCCATTAATTCTGTTTACACTATACATCCTGTTACACAAAATACAAAAAACATTGAAAAAAAAAAACCAACAACTTATTTAAGAAGCAGCACTAAAGAACAGGGAAAAAAGAAAAGGAAAACATATATTAAGATGCTTTTCTATTCAGTATGACCTCTAATATATTCTGATATAAATCTGGCAATCTGGGGGAAATAAATCATCCTGTAAGCAGCAAAGTGATCTTAAAAAGTAAGCATCATTTTCATTCTTAGAATTGTCTCTCACCCTCTGTAAAGCACAGTAAGAAAGCTGTTGCTTCAATAAACATATTAATTCTGTATCATAAGAAAGAGGAAGAACTGAGTGAAAAATAAAAACTGTAGAAGCTATAATGCCAACTAGGACAACAGAGAGCCCACCGACTGCAAGGGATGATGATGAATGTTTGAATTTACCCAGCCTCCCTAAGTACTACCAATACCTTAGCATCAAACACTGAGCAATATCTTTGTACACAAGATAACTATATTTATAAGCACATATTTATGAAAGTCTTTCAGCTGTAGACACTATACTCACAGGGTTAGAATGCAGCACTGTAAAGAACTCTGGGCTGATAAGAAATTTCACAGGGGGAGACTGGAGCAATAAAGTAAGTCTGGATCTGGAGGTAGAGTGAGGCAGCACATTCTCTCTTCGAAAATCTAACAGGAAAGTGAATGACAAAGACTTCCAGTAATAATCATTGCCAAAACATCACTGCAAACAACTATATCGATTTGAATCACGCAAGCAAGAAAAGCACTAGGTATACAACTATTTCAGATTTATTAAGTATTCTTCACATAAGTGTACCTGAATTTCTTCTAACATAGCACTGAAGTTCCTGAAAATATCACAGGTTAAGTTTAGTAACTTTTACTTGTTGCCTTTGGTGAACAATATTTAAAAAAAAATATTAAAAAAAACACATCCAATTATTTGGGTTACCAAACATATGGATGCATAGAAGATGCAAGAAGGTCCCTGTGGCAAGCCTACATTGCTATACTGTAGCTCTATGCAGGTAAGTAATTTTTAAACTGCTAACTAATGGATATAAAAGTCACTGTACACTTAAAAATGTTTCTTCCCTCCTTAAAAGAAAAAAAAAAAAAAAAAAAAAATCACTGCCACTAACACAGCCCCAATCCTGATACAGTATTTAAGCAACTTATGTAAGTAAGAAACAGGTTGCCAAGGAAGTACCTTTCAAGTTTCAACTTTCAGTAAACGTTTGGATCTTCTCCTAGCAACTGTAGAAGTGCACTGATTTTTCAACACTATTAGGAACTGAAAGTATATTATGAGTGGTATTCGCTACAGTGTTCAAACTGTTTCCACCCAATTATCTTTGAAAATCAACAGGACATTTGGATGCATATTTCAATGTAACTGAAAAATTGAAAATTCAGATTAGGTCTGCAGTGATTTTACTCTAAAACGTATGCCATCTACATTTCACAGTTTCTTTCTTTTACATATCACAGAATTTGCACACTTCCCCGTCAAATGAACGTTAATTACGTAGAACACAGCCTCCATGGATATAAAAGAACATAACACACAGGCAGAGACAGGTGAAGAGAGTCAGTGAATGAGACTCTAAAATGAGGGAAAAGTAAGAAGAAATTTAAAAAGAGGCGGAAAAGAACAAAGACAGCATAAAATTCTGAATATGGATGCATAAACATTATGGAAAAAAAGGGATCAGGGAACATAAAGACGTTCATTCTAAGCATTAGAGGAATCCAGAAAACAGAAGGGTAATAAGTAAAGGAAAAGTAAATGAACAAGAGGATTTTTAGAGACCCCAAACCCTCCCACAGGAGGCATGTCTATGGAGCAACAGCACAAAGACCCCTGAAGCTACGCCTGAATGCCTGGGCTGGGACTTTTCTTGCAGGCATGTGCTGCGGTTGCATCTCCATTCTGTGTTGGTACAAAACCTGGGTGTACACCAGTCACTTCTCACACCCTGGAAGATGCCGTGACATGCTGCAGGTAGGTCCACTGTCATAGTCTGGGTAATGTGGAAACCAGGATGGGTCACGAGGTGGGTTTTTCATATAGTTTAGAGGCTTATGAATTTGATTTATAAAAAGCTTATTCAGCTAAACTTGCTGATTAGGGTTTAGCCTGAATTTGCCTTAAATCGATTAGTTTACAGCACAGCAAACCATCTAGCTGCACATGCACAAAGATAGAAAAGGAAAAGGCTATGGCAGAATTAAAGAAAAGTAATTTAAATGGAGCACTTGGCAAAATCACAAGTTCTATGAAGTCTTGACACTCGAGAAAGGGTGGCATTGCTTGGATATTAGATTAATTCAGGGAAGAGTATTATAAGATAATATCAAGAGCATCTAGAGACAAAGCCAAAGCACATAATAACAGACAACTGCACAAGGGAGTGAACGGGTAACAAACTAACTTTATAAATGTATTAGTAAATTAGCAGTAGGAAGATGGCCAAGGAGAGAAGCACTTAGCAGGAAGAAAAAATAGTAATGATGCTTAGAGCTCATTAAAAAAGAGCCTTCTTTCTGTCTTCATTCAAAAAGTTAACACCAACCAGGCAACCAGAAGAAATAAAAAACAGGATAAGAAAGAGAACTGTCTTCTTAGGCTAGAATAGGTAAAGATCAGGTTAAAGACTGTGGTGCAAATCAGAGATTTTCAAACCCTTCGGGCTCGATGAAGTGTACTCTAACACATTTTGGAAACTAGGTGAAGCAATCCCTAAGACACTGATGGTTATTTCAGAGGTGTGAAGGAGTTCTCAGAAGAAAAAGGATAAATATTATATCAATTTTGAAGAATATGCAAAAAATAGATGAAGGAAACTATAGACGAGTCGACATATTTTCTATTCTCAGACAGACACACGAACTAATTGTCAAACTACTTAAAGCAACAAGAAGACATCAAGGTAAAGAAACACAAATAATCAGGATTTCTGAAGAATGAATCATAGCAAACAACTCAAGTGGTGCAAAGGCCACATATTTTGATGTCAATAAGGCCTTTAATACTGTTTAAATGATACTCTCAGAATCATGCTGGTGGAGAAAATTACCTGAAACTGATGAAACCACCTGGAGAGGGGTATGCAACCATTTGCAATAACATACTGAAAAGCAGTTATGATTTACGTCAAACAAAAAGAGTACACCAAGTGATGTTTCACTGAGATCTATCTGGGTCTGGTCCTATTCATTATTTCTATTAATGACTGGATAGGGATGACAGAACTTGCTCCAACTAGGAGATGCTACAGTACTTGGACAGCAGGATGGGCAATATTCAAAACCAGAGTGACACATTAGAAAAGTGCAAAGCCCTGTGTGCAGGTAGGGATAATCAACTGCACAAACACCAGATGAAAAACAAACATCTGTGCCAGAGATCTGCACAGAAGGGTCCAGACCTATTTCAGCAGAACAAAGACTGAACACTGGCGGTTAGTGACAAACTACCAGGAAAAAAGTAGTAATTCTTCAGGAATGTACAAGGAGTGTTGTACATAAGACACATAACATTTCTGCAATCTCTTTAGTACAGCAGAGTTATAGATTTACTTAATTTTTTGCAATATTCCTCAGGAGCTGCAGACCAACTGAAGACAATCCTGAGTAGGGCAACAAAATAACTGGAGACCTAAAAGCACAAGCCACAAAGAAAGACTAGGAAGTAACAGATTTAAGAATGTAAGAGAAGTGATATGACTAGACTGTCTAAAATAGTTATAGAATGTCCATCAACTGGAGAACACGTTATAAGAACACATGAGATAGCATCTGCAAAGTATGGTTTAGGTACAGCTCATCCTATCTATCTTCAGCATGGAGATGAACACCATGACTGCCCAAAGACCCTTCTAGTTCTATATTCAGCATTTCAAAATGAAGTAGCAGATTCAAAATATTCGTAACCCAGGCCACACAATTTTATATTTTGTCACCGCAAATGTCTTGCCTATATTTTTACTCAGGCAGATACTGACAGAAAAATGCTCTGAATCTCACATTCACCTCTTCAGCATATTGAACAGGCTGAGCCGTAATCAAGAACAAGAAGCAATGAAAACAAATAGATTCTTTTTCACCCAGACTTTCAGGGGCAGAAGTTAGGTTCTGCCTTATGTCACTCTCATTAAATCATCTATGAGATGAGTGCTTCTTTTAGAGAGGGGGGGAAAAAAATTTCTTTTTTATTTAACCTGCATTAGAATGGTGAAAGTCGGTTTCCTCTCCAGCTCCATCCACGGTATTTGTATGCTCTTCAGGCCTGTCGTTAGTCATTGTTCTTCGGATGCTCTGGTACCTAGGGTTAGAAAACTGGACTTTACATATAGTATATGGTAACTGTGATCCAATTCTGGCTCCGCAGGAGCTTACCCATCTTTTCTGCCATGTAGGTTAATATACACTGACCTCTAATTTCTGGATTAATAGCATTCTGACTTTCCAAAACCCATTATCAGATTCTTTTTTTTAGCCATATAGCTTATAAACACAGGTGGAATACGAAAGCCCTAGAAGCCCACATGCCAATTAAAAGGGGTAGCCACATAAAAATAAACAGATATTGCCCGCTGTGCTAGCAACTATGACCCTGTCTTCATACTCAGACTTACAATGGTCAGTGCAGTTTTGCAAGCACACAATTCACAAACAAGGATAATTCTTACCGGCGATTCAGCTGTTCCATCTGCTGTATGGAATTTGACCTCTGGAGAATCTGTGGGGCTGGGGGGGCTGTGGGTCGCTGCCATGTCGTTGTCCTGTTCACGTGGTCCACATAAAAAATCCGTCCATGGCTGTCAATTCGAGCCTCCCAATCTAAGTAGCAATAAAATAGTGTGAACTATGGAGGGCTAGGGGGTTATCTCTTTCTTTATTTTAGCTCTGTCACTTTGGTAACTGAATCTATTGCTTCGTTCCTATCTCTCTTTTACAGGATGCCTTCGGCACAAAACTTTCTTACTTCCTTAAGAGACATGACTTTTCCCTATTTTATCCCATAAATCAAATTCCCCTCTGTAGGCAAGGTTCTGTGGAATCCAGATCTAACTGTTTCTATTCCTTCCTCTATTCTATTTCCCACTAACCAGTAACTGTCCCAGAAAAAAAAAAGAAAAAAAATCAGGATACTTGTCTAATGCTCTTGGACTTCAGTGATTCAAGATCCAGTCTCTGAGGCTTATTCAAGTGCAAAAGGCCAATGGATAAGTACCAAAACACCTTGCAAAGCTTGACACCTGTCGTTGTTTTTCCCCAGCTAATAGTAACAGTAATAAAAGAGATGCCAGGGCTCTTCATGGGTTTACATGTACCTATGCTAAAGGTAAGTAGACCTGCCAGAAAATATGGACAATTGTAACAAAAAAACTCCTTCACATACTAAATGCATGTTCCAGAATTGCCTATTATGCAAATATCATAGCAAATTCAACATCTTGTGCAAGCAGGAACTATAAGGCTGTCCTCTGGCTTTGCAACACAAGCCACAGACAGTGTTAGAAGTCTAGAGCAGGGAGACTACACCAGGAGAGCAGAGATGAGGGCACTGGGACCTTCCCCAACCACATCTGGCTTCTTGGTGCTCAGCTGAAACCAAGTCCTGATTCTAGGACAAGAGCAACTGCAGAAAACGTGCAAATCATTCAGCATGTCAGTTGAAAAACAGTCTTTGAGAGCTCAGAAGGTTTCTAGAAGTGACTTTCTACATTGCAAGACTAGGTGAAAACATCGGTGACTGCAGTAACATTTTAAAAACCACTGGCAAGCAACCAGTCCTAAATGACCGCTAATTTCCTCTGCGAAGAAAGAGGGCATAAAAATGTCTTGTCAGCAGAGAAGGAGAACTAAATTCTACTTAAAGCATTTAATTCTGACAACCTTAAAACCTCTGGCTTTGATACTGTACATGTAGCACGGTCTCTGTCAGCTCTTGGGGGCAGCCAAGAGGCTCGCTGCATTACACTGTAGGGCCTGAGCTGACTCTCAAAGTGGGAGGAAAGGCAGGTTTTGAGATAAACTCATTGTGTCATCTCCACACAACCGCTCCGTGTTTTAGCTGACCACAACAGAAATTACTCTTCTATCTTTGATGCATAATCCAAGCAGTGTTTAAAGCATTTCTAGTGTGAACAAGAGCTATGTAGAAAAGGAAGCTCAGATGAGAAAAAGAAAAAGCAGCAGGATAGGATAGGAATAAAGAGAACTGTTTAAGAAACAGATTTTGATTCCAGGAGGAAAAATTCAAAATTTTGTATTATACTGTAAATTTAAACTACAAATTTTAAAACAAACAAAATTACATCAACGCAAAGCTTATAGCATAATCTTGGCATTTGCTATTCAAAGCATAACACATTTAAAAGTTTGGGGGTTTTATAAAATTAATTTATGCCTCAAAAAAGAAAGCTGAAACATTTCAATATTCTTGAAAAACGTTTCCGTGTCTTAAAAAGAAAGAAATTACTGAAACAGATGTTCCTGTGCAAAAGTCCCATTTTAAAAAAGTAGTATGTTCTGATGAAATAAAAATACTCAAAATTTTTATCCAGCGTTTGTAAAGAAAACAAAACATGGAAATATTCCAGGAAGGACAGAATTGTTCACTGGGGGAAAAAAAAACAAATCAAAACAGTTAAAATTTGTGAATTCATTATTCTGCTTAAATGTCAAACCCTGAACCACTGTAAAATAGTGGAGCTTTTTCTTACAGTGATTATATGTCCAATTCTCACACATAGTCACCATTCCTGTAATGCAGTCTCCCAGAAGAAAAGCACTTTTGCCTGCCTTCAATTTTAAATACACAAGTTTAAATATCTGGGCAACAGCTTCTAAAGTAAAGCACCCGCATCAGTGTTGTAATAGACAAGGGTATCTTCCATTAGTCAAATTGTTGTTAGTCAAATGTGTTACAAATAACTTAGCTTGCTGAACTGCAAAATCATAATTCATCAAGGTTACGTGGCCAAGCTTATTTGTTGATTTTGCCCTAGGAATGTAGGAATTGGAGCATAATGTTGCACATTATACACGGAAATATTAAATAAATATTTCAATTATTTCTCTCTTCCTTTAACTTAACCACCACACAACTGAAAGAAATACACCTATTTTTCTTTCTTAGTTTCAGATACTGGTGAAACAACAAACAATACAACTCAAATTACAAAGAAATTACAGTTTATAACTCAAAATCGTGTTCTAAATGTTTCTTCCAGTTTTTCACTATTAAAAGTGTTACATATCCAAAAGCAGAGCTTTGGAGAGAAAAACTAAATCTAGGCAACAATAAGTATTTAAGATTTTACTCACATTAGCAAATGAATGATCTATATAAAGACTGCACTGGGCTTTGATCATAAAGGGATTGTGTATATGCATGCCCATGCATGACTGTAAAATCCCAGCAAATGTCAGAAATGCTAGACTACCACACAGCCAAACCTCTTGCATTAACATTCCAATAGTTTTTCCAAGTAGTTATCATAGTGCATAGTTTGTTTCTGAAACACATAAAGCAGTCTATGTATAAGGCATGGTGCTATAAAAGCTATCTCTATGCATTTCTCTGATCTCAGAGTATTTCCCATAATGTTCTCTTCTTCAATATGAAAAGTGATAAAAATGCAACGGAAATATACATCTCCCAAGAACAATTTTGTAAAAAATAATACAGGTTTACTGAGGTGGCAATTAATTAACTTTAGGATCTGCATGCAGGACTAATTTGTTATACGCACTGATTGTAAGTGAAGCAGCAGGGAGCAAAATATTCTCATCACCCTGGCTTTCCAATACACAGTTATATCTATGTTCTGCTATCAGGCTCCTTCTAGTTACCCTCTCCACTTTTAGAGAAAACACAGTCCCATTCCATACTGTGAAATAAGTATCTAACCATTTCACACTAACTATCTGAATTCCTGCCTCCTTTAAAGTAACAGAGCTTTGCCAGAGGCTTCAAGTGGGTCTGAATTTAACTTCTTCTCCTTTTTTGTTTTAAAATAATCTTTGCCTATTATCTCTGTAGCTTTTTTTGGTCCTTTCTCCTCTCTTTAAATATCTAATACTGAATAGATTTTCACTGTCCCAAGTTTAAGCAAGTGAATCAGTTCAACAATTGGGAGCAATGTATTTTTCATATGCATTAGAGAAGTTACAATTTATCTGTCAATTTAGGCTCATCCAAATGTTGCTTAATACCCACGTTTATTTTAATTCAAAAAGTCTTCATACTGCCTAAAAAAATGCAAGGACAACACAGACACCTATCACATAACCTTTAAAGATGTTATGTATTTATCTGTAAATCATCACCATACAAGAAGTATTCAGAGATTTCAGAGTGCTTGACATCTTTCCCTCCAAGTGCCTCACATAGTGTATCACCTCACCTCCTTACCCATGTGCACTGCATACTGAAAAGGCAGCACCGTGCCTTCCTACCTCTCTGCAAATGTCACTTAGCAAGTCTGTATACACCAGGTATAATTATCATAACACATCCTGAGAGTTTGCAGACTGAGCACAATGCCTTTTACGAAACAGCACTAGACTTAATCATCATCACTGCTCACTTAGAACTTCTCAGCTGTTCATTCTCAGTTCTCACATTTAAAAAAGAAACATAGTGAGATCTCAGTAATGAGATCCAGGCAGCCTATCCCCCAATTAAAGTATGAAGAACCTCACTTGGTGGTAGAGCCTCATCCACTCTCTGGTACCGGCTAACATCCTGACGTACCGAAGGCAGCGACCTCAAGGGCTGATGGCCATTGGCTTGAGAACCTGGAATCAAAATGCCCACAAATTATTTTCTTGGTCAATGTGGGGAAACCCTAGAGTTGCCTCTGTAGTGAACAAGACAGGCTAAAGCTTCTGCAGGACTGTGGTATTTCAGGATATATCTAATAGCCATCTATTTTGGGTTGCAAAATAAGTTATGTCTACAATTCTAGGTAAGTGATTTCTCTGGGATGTGCTGCAGTCCTGGTCCTGAAAGTGTCACCTCTTGGGATGTGCCACATCCACCTGTGATCAGCAGAAGCCAGGGCACAGAAACAACAGTGTCTGCCTGAGACATATCCCAGCCAGGGACAAGGACAAAGCTCTGCCTGGCCCCTGCAGAAACCCTGCTGTAAGAGTGGGAGGTGAAACCGGCCATTGACCTTCCTTGCCGCAGCCACACTGATCTGCAAAACGTGGTGCGACCTAAAAAAGAGAGTCCCAAATGTCTAGAAAATGCTGTAAAATATTGACAGTATGTGAAATAAATACCAAAATTATTTGTTCCAAATCAGAGCTGTTTATGAAGAGAAGAAATGAATAGATCCCAAAACTTTTGAAATGTTATGAAAAAGACACATTTAGAAACCCACTTGATTAGATCCACTTCAATCCCTGAAGAAATTGAACAGATAATCCATTGTGAAATGTGCTTGGAAACAATCCATTAGGGACACGTTCCTACGTTCTGTGATTTTAGTGAGACACAAAATTCTCAACCGTTAAAATAATTTTACAATTGGCAAGAGTTTTACAGTGTGGAGTAAGACATTCCTCTCCTCCCATGGTTCCAGCTGTGCTAGGATGTGCCTATACAGGTAAGGAACTAGGAAAGGAAAGATAAACAGCCTGAAGTATGAATGAAAAAATAGACTTTTTTTTTTTCCTCCTTTCTTTTGATTACCGTTAAGTTTTAATGCTAATATATAAACATATGAAAGAAAAGGCCCAAATATAAATTCTAGTTTCCAATTCATAGTTTTGGGATTTTTTTCCCCCCTCATTACCATTTTGATTAGTGAGCAGGGTAATATTGTGGAATTCTTTCCTCCTTTTCATCCTCCTTCTCACTACTCTATCAAGAGTTAAAATATATTCAATTTCAAAATAAACATGCCTTGGATATTTCAGGTTTGATTTTTTGTTAAATCAAAACCACCAAGAGTATCTTGAAGAAGGGAATAATTCTTAAAGGAAAAAAAATAAAATCTTGAAAGAGAATGAAATTGAGAAATGAAGATCTTTATTTTCAGATGTTAAGCTTTAAAGTAATTTTTACTGGCTGCAGAAAGGTCACTTCAGAAAGTGCATCCTGTAATTGTTACCTCCAGTAGCTCCTTCAACCTGTGCTGTGGCCCCTTCACAAGCTGCTTGGGCTCCTTCAGCTTCCTCATCCTGAGACTGGCTATTGGCAGCTGCCGCCTGCAGGCTGCTTCTTCTTTGCCAGATTTCTTCTGCTTCCTCTTGGTCTTGCAATTCAGCTGCTTCAGCCTCCTGTACGTCCTCCTGAGGTAGCTGTACCGCAGGCAGAGAACCAGAAGTACTTGCAGAGTCCTGTGTTTCAGCACCTGGCTCAACTCTAGCTGCAGCAGTGGCACAAGCTCCCTCTTCCTCCTCCTGAGAAGAGAAGGCTGGAGTCTCAGGAAACCTGGCACTTTCAAAGGAAGAACACCGCATCTCAACCGAGGAATGTCGCACAGTCGCGCTTTCATTGCAAGAGCTGTCTGCCCCTTCCACATCACTCTCCCCTTCTGGCCGGGTACTAGCCTCACTGACACTTTCTGTGCGAGCAGGATCACTCTGCTCGGTTTCTGATGACATCTGGGAAGGTTCAGACCCTTGATCAAGGGATTCCATTTCACTAACGCCCCTTCTGCTCCCAGCAGCGGCATCGGCAGCTCCTGCGTCCACACTGCCAGGAGGCTGCTCTGCCTCCTGAGCGGCACACCCGCTGCCAGCCTGCTCTGCTGGAGCTTCACCTTGAGAACCTTGCAGGCTTTCACCTCCTGCTAGCTGTGATGGTGGAAGCTCTGGAAGAGTCTCTTGCTGGTCATCAGCTGATGGCAAAGGAGCTTCAGAGGCTGAAACGTTTTCATTCTCTGCAGGCCCTTGAATTACCTGATCTGATGAGTAACTTAAACCATTTCTTTCCACATTTCTTGTAGCACCATTAAGCATTACTAAACCACCATCATCTTCCAAGGAAGACGGAAAACCCAGGTCTTGATGTAGCTCATGCTCCTCTTCATCTGAGTCAATGTGAAGCATAGCATTAAGTCTTGTGTCAGTAGGAAAGCTACTCCTCAGTTTTGGGGAGGCTCCACGTGGGCGCTCACCACAGGCAGACGTCCCCGGTCTGGGATGATTATTGTGTTCTATCGCATCCAGATAGTCATTTAGTGAGTCCTGGCGTCCTCTAGTAGGTGATGATCTTGAAGCACCAGATGTCAACTCATCCTGGTCCGTTTCCAGAGTTCTACTAGTCCTTAAAGAGTGTCTCAGGATTGCTTCTCCAGAAGATTCCTCAAGGACTGGACCATTGGAACACACTGTGGACGTATCGTGATGTCCTGTTGGCATGTCCTCATCATCAGAGGGGCTCCCCAAGTCTCCATTTACAGAGTTCACTCCTAGCAAAGTGCCAACTGTTTCTGGTGAAGCATCTGCAGAGACACAAAGACTGAATGTAAAACACAGTGCAGCAACAGACAGTTAATTCTACTTTGTCTGTATCGCAGAAGTGATATAAAAATACATATCTTTCAAGATGTTTGTTTGTTTCCATCAGACTACTAAGGGAAGAAAATACAATTAAAACAATAGAGTTATCTACAGCGTTATAACAGCAATTACAGAATTTTCTCTGTGTAAGTCTATACTATTTTGTAGGATACAGAAAATGTAAGGGATGTGAAGTATGACCTTAGAGGACTCCTGTGTGCTTTCAAAAGACAGAGTACTTCCAAGCATCTTGCTAAACTGTCAGTAAAACCAGCCTTACAACCAAGGAACCAGTTTTCTACCGCCTATCTCTCATATCCAAAAGCAGGATTTACACAAAGCCAGTCAGTGACACCAGTTGCCATTAAGCCCTCAGAAGCATGCAAACCAGCATCTGAGATCACACGAGGAATCACGACATTCCTTTTGAGTTAATTTATAGGACTTCCCATGGTAAAGAATGGGAATCTACTTAAGTAAAGTTCATGAGATATTAGGTATGCTATGGTAATAAATCTAAAAGGGAAATTAAAATAAGCCATCTCATTTGAGAGACGAGATGGTAACCTCCCACATGGAAATTAAACAGTCATAGAGCTGAATAATCCAGCTCTGTTTGTACACATCTGCAAGAAACCTAACAGTGAAGTCAGTGAAGTAGAGTGCCTGACAACAAACAGGACTGAAGACAGAAGCATTTGTTTAACTGTGACAGAGAAAAAACGTTAATGAGATACAGGACTACACGGCTACAGAAAAGGCAAGAAAGGTTGTATCAAGTTAAAATGTAGAGCAGTATCTCACTACCACAGAGATTAATACCAAGTCTATTGAAGAAGAACCTAAGATCATAAACATGGAATAGGCACATCTGATGAAATAAACATGTAACTGTACCAGCCATGTTCTGATAGTTGCCTTCAGAACAGGAAAAAAGGGAAACGAAAGAATTGCCTGATGGAAGCATGAATTCTCATAACCATAACAGATATTCTTGGTTCTAAGCAGGACAGAGTCCTGTGAAAGGGGAACGGGACAGAGTGATCTGCATGTACACTAGCAGGGGAGGAGAGCACAATGGCGTATCTCAGCCAAAGGTGTTACAGAGAGAAGAGAAACGATGAATTCAATTACCTAATCTATCCCATATAATGAGAGTCATAAGCAGATATTTTTAAGATCTATCTAACAAAGTAGTAAACCAACATGACTAAGTGTTGGTGGTTTAGAATTACCATCTCCAAAGCAATATCTGACATACCTAAACTTTGAATCTCAATAGAAAAATCTGTAATAGAGGCACTACAGGTAAATGAGAAAATCTTAGAAATATGGATCTGACGATCTCTCCATACAACTATCATTTGATCCAGATCATTGAGAAATTCTCACCTTCATGAACAGATGATGTGATTTCCACTTTGAATTGGAGATATCCACTTACATGATCAGCTGGGAGCCTTCTGCCAAGATTATAGGTGAGAACCTGGTCTCTGCAAAAAAAAAAGATATTGCTTGGATTTTTTTTTTTAAATTCTAACTGCTTTTATTTTTCCAGTATTTTGTATTAGGGGTTCTTATCAGATAAGAGTCAGCATGATAGAAGGTAATTTCTATTACAATCTTAAAATCAGCCACATGCTCTGGCTAGTATGGAAAAGCACAAACACCAACAATGGTGTAAAACACCTTTAGTTAACAGATAAAACAGCCTAAATGACTTTTGATCATTTCCAAATACAGATTGTGTCCCAGCAATCCTTATACATCCCTAAATCTCTTCCTAAGTCCTAAAGAAATCAAACTGCAAAGGATCCCTTTCCCCTAACCCACAATATGTTTTATGATTAACAAAACCTTTCATTTTTTAAAACCTTCTGCCCCCTTGTGGGTTTTATTGTGTTCGAAATTCCCAGATAGTTTCCTCACATCTTAGTTCTTCAGTAAAGCACTTCTGCATTCCTATTTAGAAAAGCTATCAATGCCTGGATTTAACTTCAAATACATTCTTAAGAGTTACTGAATTCAGTGGGACTCAGACTTGATTAAACACTTGTATCAGCTTGAGACTTAGGATCAGATCCTACATCTATTCTTATTAGGCACAGTCAGAATTCACAGCCCCCCTCAGCATAGCTGGGACAGCTGAAGGGAGAGGAGGGAGCTACTGAAAATCTCCATAGGAAATTATTGTTGTTTATGCAAATAAATTTATATTGGTATAAACACCTCTACTTTACTGGGAGCACTCCTACTACAATCTGAGTGAGAGACTAAATCAAATGCAAGGTAATTACTGAAATAAGATGCAGCAGTTTTCATCCAAACATTAACGTTTAGCAAAAAAAGTCCTGAGCGAACAACGTAAGGCACAGCAGCCTCCCCACGTTGCTCTGTAGGCTGCAGTACATCAAATTATTATAGTAGCATCTCCAGGACCTGTCTTAGATTTTCATTGCTCTGTACTCCAACTATAATTCTTCAGCTAGACTTGAGGGTATCCTTAGAAGATTGCCATTTGAGCTTTCCACCATTTTTACATAAGGTTTATATTACTCTAGGCCATTAGAGATTAGAGAAAGCCATGACATGAACCAGGTCTGTTCTGTATCCAGTTGAATCAACTAGATGATTCTCATGCTCATTTATCATATTTTCCATGAAATTTAAAGCCACTCGCCATTTCGTTATGCAAACTTGTACGCTAAGACAACAGCTGAAAGCGGGGCAGAATTTTCATTCAGTCTTTCTAAAAGTAGCTGGTTCTGGACTTCACCTTTTTGTTCATTAACACTGGTCATTAATACAGAGAAGGGCAAGTTACGCATATGGTGTACTGTAAACCCATTGTTTGTGTAATTTTTCAAGTTCACATGTTAACCCAGTAGAGGACTTCAATTGTCCTTGACATCACCAAAATGAAGAAGAAAGTGAAGGTATTTTACTCTCTTGACCAAAAACAAAATACAAGGGAGTTAGCAGTTGATTGTACATTTCTACTTCACGTCTATAATAACCGCTCCTTTACTTGCAAACCTTCTGGTGAAATTTTGTCTCTCTTTACAGTGTCAAGGCAAAAGCAACCCTGACAACTGACTGGCACACAAAAACCGTAAATGGACAAATAAATTACAGAGGAAGAGGTAAAACTGACTTAATGTCAGGTCTAACAGTAGTATGTCAAAACCAAACTGAATGCTTACCTATATTCTTGCTACATATTTATTGTAAGCTTATTTTCCTACAAAGATTTGATATATCAAATATACAGAACTGAAGTATGGAGAAGAAGACAGGAAATGTCTTCCAGAATACTGCTTTGAAAAAGCATAGGGAACTGATGAACACACCAAATGGGTAATTTCCAGATCTCACAGCACTAGGAATACCAAAGCAGAAAAATATTTGGGGGTTTAGCATGGAAATGAACACCCTGAACTGGATTTTGAAACCAGTCTGTATTACTGTGCTATTTTTGAGAGTATAGCAGTGTGTAAATTTATTAGAAAAAGCTGCTTGCTCAACTTATCACAATTTGTTGAAACTCAGAGATGAAGCATTTCTTAGAAAAGTTACATTGAATATACACCTGAACTGCTCTTGGATACACAACTCAAAACAAATGGGCAGACTATTTTTTTTAAATAAATTTTGCATCATAAGACATCATCAAAATCTTAAGCTACTTTTACAATTTTATTCTTAGTTTATTTACCAGTGTAACCACCACTGTGGAAACTTAAAGCTGAAAAGTATTTTCAAATTGAGTTCGACTTTCTTCAGTTGTGCAGCTTGTTACTTTGATGGGAACATCTCTGAAAAAGGAGATCAGTAGCGTTTATATCCTTCTTTTTGTGCAGAAGTGTGATGAAACTGCTGTGCCCTTAAACTTTCAGGGAAGGATACAGGCATTTTATTTCACCATCATTCCTCATGGGCCTCATCCAGTGGCCTTTGAAAGTTAATGTAGACACATTCATTTTAGCAGACTTTGAGTTAGGTCCTATACAAAACACACTCGACCAACTCAGTTCCGTCCATTGTCTTTCAAGGAATTATTTATTCTAATTTGTCAAATATAGCATATATATATATAAAGATGTTAACAAAATAATATACTCTGCAATGACTGCTCTGTCTTAAATGTAAAATTATATTTTCTCAGGCTCTTTTCAGAGCATATGGTTGTATAAGGGCCTCACTGGATCATCCACATGACTATGCTATGGTTCCCTCCGATAACCATCATGAAGTATAAGACCTTTTAAAAGTTTCTAAATGATTTGCATCTTTATACCAGAACAGTTAGCTATCACAAAATGAACAGAATTTTTTAAAAAGAGCATAACTGGTGAATTTTGAATCCCATCAGTGTGGTATTCATAGCAAAAGGCAATTTTAATTGCATAGCACCACCAGCACTCTAAAAACTAAGGAGTCACAGCCTTGCAGTTCTGGCCAATTACCTGAACAGATATAAAACCTCTGATTATTAAACTGACAATACAAATATTTGAACTGTAGAAGAAGTGAGACAATAAAATCTGTTTCCTATAAAAAATTTGCACAAAATCATGTAATATCATGATAATGCCTTGCTTCCTGACTAGCTAGCCAGAGGGTAACATTTTTTGCAAAGGTAACATTTTCTGTGTAAATGAATTAAGTTAAAAATAAATTATAGACACACATATACACAAACATGGGTACATGCATTCGGAACAGGGTTAGAAACACTGATATCTTCCAGTCAAGCAATAAGGCTGTTAAATTTCTTACTACAGACGCAGTAGAAATTTGTTGGTCTGTGCCAGTAAGATAGAAAGGCTGCTCTGCACCAGTATCCTAGATGCTGAGTCTGCTTGACCAACAGAAGTTAGCATAAAGAATGTATTAATTTACCCAATTGCATGTCTCTCCAATAGTCTCTGAACTGGTATGGTTAACTTTCCAAGAAAGCGCTTGATGATTGGACGACTCTTGGCAAATTTGTCTTTAACCTCAATTTCCAGGACATCTGTTAGAAGTGCAACAAAAGAATATTTCTGGAAGGAAAGAACATATTTGACACCATATCAATACACCTTTATTCAGAAAATATGGAGATAATTACTACTAGTGTGCAGTGAATTCCGAAAGCGATGACTGATGACAGCAGTTTCCATATGGCAAAACAATGTCAACATCATCTACTAAACCCTGTATTTTTGCATATGTAACTACCCTCTCAGGAAACCTGTATCCTTTTATTGTTCCTTGAAAATAATTTCTCAGTAAGAAACTGCACTGGACAAAAGCACTTTCATGATCTATGTCAGAAAGGAGAAAGCAATGTATCCTAGTGCTTTCTTCAGTATGAATAGTAGAAAGCAAAAAAAGAAGGAATCCTTGTTGCACTCTATGAGGTTATAGAAGAGTAGCCAGCTCAGAACAGAAGGGAGGAAAGTGTCTCACTCTAGGTTGTGCTTAGTGAACTTTCCTTGAAACATCATGCTTTGCATTCATTTTTTGCACACATAACAGGAAGTCAAAAGTACAATGTGTACACAGTATTTTCAGGAGCCCTGTAACTAAAGGAGGAGAATTTTCTATAGATTTTTGCCCCAAAGTTCACAAATCTTCTCAGCAAGCTCCAACAGAATCTTTTTCCGCACTCTTGCAGAAAAAGCAATCTTGGGGACATTAAACATGGTGCTAATTTAGAAAAGGTTTCTTGATGTCTGGTACTATCATTCATCCACCATTCCCTACATGGGAACACTACCACAGTTATTCTCTTCAGCCTAACATCAATTTTCATGCAGTTTATGAATACTTCATCTCTGAGATCTGTACTGCTCTGTCAAGTTTACGTGAAGATGGCCAGAAGATTCAAAAGTGGTACAGGACAAATATATGAGTAGGCCTGTTGGCACACACACATATACACACAGTATGATAAGAAATTGCCTTAGGAAAGCAAGCTTAGGAAGCAAAGATATTTATTTTTCCTCTGGATTTTAAGGTATTTCAAATAAACAAACAAAAAAGTATGGTATAACTACTTAGAAAAGCTGAGGTCATCTGGTCATACTTATACTATCTGTCTTATTTAAAACCTCTGAGCAAACCACAACCTGAGTACAATGCCTCATATGCATCGGGCTAGATAGCTGAAGATGTGTTGAACAAGGGTCAAAAGAAGGAATAACTCTTTAGGTCAGGTGTAGATGTCAGCTAAATATATTCAAAAACAGCAATTAAATTGGGTCAGGAATAAAAACACTTCCTCATGCAGGGCAACTGTCAGAGCTGGGTTCCTGTGATAAATAGAACTTAAAAATTTGTCACTGTCAGTTTGCTATAAAATTGCAAATTATTTTGCAGAAAGGAGTAGATGTAAACCAGGATCAGTTCTGCACCACTAGGACAGCACATGTAATGTGATCATAAGCTGCTGTTGTCAGAGCATTGCTACAGGGAAGATACAGCAGCTAAAGCATGCTGATAAAAAAATGTGCATCAGTGAACATTACCACTTTTCTAATAAGCTTCAAAAATACAGAGAAGTGGAAGAGAAAAAAGGGGAAAAATAAGAGATTTTCTTTCCACCTACTGGACAAATGGATGGACAGACAGAGAGATGAAGAATCAATTTAGAGATCAGAACTCTGATTTTTTGAGGATTTTAAGACTTCCAAACATCTACAGTCTTTACCCACAACCAAGCACCCCAGAGTAGTGCTAATGTTGGCCCTGCTCTGTTCTGCTTTACTGCTTGTTTGGTTTGATTATGATTTCTGAGAACATCTTCCAAAGCCCACTCAATTTTCCAGTCTTCCTCAAGACATTAACATTTGTCAAAGACAGTACAGGCAGCTGCTGCTTAGAAAACAGGTGCTCGCCAGTCCTGAAAGAGTCACAGACCTGTGTCAGTATTTTCACCTTGTTTCCCAGATAAACATTTATCTTCAAAGGCACAGCCTGGCTCTTCTGTGCTCAAAGACAGTTGTGGGACTGAGTTCCTTCTCTGAGACCTGCACAGCTTTTCCAGATACGTTTATATTGGGTAACTGGCTTCTGCCAAACTGCCTTTTTTTACCCCCTTGCTGAGTGGTGCTGTAATGCCTTCCTGGTCTTTCCTTCCTACAGCAGCGCATACAGAGGCTACACCAAAGAGCAGCCCCTCCACCAGACAAAACTGAAATCTTGCCTCCTGCTATGTACAATGAGAATATAATTTCCAAATGAACAATTGTTGCAAAACCTGAGCATAAATGCTCACTTATTGTACCCTTTCTTAAAGAGTCTTTCCACATCTTATAATCCATTTTAATTAATTTAATTTTGCAATTTCAAGAAATCTACAGGGCTGTTGAGTGAGTTCAACTCTTGTTAGCAGAGAAGGGAAAGAAAACTGCACAGCAGTGCAGCTTAAACATGCAGGTGACAGCTGTTTCTATCCAACAACAGGGTTCCTAAAATTACTACAATTTCTGTGTCAGTTTAAATAACTATCTACAGAAATAAGCTCACAGCCTTCGGAGAGTAAGGACTAATGCATAAAGAGAAAATACAAGCCTGGTACACTGCATCAGCTGGCAGACAGCTCTTAAAAGGGATACATTACCTCTCTGTGCCAAACAGGATTAGTTGTGTTACTGATGATAGTCGACCTTCTTTCCTGGCCATGATGAGCAAATGTAGGAAATGTACTTTTCTTGCCTGGCTGAATGGACATCTTCAGATAAGGATCGGGGTTGAAGAACATGCCTTTTTTAAGTCCAACTGCTCTAATATCTATAAAGCAAAACAAGAAGGAAGGAAAAAGGAATTGAGTAAATTAAAGCTAGTTCACAAAGTAGCGCATTCCTAAAATATTACTCAGGAAATCAATTCACCATAAACTACTAAATAAAGCAATTTAAAAATACTCATACGTTAACTGGATCCCGCATACAGAAAACAGTTCAAGCAGTTAAAGCAGGAAGTCAAGTGTTTTCCCAAGAGCATATAGGGAGGAAAGGTATCAACATCCTCATTTACATTTTAGCCTCCAGTCATTTGTAAAACAAAAAGCATGAACTTGTAGCTCACCTATAAGTTTTTTTTTCTCAGTATGTAAGGTATTTCCACTCTTGAAAACCAAAACGTACCAAAAAACCCCATCACACAGTACTTGCTCTGTTTCTGGGGAAGAGGCTAAGATAAAAAAACTGTATGGGAGGTAACGTAGTGACCTCACACTTTCCCAAAGTTGAGACTTTGATAAACATAGCTTCAAATACTCATTATCAAGGTTGCTCTGGACTATGATACACACTTACTCCCAACTTAGAATTCAACCTGTCTCCCATAAGAGGAGGCAAAGTTCTCTGAAAATGCTTCTTTCTTCCAAGGGAAACCTTGGTACTGCAGCTCTTGTGACTTGCAACAATAAATAATTATTTCTTCAGGTGCATATTCTCATGCCTATAGACTTTAATGATAGCACAAGCTCCAACAAGAACAAAGAGGTATTTTTTTATATAAAATTAGTTTTAAAACTTAACTGCAAAATATTTCTCTGTTTACATTTGCAGAAACACAAGATTTTTGTATCTTTCTCCATTATGTACTCCAATATGCTGCATGCAGTCTTCATGACTCTAATGCAATTGGCGCGTACAGACTTAGATGAGCAGTTCGTACAGGCAGGCAAAATTCACTGCACTAAAATGAGATGCCACGCCTGTGGATTCAATAAAAAAAAAATCCTACCCAATACTCAAAATTAAGCCACACAGTAGAAATACCATGAAATAAAGGGTAATTGCCGCATGCACAAATGAGCAACCAAAAAATGTTCCAGGAAATACATTACAGACCTATCGGTCAATACACCTCTCAAAATTAATTTAGAGGACTCCTCAGGCTGAGTCACAACCTTCTATTAGACACAATGGGTTTTTCAGAATTCACAAAACAATTATTTTTACAGTACTCTGTGTGAGTCCATACAACCAATAAGCTCTATCCCAGATAACTGCCAAAAGACCATTTCAAAATGTGGAGTTTTATTCTGCTCTACCCCTACAATCTCTAAATGTTTTCACTGTCAGCTTTTCAAGATGCAGAAGCAAATTTTTTCCGTCTTTGCTCAAGCTGAATATGCTTTAGTCTCACACAGGCCTTCTCATGGAATAAAGTGCTAATAAAAACAAGTGGAGCTGGTATACTGTACCCTACAGCTATTTTGCTGTAAGTGACAGCTTAGCTCTTTCCTTTCCGAATCGCCATTCGCAGCCATTGCTTCTTTATCACTTCAAAGTGAGGGAACCAGCTTGCATTTTATTCAGAGGTTAAGTTTTCAACTCTTCAATCTGAGAGGATCTGTCTCTTATGCAAACTGGAAATTTCTCCAAATTTTTCATGCTGGGATCCACCAAATCCACTTCTTTCACTCCTGGAGATTCATGATTCTGGATTGTTTTCAACAACAGAAGTTCTAAAGAAATTACATCTTTCAAGCCACTAGAGTGTGCTCCTACTGAGGCTAATGAAGAAAAGTGTTCCGTCTTTAATGTTATTTAAAACATCAATATATTTCTTTTTAACAATTACTTGTAAAACACAGAATAGTGTTGTTTTTTACCTGATAGGGTAAAGCTGACTAACTTCCTAGAGTGCTGGGCTCCAGAAGCACCTTCATCCATGCCTTCTACTCCCATCTGAAGAGGAGAAAAAAATTAAATATACCACAGAAGTTTTCATCTGCTTTGTACATGCTTGAGGACAGTAATGCAATTGTAAGGTAGTATGTAGGGGAAGAATTTGAGCAACTACTGTCTATTACTACAGACAGGCTGAGCTACATCATTTGTTCCTAGGAAAACTTCTATTATTTATGCCGTGCAGTGTTAATACACCAGTATTTGGAATCTTCCAAACTGAACATGTATAGGCTAATACACAGACAGACACTGTTAATCAGAGAAAATAAGACTGTATTTTGTTATATGTTTCCCTTTTGTAAAATAAAATCAACAGTGTGGATTAGTAATGCATGCCGAAGCACTGAGCTGGCCAGTGACAGCATGTGTAACTTTTGTCACTTTCCACAAATAGATAATTTACAGTGCAACAAAAAAAAAGCAAAGAGATCAAAGAGACACTAACAAAAGCCTTCAGATCTATGAACAAAAGCTCCTCTTAAACAGAAAAGTGCATCAGATATCCAAATATGAATGTGGTCTAAAAGCTTATGCTTCACAGATTTTCAGGTTTGGTTTCTACTGAAATCCCTCCTTAGGTAAAGCACTACTTCAAAATAAAACGTTTCACATGTTAATGTCTAATTCTTTCAACTAGCAGAAGAATTTGTCTTTCAAGACAGAGATGTGCATCCAGCTGAATAATCTATCACGAAGACATGAATGGAGCTATCTTTCAAGTCCAAACGGTTCTGCAGGTAGGCACTGCACCCACTCCCAGGCAGAAGAGGTGACACAGCGTTGTGAAAAAGCTTCAGCCAAACACTGTGCTGGGGGTTAATACTAGTGATAGAACAGGAAGTCATCTGATCTATTGAACGATAAAAAAAATAAGATGAACAAAACCTCCCACACCTATGTGTGCAGATGAAGTATGTAAAGCAGTTCTGAGCAGCCGAACAGTTGTTTGAAGTTACCGGATTGATAACTGATTCTGGAGCCATGGTAGCTGCAGGGAATCTGCTTTGCATTAACCACAAACGTAATCATTCCTTTTTACATTGCTTTAAGCTATTTAATATCACTAGCTCTCAAGTATTTCCCACAATGATCAGCAAGCACATTGGAATTTCATCGGAATTAGCGAACACACAGAATTTTTTCCTGTTGCAAAACTAGAATGCTTCGTACATAACAAGCAGTCAGTCAAAATGATGAAGAAACAGCAGTGCCGTCCCCACGGGCCTCAGTGGTCTTGTGAGGGAACACCCCATGCCAGCAAACACCGCTGGTCACCAGGCAGCCTGTTCCCTTCCCTCACTGCTGGCTTCACGATGCAGCCCCCTTCTCACCAGAGTGCTTGAAACTAGTCCTCTCCCTCCCAGCATGACATCCTTATGCCAGTGACTTTATAGGAATGCCTAAGCAGTGACAGCTGGTACTAAAATTATGAGGGCATCATCAGCATCCCCTCATCTACAGACAGATTCCCTGGAAGCAGCAAGGGGCACATCCCCCCTGGGATGGCGAAGCTGCCCAGGCAAGGCCAGAGGAACAGCGTGTATTCCAGTTTACTCTTTTGGACTTATTCTAACATGCCCTGTTTTGTTGTTAAAAACACTACTCATCAGCAAAAAGGCCTTCTGCACTCTATACCTATTTTTCCACTACATTACTGACTCTGTTTGAATAACATTGTTTACATTGCTAATTATTACCCCATTTTACAGAAAATAGGATTTGCCCACAATTCAGCTGTAATAAAACTAATTGTAACAGTGTTGCCTAGCATGCCATGGTTTTGCTGCATAACCTTTTCCTGTTCCAGCATGATCTGAACAGCAATTTTAATTATTCTGTTCCAAGTACAAAATTTCATGCTCAATTTTTGCACTACAAAGGCTGTCTCATTTAGGGTAACACAGTGTTTCTGAATGCTAGATCAGGCCTTGTATTACAGCCAGAAACATGGCTCCCAAACCATATAAAGCAAAACCATAGAATGGTCCAAATAAGTAGGTATTAATTGCAGCTTAATAAAAGGGAGTGGGCATGCCATGACGCTCTTACCACTTCCACCAACAGCATTTCTGCAACAACAGACATGACCAGCACCAAGAGAACAATGTATTCTCTGCTGCACAGTGCTTAAGCTCAACACCAAAACCATTAAAATGGTGTGAGGTATTAACATTTAACAACAGGTATAGTTATGTATAACTAACTCAATATGATAGTTTTAGGAAGTCTCATCTGAGTTGTCATATGACATTCTCATCAGGGAATCTATCAGCTCACTATTACTGGAATTCTGTACTGTTAGCACAAACAAAAACGTTTATATAAAATGACACCTCCTATCAGGTGTATACATTCTGTACAACACCCAGGACCCTGCATTACCTCTCAAAGGAAGGAAATTTAAATACCGACAGCCAATTAACCCCTCAAGACTGACCTGAAAGACAGGTCTTCAGGTAGTTGCCAAGTGAATGAATGCATATTCAAAGACAGAAGTTCAGATGTCTTTTTGTGCAATGAAGCTCAAAAATGTTGGTGGTTAGTATGACAAGGTCAAGAAAACACACAAGCTCAAATGGCTTCTCCATCCAGTATAATCATTCTGCTTCTCAGTAACAATATAGTGCAGCACATAGCCCCTTTTAAGGGTTATTTTGAGATGCATTTTTTCCTTTGTTCAAGAGCAGGCTGCTTTACTGTCTTTAGTTTATAAATTGATATTAAAGACAGTGGCTGTCAAGCTCATCAACTGTAACACTTTTTCTTCTGTAAAATATCAAGAGTTCATATGCCTGCTGTGAAATTATATTATTCATAGTCAGATCTGACAAAGATCTGACAATTAAACGATGCTATCGCCTAGGTCTGTAATTCTAAGAGAAAGAAAAAACACTTGGTATAATGAGATTTAAAGTGTAGTATAGCACATATAGTATCAAATAGCCACAGCATGCATTGTATATATGCTGAAAAACTGCAGGATCAGAATAAAAGCTATTCATTCCGAGTAACTTGTGTTCGACAGTATCTTCAACGCTGCAGTTGTGTTACATCCTGACAGATGTGTTCTTAAATATTAGGTAGTTAATATCAATGAATCAAATGCACTGTGAAACTCCATCTCAACCAGAGTGAGACAATTAGATAAATTACTTCCATCAAAAACACCTGGGTACAAGTTTGGAAGGCTCTTCTTCCACTACTTATTTAATCAACTAAAAAAAATTCCTCTAAAACTCAATGTTTCAAAAGAACAAGTCTCACAATGAAAGCACAGCAGGGCAAAAATAATTCTCAATAGTCAGAATTACTAAATTTCAATGGCATTTGAAAACTAAAAAAATTTAGTAATTCCAGTTTCATTTTTATACTAAAAATTGCTATCTCAGCAACAATTTCATTTTTAATATTAACAAATAAGAAGAAATGGAGACTTTTGATAAGGATTCCATCTGAGTTATGTAACAAGCATGAAAAGTTTTCATTATGGTGTTAAATTACAGCAAGCTGTAAGCCTCAAAACTGAAAGCAAGCGAAATCAAATTCTTAGCATAAAAAATTTCAGTTAAGCTCAGTAAGTTTTTACTATTATTTTATCGCAAATAATACAAAACCATTAAAAGCATTTCCCAATTTTGGTGGTTTTTGTCAGGCAATATAATTTTTAGCAAAAAAATGCAGTCAGTGGTAAAACTAGGAGACTTCTACTGATAGGTTTGTCTGGCAGTTGATGTTATCACCTTATACAAATACACTGAACAAATGCACTAAACTTACCATCACAGCAGGGTTTTTCACAGTGATACACGGAGTAGTAGCTCGGAGGGCTCCACTAACACCATGGTAGTATTTAAAACAGATCTTAATTTCAGCTGAAAACAAAACAAAACTCACATTAAGCTCTTAATGACTGACCCTAGGCAAGAGAGAGACAATGAAAGGAACACATGCATACAGGGAGTCACAGTTCACTTCTGTTCATGGAGTCCAAATTTGGACAGTTGACTGATACGTCTTTGCTGTGAAAATACACAGTCACTGTAACTGAAATGTATTTTCTCTCAGCCTGTAGAAAATTGGAAACTTGTCTCAAAGAAAGTCTGAAGAGAGTTTTTAGCTAAAGAGCTAAATGCTAAAGAGGTAAATGCTGCCATTTTTTTTTTTTTCAAATTTTCAATTTTAATTAGATTTCTACTCAGTCAGTAAAAAAACAACAGCTTGTTTTTTCTCAGTTCTTGCAGTGAGATGTCCATGGTCCCTAGTGGGTAAGAAAGGCCTAAGTATTCACAAGCCACAGTTCACACAAAGCCACTTTTGTATGTTTTATATGGGTCCAAAGGGAAATAAATGAGATCAGTATTGATCTCTGAAGATAAGTCCATTTCAACATAATAGGATTGATGTGAATTATTTTTCAGCAGACTTGTAAGTTGCAAATCAAAAAATAATTACACATATTTTTTATTCTTATATTATTTAATCATGTGAAAATGGAGACCTCTCTCTACAGTCTGATAATACATAGGTGGATTTCAAACCACTGATGAAAATGTTTAAAAGTACTGCATCTTCCATTAACTCTTGCAGATCCTGTCTGATAAGATTTCCCTTTTTGTGTGACCTATCAAACCTTTTACTATCATTTAATATGCCAAACCAAAAATACCATTGATCCTGGTAAAGTAAGAGAATAAACAAACACAACTTTAGGGTGAGATAAAATACTATAAAACTCAAGGTCTTAAAGTTTGGACATTAGCCCTACACATATTCTGACATTGTGGAAGGAGTGGAGATGCAAGCATGACTGATCATGGTGGAAAACTATTAATATGCTGTTTAGTGTAGTCCTGAAAGCTCATTCTATACAAGTAGGATCCATCATTCAGCGATCTGTCTTCAGAAATACTTTAACAGGAAGTTAAGAATAAAGCAGCTCGTTATCTCCTCTTTGTGTGTTGGGTCCTTCTGTTACTTAATAGACCTAAAAAGTAACTCAACTAATTCTGCAGCTTGTATTTCTGCTACTATTTCAATATAATCAGCTATGGAAAAGACTTACTGAGACATTTGCTACTGGGATGATACTTGTCAGACTTTGGAAGAAGTTATATGCTACATAACTGAAAGAAGCCTGAAGTACTTTATATTGGAACACAGAAAGGTAAACGTTGCACCATGTTTCTGGTCCCACTAAATAAATTTTGTTTGCTAAATTTCATTTAGTGCAAACAAAAGAGTATTATGCTTAACTGAAGCCTGACCTCCACTGTTGTTCCTCTGCATTCTTCCAACCCAACAGAACAGATATGATTATGGCTGTCCTTGATCCTGTGGGATTTTCCTTATCTGGAACAATGTCTCTGTTTTCCTTCTCTGTTGGGATAACTCTTCTGTGTGAGGTTGATGAGGGTTTACCTCTGAGTACAGATAGGGCCATGGGCAGGCAGAAATTACAGCAGCCAGTTCAGACAGACCAGAGGATGCAGATGAATGTCTTGACAGTTCAATTCTTCTGACTTGGTTTAACAATATGCCAGTAGTCCTAAAGTAAAAAACTGCAATGTTTTGTATAAGGTTTTGACACACATACAGCATGATTCCTTGAGGGCTGAAGTATTTCCTCACTGCAGGATAAAATACCCACTTAGACCTACTCAGAAGGATCAGAAACCCATCCTGCAAGCCTGCTCTGCCAAAAAGGATTGTTTATTTATTTATTTTTAAATTTGCTGCAGTTATAGGTCGACATTTATTTACTATCTTCCCCCTAGAACAAAGAGGAGGCATCTCAGAACTCCTTCAAAGGAAAGCGTCTGGCTGACAGGGCCTCCAGAGACTTATGAGGTGGAGGAGCAGCTGATCCCACTTCCTCCTCCTCACAGCTGAGTTCATACACACAGTCAAATCATGCTCTATTTACCACATGCTTTATAGCAAAATTCAAAATGCAGACAGGATTTCTAATCACCTACAAAGGTTTATCAGATCTAAAAATTACAGATCAGGACCTTCTTCCTAAAGTTTCTTCCTAAACTGAGTAATTCTGTTGACCTAACAACAATGATTATCTAAATGGATGCACAAGAATTTCTAGCTCACATAAAATTGGAGTTTCAGGACTTGCAGAAGTTTGGCAGGATTTATACCAAGTGCTGGACTACTCCACATTGTAAAATGCACATATTAAGTAACCAGTACTGAAGTCCTGAACACCTCAAACACACTGTGAACTTACTATGGCTACATGAGAACATGCTAAGACAACAAACTATTCCACCAAAACTTTTACTTTTCAGCTACAGTGCTCAGCTTTATTGTGATCTCAACTTTATTTTTCAGAGACTTTCTGGAGCTGCTGTTTATTCAGTTTGTTGACTATCTTCTCCCAATTCATCACTTCTGAAAAGAACCTAGAAATGGAAAGGTTATCAGCTGCTGCTTCTATCCATAAACAGTCCGCAACATGATGGTGGACAGAAGTCTGTAATATATTCCCATTACACTGACATGTACATTCCCCTAAAGGCTGAAATGCAATGCTACGAGCTTTGCATCCTCAAATTTCTTTCTTTCAATGACTTCTATGAGCATACAGTACTTTTCAATACCTGTATGTGTCTGGTGATAGAAGAAAACAATGTTTGATTCAACAAATAGATCTGATGACCCCTTTCATATAAACTAAATTAAAAAAAAATAATAATCTTCAGGACTAATTGCTAGAAATAATTAGAAAAAGCAGAGCACTTAAAAACACGATGTGGAGACATTTTCTCTCACTTCCCAACAGAAGCAGCATTGATTTAGTTTGCACTTTATACAGCACTACACACAGGAGTGGCAGACCTGCTGTTGGCATTGTGTTGACAGGATTAACACGAGAGAAGCTGTGCTTGAAATTCAGCACAAAACTGAAAAATGATCTACCCATCACATGCATGCAGATGTTGCCAAAGTGAATACAGGTTTGCAAGACTGGACCTTGTACACAGCAGGAATACAACCCCTTCATAGGACCAGAGACAGCTAAGTAATTTTTTTTCGTGGCTAATAATGCTGGAAACTGCAGTTAAGACTTAACAGTAGAAGAAATCTCAGAGGCACCCTGTCAGTTCAAAAGAGGTGAGGATCTAGCTCTTTGACATTTCTTGTACTGTGCTATCAGTAAAAACGTTGGTAAGAATAGTTTTTCCTTGATGACTGATGGATTCCTGAGCTCCAAATATACTGAAAACAGGTTTCTGTTCCTGACAGAACACATCTCAGCCTACTACCTATAACTAAGGCCCCATAAATACACAGACCTCCTCAGAAACAGTAAGTTCAATTAGCTGCAAACAGCACTTTAATATTTAGAGAGTTCAGTAACATATTAATACACAGGCTTCCTCTGAACTCTTCCATACTATAAACTGCACAATAGCATGTGTCATCTAGAGTTTTCCCAGTTTCTTTCATTTCTCCTGACACCTTGCTTTCACATGCTTCTTTTAGGGGAAAATTTGCATTTCTCTTTTTTCTTTCCTACTTCTTATTCCTCAACAAATTAATTAGCTTGCTTTGTATGTAAACTATAATGAAAATGAGCAGTAAATCCAGCAAGGAAAAGACATCTGTACCTGACCATAGGACTATTTGCTGTCTCTTTAAAGAAAAAATTGACATTTCGGAACAAAAAGTATTTTCATAAATAAGGGGAAAAAATGACTGTACCTAGTTCTGTGTTCTTGATACCACACATGCCCCATTGTCATTGACATTCCTCCAGACATCATACAGACAACAAGAAATTCCTTATTTTAAAAATAAGACAAAAATTAAATTGATGTATCTGTAATTCTTCAAAAACTATCACACAGCCATATAAAAAGTGATATATATGTTAATTCATTGGAACACTCCATAAAACCATAATCCCCTTCTTTAAAAACCAATAGATGTTATCATTTTATAACCGTAGTTTTATAGCTCAGGTCCATTACATAAAAATGTTGGAATTAACAAAGGTTTCTGGGACTCAAACATTGACATTTGAATTTCAAAAGAACTCCTGCATGAAATTATAGCGTTGTACGTCCCTCTAAGGACCATACACTCTTGCCTCTTCAATAAGAGAGATCAGTTTATACCAAATAATAGCTTACTTTTAAAACATCACTAATTCCCCAAAGCCCCCCATGTTAACTACCTTTTTACTGCCTTTAATACTTTAACTTTGATCATCAAAAAATTGCTTTATGATAGAAAGATGCTCAGAATACATGAAGTTGGAATATGTAAACACATGAACATCATTCTAGAATGCATCCTTTCCAGGAGACTGATAATTCAGGGAAACAAATGTGTTAGCTGTAAGAACAGTTTGCTCCAGATATACTCTAGTCAAATGAAATGCCTATATCAGAGGTGGAATTACCCCACACTCGATTGAGAAGGGAGGGGCAGAGACACGTCCAAAAGACACGTCAAATCCTAGCTGGGTTATAACAGTCTGCAGAGGTAAACAGGGCTCCCAGTTAACTGGATGGAAACTGCACAACAGCTGATACCTCCTGGGCACTGCAGCTAGATGCTGGAAGTTACTACTGAATCCATAACACTCTGCAGATATAAACATATGCCCTCCAACACTCAGTGAGGAAAAAGCTGACATCACATAAATTTGTCTGGAAAATATGAGAGCATGTTCCATGAAACTTCTTTTAAAGAACTTTGTTGCTAGAACAAGTTAAGTTACTCTTATTCATTCAGGCTTTACAAAGCTATAAAGGGAGATGCAAGCCATGGAAAAGGCACTGGGTTAAACCCTAATTTTTCCCAGCTGAACCCAAACACCTCATAGACAACTGCAGGAGTTTTTAAGTGCTCT